ACTCAGATGAGGAGGCTGACAGTGCGGGTGAGGGTGAGGATGAAGATGAGGATGACGAATTCACCAAAGGCCTGCTCAACGAGGAGGAAGCCAAAAGCTCCGTGTTTGCAACTGCGCCTGCAAGTGGAAAAATGGCCGTGGATGGCGACAGTTCCGAGTTGCCATTCACATTCCCATGTCCCCAAAATTACGAGGAACTGCAAGCGCTGGTGCAGAAATACCCCAGCGATAAGCTGCCTACAATTGTTCAACGTATTCGAGCTCTATACCACCCTAAGCTGGATAGCAGACATAAGGAGAAGCTTGGAAACTTCGCGAAAGCGCTGGTGGACTTGGTCGGCAGCAGCCGCAGCAAAGCCAGCCCCTCGTTCCAGGCATTGGAGAGCGTCATTCGTCACATCCACTCACTTGCCAAAATGTTTCCAGTCGAAATCGCCGTCCAGTATCGTTCTCATCTGGAGGAGATTAGCCAGGAGCGGCCTCTTGCTCTGCATGTGGGAGACCTGACACTGCTGACCGCGATCGGGTCAACCTTCCCGACGTCGGACCATTTCCACCAGGTCGCAACTCCTGCAATGCTCACCATTGGGCGTTATCTCGGTGGCAAGATTCCCCAGACACTCGGCGACTACGCAGTAGGCATTTACCTGTCGACGTTGGCGTTACAGTACCAGCAATTTTCAAAGCGTTACGTCCCAGAGGTAATGAGTTTCTGCCTCAACACCCTTTGTGCTCTTGCTCCCTCGGCTGTGCCGGCGTCGGGAAGCTTCCCCATACATGAACCTGCAGATGGGGTGCGGTTGACGAGCGCGCGAAAGTCGGATCTTCGCCGTCTTTCTCCTAATGATTGCTCTGCCACAGCTGTAACGGGCAAGGAGGCCGAATCCACAAAGGCGGCTCTGTTGAGCACAACCGTGCAAGTCATCGGTGCTGCTGCCGACACTTGGACTGGAAAGTCCTCGTTCTACGAAACCTTCCAGCCCGCCCTTGATGTAGTTGCGCACTTGAACAGCAAGTCGTGCCGCGCCAAGTTCCCTGAGGCTTTGGGCGAGCAAATTGAGAAGTCCAAGTCCAAGCTTGAGCGTATGCTTAAGATTGCTCAGCTTTCGCGACGGCCACTAGAGCTGCAACACCACCGCCCACTTGCAATCAAGACATACATTCCCAAGTTCGAGGACTCCTTCGACCCCAACAAGCATTACGATCCCGATCGCGAGCGTGCGGAGATGGCCAAGCTCAAGGCAGAGCACAAGAAGGAGCGCAAGGGTGCCATGCGCGAGCTGCGGAAGGACGCTCAGTTCATGGCTCGCGAGAACCTTCGCATCAAGAAGGTCAAGGACGAGGCATACGAGAAGAAGTACAAGCGCCTCGTGGCAGAGATTCAGAACGAGGAGGGCAGAGAAGCCAACGCGTACGAAAGGGAGAAAGAGGGCAGGAAGAGAGCGAGACACAGGTAGATGGTCTAGTTGTCTGTCTACTTGTTTTCGTAACCAAATACTCATGCATGCTTACCGGCATTTTGTTTCCTTTTTGTATTGAATACCATTGTAAGAATGGATTGGCACACCTACTATCGTGCTTGCCTTATACAAGTAGAGAAGAAAGGTTCCGGCTGGAGGGAAACAAAAGTACTGAAGTTTTGAGGCGACAAATACTTGAATCTCTGTAATATTCAATCAAGATGTGCTCGTAGTGGCTACGTAGGTGCAACCTTTTTTGGTTGCCAGGTTGTGTAAACTAGCCAGGCGATATTTAACTGCCCCTGTACAACTGACGCGGGTGGAATAGGTCAGAGATTCGTTCCATCATGTCGTTCTGGTAGTCCCCATTTTCAACGTCTACCCTGACAAGGTGTGAGTCCAGTTTATCCTTTTCAAATAGGAAAACAGGGACGTGCTATGTTGAAATTTTAGTTCTCGTTATAACAAGATGCAATACGCTGGTGCAGATGTTGTGGCTTTTTTTTTTGTTGCTTTTTTTTTTGGTGCTTACCTCATGAGGAAACAAAAACTCACATCAACTCGGTGCCCCATAATTCTTGTCAATCCACCTACAAACACTAACACGCTGGTGCATACTCACAATAACTCCAAGGCCAGAAACATCATCCACCCACACATCACCTGAACGATAATCTTACACGTGTGTATGTTTTCACTCAGAGAAGACCCGCCATGGATACCAAGCAAACAGCTTCGGATGAGGAGGATGACTACATGAACATGACCTTTGATGAGGCACCAACCACATCATCACGGGGCACAGAAACATCGCTCCAGCGCCGCCAGCGCTTGAAACGCGAGGGAGAAATCAAAGGGCGCGTGAAGTCAAAGGCTGAGCTCGCAGCTGAGGAAGAGGTAGCGCGCGAAAAGGCGCTCGCTCGCTCCCTCCTTGAGGACGCGGCTGCCAAGAAAAACAAAGGTTTCGCCATGATGGCCAAGATGGGATTCAAAGGCGGTGCTCTAGGCGCTGGCGATGGCTCTGCCAGGACAGAGCCTATCGCGGTGGAGATTAAGGAGGATCGTGGAGGTATTGGTATGGAGAGCGAGAGAAAGCGTAAGATGCGCGAGGCAGCGGAACGGATCGAGGAGGAGGTCCGAGAAGGAAAGAGAGTCAAGATGGACCCCCTCGAGTATCGTGACCGGGTTCGACAGGAAAGGGAGGCTGCAAGGGTGCAGGGACAGGTGTTTGCGGCACAGAGGATTGCGGAGAGTATGGCTGAGGAGAAAGAACTGGGAATTGGTGACGGACAGCTCGTGGAGGCCGATGCAGAAGCGGAGAGAATCAAGAGAGAGAAGCTTGCTGCGAGTGCTGCTTCAAGGCCCCTCAAGTCCATCAATATCCTTTGGCGTGGTCTGGCCAGGCATCGCGAGGAAAAGGAGAGGGATCGAAGGATGAGGCATGATTTGGAGCAGAGCCTTTCGCGGCTGCCGACATATGAGGATGATCAGGAAGATGACGACGATCGCACGGCATTGGGGAAGAAACAGACAATCTACGTCACCGCGGAAGATCTTGACGAGGAAGACCCTGAGCTGGATGAATTCAACGAGCTGGGTGACGATGAAAAGCTGCGACGATTAATAGAGTATCTGAGGAAGGAGCACAAGTATTGCTTCTGGTGTAAGTTTACATATCCAGATGATGAAATGGAGGGGTGCCCTGGCTTGACGGAGGAAGATCATGACTAGAGAGTAGAGTTATCCCTACCGATCTGTAAATACTGTATTGTTCGGAAATATTTCGCATCATTCAAATACCACGTTGCTATCGGCGACACATAACACTTCTGTAGCCAATGATATTGAAATGCAATCGATTGATGAGCAAAGGCCAAATATGGACGCCATAGCTTTGCAGATACCAGAGCTAGCTAATCGAGTCTAACATCTGGATTAACTTTTGCTTCGGGTCCCCTCCGACCATTAATAGTTCAGCAAGGCTCCTTGTTAGATAGCCTGTTAGAAAATATCCAACTCGACATGTCTTCGAGGACATCTATACTATCAAATGCCACAAGCAGCCTTCACACAGCCGATAAGTAAGGGCTCGAAGAAATTCGAATCTCTCTACATTAACAACCTTACCCAGTGAGTCTAGTTTAGTCAAAGACAGACAGAGATGTATCCTGTGTCTTGATGGGTGTCATGATGGGTGTCATTATATATGTACAACATCTAATTCTATGTTACAGAGAGGACTTTTGGCCTCTAGGCCTTTTTGGCGATAATATCATACACTCCCATCTCTTTGGCCACCTGTGCCATCAAATCCTCCGGCACCACACCAAGTTCCTGGATGTACATGAACTGTAGATAATCACACATTTCTTCGCCACGTTGCTGTGGCGGCATCTCGTCGAGCGTCTTGGGCTGTCCAGGCTGCCTTTGCCGTGCTTCTACAAAAGCATCGAGTTTGCGCTTTACGAGTCGCAGCTTCTGCCTCGCTGTAGCTGTATCCCAGGCAAGGCTTGTAGTGTCCATCAGCATCTCAAGGGCGAGCACCTCCGGTGGCGTGAAGTTGAAGACCGCCTTAAAGACCCGCAGACTAATGACAATCCCAAGATTATCCTTTAACCTGCGGAAAGAATGCAGAATTTTTCTTGCCAACTGGCCGTCTAGACCGCCGCCCTCGAAAACGTGAGCAAAGCGAATAGTCTCTGCAAAGGTTTCCCGCGTGAGCTTCACCTCCTCAGCTTGTTGGTCGCCGTCGAGTTTGTGGAGCCTGTTCACGCCTAGCATCTTCCATAATGCCATATAGGTGTACGAGTCGGGCTTCACCTGGCGCTCGTGGACAAGCATGCGGTACAGCTCCCGTGCCTCCGCGATGTGGCCGGCCTGGGAGTACGACTCCATCAGCTGGTTCATCATGAATGCATCTGGGCTGATCTCAGCTTCTCTGGAGGCATCCCAAAGCTTTTCTAACTTGTCATGTAAAGTCCGAAGTCGGTAGTTCTCAGCAAGAAGAGAGAACGTCTCGAGTGTTGCCTTGGGCATTGCGCCTGTTTCGGCTTTTCCAGACACTTCCACAGTACGAATAGGGCCATCCATACCCGAGAGTCGGCGGCGGTTGCAAACGAATTTGATACGAGCATTGATCATCTCCCATGCTAGCTCGTCCGCCTTTTGCAAGTTTTCAGCGCCGCCTGATCTTTGCCAAGCCCCAATAAGCCCGTTAATTTGGATACTGGCCGCTTCGATACCCTTGGAGCGCATGAATTTGAAGACACTGTGTGCTCCATCGAAATCCCCAGCGCCGATGAGCCGTTTCAGCCATTTGCCGAAGAAGAACTTGTTGCCAATCTGGGATGGAAGACTATCCTGCCCCCTGAGATCAACAGTTCCTGAACTCATCATGTCAACGAAAGCTTGGAGGGCAAGCTCGGTCTGGTTCGTTGTTAAGAAGAATGAAATGACCTGGTCGTAGTCTTCCAAGCCCATGGAAGGACCAAGGAGGTCTCTCATGCGTCGGTAGGCATCCCAGGCCTTAGCTCTCAACTCATTCGTGGGGTTTGCTGCACAACTTCTGATGAGCGGCATCAGAATTCGAGGGTCAAGCTGCCGCTCTAGTAGTTTGCTTACAGCACGTTCTGCCTGGACAACATCCCCCTTTTGGCAGAACATGCGTACTCCGAGCTCCCAGAAGTCTTGGAAAGTGTCGGCACCGCTGTCGCCAAGGGTTGCCATGCACCGTTTCCAATTTTCGATCGCCTTGGCCTCCCATCCGTCCACAAACATGGCTTCCATCGTCACCAACTGTTGCGACGGGCTCAAAGCGACCTTGGCCTCGCTCATGTCTCTCGCCAGCATTGAAAGGTATGTAAGTCGGCTAGGGTTCTTAGCCTCATCTAGTGACAAGATTTGCCAAAGTAGATCCCAAACGTCGTGAGGTACGTTTGCCCATGCCTTTGCCAGAGACGGCCGAGTTAAGTTGTAAATTTTCCAGACTGATTGCACGGTCTTTCCTGTCACCTCTTCTCCTCTTCTAATTTCTTTCGTCGTCCTCTTCAGGATCTGGTTTAACCGGTTTATGCGCTTTCGCTGATTAAAGTTCCATGCATTCTCTGGTATCTGTGGTATCGGGAGGTTCGTCCTGCGTTCTGAGGGTTCCTTTCGAGTCGTTGCCTCGATGACTCCTAAGGTTGCGATCGGGTCCGAGTCGTCGAATTCGCTCACGTCAAATCCCTTTTCCTCGAGCTGTTTTTCCAAATCTTTGATGTGAGCGTCTAGCTGTTCCATCATCTCTTCCGGACTATTTGAGGATCCGAGGCGTTCCTCGAAGTCATTCGCAATAGAGTCGATGTTGTCGATTCCGAACAAACCCAGGCCGCCCTCTTCTTTAAGCCGTGACAATGTGTTCTTCACATCAGACGCAAAGTCCTTTTTAAAGTCCCGCTCCATATCTTTGACGCCACCAAGAGAGTCTCTATATGCATCTTCACCCTGCAGCGGTTCGATGCGACCTGCCTCATCCTTCTCAAAGAAACGTAAAGTCGGTTCTCCATTTCGTTTCGCCGTCAGCTCCCTGAGAAGCGTCGCAGCAGCTTGACTATTTTTGGGCTCGGTCGTGGAAGCTTGATTGGTTGTTGGTTTGTTCTGCTGTGCATTTTGGGGACGAGATCGAGGGCGAGCTCCTAACTGGGCCACGCGAGAGCTATGTCGAATCGTCCATGATTGCGGGGCGACGGTGGTCCCTAAAGACGAACAGCAGGACTGGCAAATGAATGTGTTTCGACATGTGATGTCACGGAAAATAGCTCTGCGAGACATAGGGAAATTTGGAGTTGGTCAACATTAAGAGAGAGAAAAAGAGCTCCTCAGGTAGAGACAGCTTTCGTCGCAATCAAATGTCCAAGTATGAGAGAGCTTGTTCAGAATTTTAGATGGGCCCTGAACCCAGATGCGCGCGACGCGGAGTGGCTTATCTTATCAGAGACCACTAATCCGTACACCGCTTGCCAGTTTCAGTGTGAACGACCGCCACATTCTGAGGCAGAAAGAACTTTTTCAGTTTTTGGTCCTCACTTTTTTGCGTCTTGAGCATCAGCAGTGCTACGCAACACCGGCACGATGTCTTCCGGCCCGGAATACTTGCGATTCACAGGACATCGGTCCTTTGCGCAACGCCTTATTTTGTCCACACTCACCGGAAGGCCTATTCACATAAGCAAAATCCGCAGCTCATCGCCGACAAACCCAGGTCTCGCGCCGCATGAGGTCTCTTTTCTCCGACTCCTTGAAGCCGTCACCAATGGAAGTTCTATGCAAATTTCGTACACCGGTACGACGATCACGTACCACCCTGGTCTGATCACCGGAACCATGGCAGGCTTTGGTGCGTCGGATGGCGACGTTATCGAACACAGCCTACCTGCGAACAACACCCGCGGCGTCACTTACTTCCTCCTTCCGCTCTGTCTCCTCGCCCCGTTCTCAAAGGCTCATGTAAACGTCCGATTCTCTGGCCCTGGTGTCATCACTTCTGCCACCCAGACTGGTGACATCTCCGTCGATTCATTTCGCACTGCTATCCTTCCGCTTTTTGGCCTATTCGGAATCCCACCGGCGCGAATTGAGCTGCGAGTGCTGCAGCGGTCTTGCCCCGGAAAGGGAGGAAGAGGAGGTGGCGGAATTGTCGAGCTTCGATTCGCGAGTCAAGTGCGACTTCCCAAAACCTTGCATCTGAATCGAAACCCCGGCAAGATAAGGAGGATAAGAGGTGTCGCATACTGTACTGGAGTCTCGGCGTCCAACAATAGCAGAATGATTCATTCTGCGAGAGAAGTATTGAACGCATTGGTCTCCGACATTCACATTGCGGCACAGTACGACCAGGCTCCACTAATCACGGCGGCCGATAAGTCCAAGACGCGGACAGGTATTGGTTTTGGCTTGAGTTTGGTCGCCGAGTCCAGCTCTGTTGGTGTGCTATATTCAGCAGACGTCGTCGCTCCTCCCGTTGGCGGAGTTGTGCCAGAAGATATTGGCAAGAACTGTGCCTACCAGCTACTGGAGACCATTGCGCGAGGAGGATGCGTGAGCCATTCATCTGCTAGCACCGTCCTAACGCTTATGGCCATGGGCTCTGAGGATGTGGGAAGATTGAGGATAGGCAAGGACGTCATAGGGACAGAAGAAGTAGTGGGCTTGGCCCGGGACTTGCGAACGTTTGGTGCAAGCAGCTGGGGTTTGAGAGATGTGGATGATGATGACTCGGGTGACATACTTGTCTCCGTCAAAGGTAGCGGTGTTGGTAATGTTGGTCGCAAGATTGCTTAAGATACCACGGTGCGACGTCGCCATTTACAGACCAGACGGTACGGATATATCGTGATCCTATTTGTACTACCTTTGATTTCTCTGATTGCGTTCCAAATGAGGCATCCTTCTCATAGCCGAAAGCCTCGTCAATGCAGCCGTATAACCCAGCGTCTGAAGCGAATGTCCTGCTGCTCCCCGAAAGTCCGTTGTTGCATTTCTGATTGTATGGGAAATGTGAAATTCGCCGAGTACTCCATTTCCTGAACTGAGAACGTCGAAAAGCTGCATGCTAGTGGCCGAGTGAAAAGATGAGCGGCGTCGTGACAGCCGACTACTTTCTCGACTTCTTTCAGCGTTGTTGCTAGGTTCAGCATCGCCATTAGACCTCAACGACTGCATCTCGACGCTATCAGCGCCCTCAAATTCCAACCCGGGCCCATCCCTAAGGACACCTCTTTCTTCGGCATCGTGGTCTTGGGTCGACGCCGCAGCATTCTGCGCTTCTAAAACATGAGGCAAACGCAATAGAACAGGCCGTACAATAGGCCGGAGCTTCTCTCGCTCGGAATGAACGGCCAACATCAGGCATTGTACAGCTAAGACAACAAGGTCGAAGGCAAGGAACGTTAGCCTCGAAGTCGGCGGCCTTTGCCCTATAAAGTCGACAATGACACCTCCATGGAGATACCCTCTAGCAGCCTCGCCAGCCGTGGGTAGCGCCGCAAACGTGTGCAGAAGGATGCAAAGAAGGTTCGGAACGAACACAGAAATGACCTGTGACCGAGGAGCCTCCATCGTCAATGGATAGTCGTCGGGTTTAGGTGTAAGCCAGTGGTGTTGGCCATAGACGCGAACGGCGAAGCGGAAAATAGAACACCTGGTGCACCAGTCAGTTAGTAAAAGCTGTGGTTTGTAAATCCAACACGAATACCTACTCCATGTAGTATAACGTGCAAAGTTCCGCGTATACCAGGGCGTCAAGATTCCTTAGCAACTGGGTCATGAGGTCGAACTTTCTCGCCAGGCCCGGATTAACCTTTCGATGTTTTCGTCGTCGCCTCCTCCTCGAAATCCGCTCGCCCGGGTCATTTGCCCGCTGCGACAGCTCCGGGATCCCTCTCTCATGTTCGTGATCATCTCTGGGAGGGATCGATCGGCCTGGCAGGGTATCTGGCGCGGCATCATCGACCATAGCTCGTTGGCCTCATTGGTGTCGGCGGAAATTCCTGCAGCGTAGAACAGGCGGGCCTTCACATACTCCGGTAACGTGAGCCCAATAATAGGAGGCTTGCGTTCACGATGAAAACATATGTAAAAGGCAATGCCAACCGTTGGAACTTGATGCGGATGGATGGTGTGGATAAGGGCGGTCGAATCAAGCTGCAGGGATGCCAAGAGTGACGCCACAGCTTTCAAGCTACACTACACACTACAACGTGGTATGTACTCCAGAACAGGGACGCTGCACGGACGTCCCTGCCCAGCTAAGAGCCTCTTCAATTCCGCGAGATTGAATCATCGGATGCGGATGAATGATGATACGAGGACCCCTCCTTCCTATTCTGCGCAGGGTCCACACTCCCCTCCGATTCGACCGTCGCGGCCAAATTTCTGCCAGAGGTTCCCGCCCTGAGTGCCCCTCTGACTCAACGAAGCGAACGTCGACAACTTTCGTGCAAGTCAGAATTCCCGACACCAGCGCACGAAATCATGGCGACAGCAAGCACCGGCCCTTCTGGGGATCTCACTTCCCAAATCCTTTTGGCGTTGTCCAAGAAGGACCCCATCCTGTCCGCCGAATACTTCCCAGAGTTCCAATATGTTGACATCAAGGCGGCTCTCGACCGACTGGCTAGTCGCTCCATGGTGACGTATGAGTCAATTGAGCGCGAGGAAGCCGTCCTTGAAGCCGAGGGTGAACAGATTGCGGAGCATGGCAGCCACGAAGCTCGAGTCTTCGAGGCAGTGCGTAAGGCTTTGGAGGGGTTGACTATCCAGGAGCTTGAAGCTGCTATTGGTGACAAGAACGTCACCAAGCTGGGCCAGGGCAAGGCTTTCAAGAACAAGTGGGTGAAGAAGGAGTCCACTGGGAAGCTTGTCGCAACTGTAAGTGTAACAGCCACTTCATCTTCTTATATAAGCGCTGACATGGGGTTTCCAGACCGAATCGATTCAAGACGAGACCCAAGCTCAGCTCAAGGAGATCCAGGAGAAGCATACCCATCAGCCTAAGGTCATTACGGACCTGAAAAAACGGAAGCTGATCAAGACCCAGAAGGTGATCACTTTCAAGATCCAGAAGGGGCCTGAATTTGCCCTCGAGATCAAGAAGGAAGAGACGGATCTTACAGCCGACATGATTGCCTCTGGCTCATGGAAGACGGCCAACTTCAAGCCTTACAACTTCAAGGCTCTTGGTGCTGATCAGAATGCCGGCGCTCTGCATCCTCTCAACAAGGTCCGCCATGAGTTCAGGCAAATCTTCTTCGAGATGGGTTTTGAGGAGATGGATACTAGCAAGTTCGTTGAGTCTGGATTCTGGAATTTCGATGCCTTGTTTGTTCCCCAGCAACATCCTGCAAGAGATCTTCAGGACACCTTTTACATCTCTGATCCCAAGGTCGCAGCCAAGCCTGGCCCTGAGTCGAAGGACGACAAGAAGGATTATGAGGCGTACTGGGAGAATGTTAAGCAGGTACACCAGGATGGCAAGTTTGGTTCGATTGGGTATCGATACCCCTGGGCTGCCGACGAATCTCTTAGACTTGTGCTTCGCACACACACGACCGCTATTTCCACTGCAGTGCTTCACCAACTGGCTTCCAAGAAGGGACCAGACGGCAGACCCCCCCCTGCGCGTTACTTTTCAATTGATAGAGTGTTCCGTAACGAGAGCGTTGACGCTACGCATTTGGCAGAATTCCACCAGGTCGAAGGTGTCATTGCTGACTACGGCTTGACTCTCGGTGGTCTGATGGAGTTCATGGAGATCTTTTTCAACAAGATGGGCATCACAGATATCAAGTTCAAGCCCGCTTACAACCCTTACACCGAACCCAGTATGGAGATCTTCTCTTTCCACAAGGGCTTGAACAAGTTGGTTGAAATTGGCAACAGCGGTATGTTCAGACCGGAGATGCTTGAGGCGATGGGCTTGCCCAAAGACCTGAGAGTGTACGGGTGGGGATTGAGTCTGGAGAGACCAACCATGATTAAATATGGCATCTCTAACATTCGCGAGTTGCTTGGACACAAGGTGGATCTGAACTTCATCGAGAGGAACCCGGCGGTGAGACTAGAGAAAAACTAGATAGGTTAGCATGGGAAGCTAGAAAAGGGACACACGACTTACATGAGATAAGCTTGGGCTGGCATTTGTTGGCGAATGGAATACCACATTTTGAAGAGGTACATGATTTACTCATGGGTGCCGCGAGTCGTGCCATCTAAATTTTACTCTTTTGGGCGTAGATTAGATGAAGTGTCAAACCAGGGTGGTCGGTGATCCTTATGACAGATCGAAGCTCCCCTCATCGTTCTCATCGGCGCCAGTACCCAGAAAGGACTTCTCCCGGTTCCTCTGTCGGCATTACTTGGGCAGACTCGGCGTATTAGTATTGGCCAATGGATCCATGAATGGGGGAGTTCAGAGCACCCCGGCATTGAAAGGCGGGGCAAATGCCAGATTCGGCGGGGTTTGACAGAAATGTCAGATCGCAACTCAAGAAGCTCGGACTCTTGCACAGCACCAGAATGTTGCGGGCAATGTTTGGCAGGCATACGAAATTACTAGAGCAGATCAACATGAGTCACACACAGGCACCTTCTCTGGTTCTGCGGCTAGTGACGGAGAAATGGATAGCCCCATCTTGTATTGCTCATACTTCTGGATCGAGATGCGTCCTACAATTGAATAATCAATGTGAAGCTGTTCTGCTTCAGAGGTGACCAAGATGGCGATTGCAGTCAAGCTCTACGGCTTCTGCCACTAAGATCTGAGTAACTAGTGAAGCAAAATGGCTTAATGGAGGAGGAGTAGCAAAGGCGCAACCGTTGCGCCAATTATTTGCTAGTTGGATGCTGTGCTGAAAGTTTGGCCAGTTTGAATAGCCGCAAAACTCTGCTCAGTGCGCTTTGGCAGAATTTTTCCTCTTGCCAAATCTTTGGGCTGGACGAGGGGGTTTCCTGTGTCACTGCGGTGACGCAGAGCCAGCGATAACGGCCGTCCAAGTGGTCCCTGGACTGCAAACGGGTCCCTGAAGGTAGAGACCGCCTGAACTATTACCCCAGTTAGCGCCTTGGTCGATTGTTGGGCCCCCCGATCGGCCATTCAACAGCCCCCAGAGAAAAATTTCCTTATCTTATCGGGTGATCGGAGCCGGACCGCCTTTTTCGCTGAAGAGGACGACGCTCCAACTTCCTCCCCACAACCTTAACAAAGCTCAGGAAGAGTCACAAACCTTCCAAGCGGCGGCCATATTTCTCCTCTCTCGGTCCCAAACCATTCAATTGGCTCTGACCTTGAGAATTCACTCCCTTCATACTGGTCTTTGTCGCATTGGCTACTTGAGACCTTCACAATGCCGTCGGCCATGTCAAATACTTTGGCAGGTCGAGCCCCGGCCGTACTCCGACATGGTCGACGAGTCCCGACAGCTCTGGCTGGCCGCAATTTCACCCTCGCGGCTGTCAATGCCTCGGCCAGAGTCCAATTCCAGAACAGCAGCGCGAAGTTGCTCCAGAAGCGTCTTTTCAGCGCCAGCGCGCTTCGTCCTGGCAGCGCTCAGCAGTCTGCGCCGAACCCCAAGGCTTATCTTGAGAGCGGCGTGATCAAGCCCCATGTTGGTGTTGATGTTAAGAAGGTTCTGGTCATCGGCAGCGGTGGTCTTGCCATTGGCCAGGCTGGCGAGTTCGATTACTCAGGTTCGTGTATCCGACGATTCTTGGCAAGAGCACTGTCAAGAATGAGTCACAACTCACCAGGAGACCCAAGCTAACAAGAGTCATGATAAAGGATCACAAGCTCTGAAGGCCCTCAAGGAGGCTGGTGTCGCTTCGGTCCTTATCAACCCCAATATCGCTACTATTCAGACCAACCACTCTCTCGCCGACGAGGTCTACTACCTCCCCGTCACGCCAGAATACGTGTCGTACGTTATCGAGAAGGAGAAGCCCGATGGAATTTTCCTCTCCTTTGGTGGCCAGACCGCCCTGAACCTTGGTGTTCAGATGCAGCGCCTGGGTCTTTTTGAGAAGTACGGCGTCAAGGTCCTTGGAACGAGTGTCAGGACTCTTGAGGTCTCTGAGGACCGTGATCTGTTCGCTCGTGCCTTGGATGAGATTAACATCCCCATCGCCAAGTCAATCGCTGTTGGAACCGTTGATGAGGCTCTCGAGGCGGCCGAGAAAGTCGGATATCCCATCATTGTCCGTGCCGCTTACGCCCTTGGTGGTTTGGGCTCTGGCTTCGCCAACAACGAAGAGGAACTTCGCAACATGGCCGCTAGGTCTCTGACCCTTTCTCCCCAGATCTTGGTTGAGAAGTCCCTGAAGGGTTGGAAGGAGCTCGAGTACGAGGTTGTTCGTGACGCAAACAACAACTGCATCACTGTTTGCAACATGGAGAACTTCGATCCTTTGGGTATCCACACCGGAGACAGTATCGTCGTTGCTCCCAGTCAGACCCTGAGCGATGAGGAGTACCACATGCTCCGATCAGCAGCCATCAAGATTGTCCGCCACCTTGGTGTCGTGGGAGAGTGCAACGTTCAGTATGCTCTGCAACCCGATGGTCTGGACTACCGTGTCATTGAGGTCAACGCACGTCTCTCTCGTTCTTCCGCTCTTGCCTCCAAGGCGACCGGATATCCTCTTGCTTACACCGCCGCCAAGATTGGTCTCGGCCACAGCCTTCCTGAGCTGCCCAACGCCGTCACCAAGACCACTACTGCGAACTTCGAGCCCTCCCTTGACTACATCGTCACCAAGATTCCCCGCTGGGATCTTTCCAAGTTCCAGCACGTCAAGCGTGACATTGGCAGTGCCATGAAGTCTGTTGGTGAGGTCATGGCAATTGGACGAACTTTTGAGGAGTCCTTCCAGAAGGCCATTCGCCAGGTTGACCCGAAGTTTGTTGGTTTCCAGGGCGATAAGTTCGAGGACTTGGACTTCGAGCTTCAAAACCCTACTGATCGCCGCTGGCTTGCTGTTGGTCAGGCAATGCTCCACGAGAACTACTCCGTGGAGAAGGTACACGAACTGACCAAGATTGACAAGTGGTTCCTGTACAAGTTGCAGAACCTTGTTGACTGCACCCGTGAGCTTGAGCAGGCTGGTGGCCTTGAGGGTCTCAAGAAGGACCTTGTTCTGAAGGCCAAGAAGCTTGGTTTCTCCGACCGTCAGATCGCTTTGTCTGTTGGCAGTACTGAGGACAAGGTTCGCGAAGTTCGTCTTAGCTTCGGCATCCGCCCGTGGGTTAAGAAGATTGATACCCTTGCGGCTGAGTTCCCCGCTGATACTAACTACCTGTACACGACTTACAATGCCTCTTCCCACGATGTCACTTTCAACGATAACGGAATCATTGTTTTGGGAAGCGGTGTGTACCGCATTGGCAGCTCTGTTGAGTTCGATTGGTGCGCTGTCGGTGCTACTCAGGCTCTCCGCAAGATGGGCAAGAAGACTGTTGTTATTAATGTAAGTGCAATGCCTTTCCGCTCTCCTCCGAATACTTGAGGGTCCATTTCTCATACGGCCCTTCCCAACCTCATCTCGCCTATCCTCTCCCCTTCTTGACCTCAACTACTCCTAAATACCCGAAACGTCCTGAGACACTAAGCTAACTCACCCCTTGACAAACCCGGAAACCTACAGCACTGATTTCGACATGGCCGACAAACTCTACTTCGACGAGCTCAGTTACGAGCGTGTGATGGACATTTATGAGCTTGAGAGTGCCTCGGGTGCTGTGGTGTCTGTTGGTGGCCAGCTACCGCAAAACATCGCCCTTCGCCTGCAGGAGACGGGTGGCGCCAAGGTTTTGGGAACTGACCCTAAGGACATTGACAAGGCAGAGGACAGACAGAAGTTCTCTGAGATCCTCGACAGCATCGGCGTTGATCAGCCTGCTTGGAAGGAGCTTACGTCTGTCAAGGAAGCTGAGGCTTTCGCTGACCAGGTTGGCTATCCAGTTCTCGTCCGCCCTAGTTACGTTCTGTCTGGTGCTGCGATGACTGTCATCCACAGCCAGGAGGATCTGAAGGAGAAGCTCGAGGCTGCTTCTAGCGTCTCTCCCGACCATCCCGTGGTTATCACTAAGTTCATCGAGGGCGCCCAGGAGATTGATGTCGACGGTGTTGCTTCTGAGGGCAAGCTGATCATCCATGCTGTCAGTGAGCACGTTGAACAAGCCGGCGTTCACTCCGGTGATGCCACCCTTGTTCTGCCTCCTGCCAACCTTGATCAGAACACTATGGACCGTGTCAAGGAGATCGCTCAAAAGGTCGCTAAGGCCTGGCGCATCACTGGTCCGTTCAACATGCAGATCATCAAAGCCGACAACCCTGAGGGTGGTGAGCCTGCGTTGAAGGTCATCGAGTGCAACCTCCGTGCTTCTCGTTCTTTCCCCTTCGTCAGCAAGGTCCTCGGCACTAACTTCATCGACGTCGCTACTAAGGCTCTTGTTGGCCAGGAGGTCCCTGAACCCCAGGACCTGATGGCCGTCAAGCGCGACTACGTTGCCACGAAGGTTCCCCAGTTCTCTTGGACCCGTCTTGCAGGTGCCGACCCCTTCCTTGGCGTCGAGATGGCCTCCACCGGTGAGATTGCCTGCTTCGGCAAGGACCTTGTCGAGGCCTACTGGACTTCCCTGCAATCCACGATGAACTTCCGCATGCCCGAGCCTGGTGAGGGTCTGCTTTTCGGCGGTGAGCTGAACAAAGAATGGCTCATCACCGTTGTCAACTACCTTCAACCTCTTGGCTACAAGTTGTACGCTGCCGACAACGAAGTTAAGCAGTTTATCGAGTCTAACGCTAAGGGCAACGTCGCCGTTGAGGTCATTGAGTTCCCCAAGGAGGACAAGCGTGCTCTGCGCGAAGTCTTCCAAAAGTACGACATTCGTGGTGTGTTTAACTTGGCCCAGGCCCGTGGTAAGACCATCATGGATGTGGACTACGTCATGCGCCGCAACGCTGTCGATTTTGGCGTTCCTCTGTTCATGGAGCCCAAGGTAAGTTTCTTTTTTCGCTCTTAATATTCCATTTGATTGATAGCTGACATATATGTAGACTGCCATGCTCTTCGCTCAGTGCATGAGTGAGAAGCTGCCCCGTAAGGAGGGCATCCCCTCTGAAGTCCGCCGCTGGTCTGACTTCCTTGGCGGCAAGCCGTTGTAAATACACCACATTGAGGAATTTAAAAAAGAAACCGCTCACCTCCCCTTTCCTCTATTCCATTTTCCAAGGAGTTCGTGGTTAGCCGGAAATCTACCTGTCTTTTCATTTTTTAAAAAAATTCATCGGCAACGGGCGATGGTGTGATATCGGAGGGGGATTAAAAAAAACAAGCCTGTTTTAGGGTAAACAAAAAACTGGTTTTGAAAGATAGTAAATCATGTTGTCTCGCGTAACTTTGATACGAAAGACTTCTTCCTATAGTTATCGCGTAAGATTTGGACCCGCGCTTGCTTTCGTCGGGATTAGCTTGGAGTATTGAGGCTGTAATCGAAAGTTGAAAAATAACTTCTGTGTCTTTATCTTGTCAGTCCCGCTTACTGTATGACCCAGCGCAGCATGCTCTGACGATCAATAGGTTTGTTTATCTTAAGGTTGCGCTCTATTAAGCTATGACATCTGTTTTTGAGAGAATTGCTATGTGGCTGCTCTCCACTATGCCCTTGCAACCAACCCCTTTAGTCCCCTTCCTATGCCGATATGCTTTTGCTACCTTGACCTTTCAACGCCGGACCAGCCAAAACCAACTTGGCCGCCGAATTCAGCAACCGAATGGTCTAAAGCACCCTTTCTTCCGCAAGTGAGCCTGAGGACTCCTGGGTAGTGCCTGATGCCCTAGTGTCATATTCGCACGCCGTTGGCAATCGATTCGACGAATGCACCGACCAACACTTAGATCATCACCCTAGTGGGCGGCGTTCGTTCAGCCTGAAGGCAGCAAATCGTTTAGCAAGCGGTTCCTCCGTGGTACCAGTGTGCCGCGGGGAAGTAGCAGCATGCATTGCAGAAGAAATAGGGTGGCCCTCGGACTCCCGTGGGCGCTTGGGGATTCGCTCACCGGTCGATTGCAGGATGGCCTGCAAAGTCTGCCAGCCCTCGGTAGATCGCAATTGATACGTGTCAGCGAGATCATGCTGCGATGCAACTCGGCAGAGTAATGACTCCTCATCCTAGACTGTTGTCAGAGAAATGATCTGCAGGAGACGATGATTACAAACCTTCGAAAGGATGCCCATATGGTGAATGAAGCAAAGTAGATGAAAATTTGACATTTCCAGCCCGCCTTCCGCCGGCTTTTGACCTCCCGAGAACTTGAGGATCCTCGCAGCAGCAGAGTGTTCTTGACTTTCGCCCATGTACTCGCGATTTTCAATTGGAAAGCCCAACTGTGTAAAGGTGGGCTTGGACTCATCCGGAAAGCCGTGTGTCAGTGTCACAAAGAGATACTCCACAGGGAACGACGGCTTCGCGTTCTCTTGGACATTAGCTCCATACTCGTTGATTCTGCGGTAGAACACCTCGGGGATGTATCTTGTGCGACTGACGGATCCGTCGTCCTCCTCTTCTTCCCGAACAAGCATGACGTTCGGGTCAGCAGAAGGCTCGATGATGTCGGCGCGTACCATCTCTACGGCGTCATTAGATGCTTGGTACGATGAAATGGAGATCTCTCCCGACTCATTGCCTGAAATGATGCATGTAACAAAGTTGGAGCCAAACTTGCCACTGTCGCTCCATTTGGTGGGCTTTGGGTGCTGAGCCTGTAAACGTGAGATGAAACAAATTTCTTGGGAAGATAAGAAATAAGAATCAGCATGTCGCTTGCACACGACTGATCCGTCGCCTACACCCGTATCCAGAAGGTCGGTCCAGATAACGCCGATTTGCTGCAAGCCGCATAGTCTGGCAACCTCATCAATGTCTTTCTGGTTCTCCCAAGAGTTCAGAGAAATGCCATCAATTTCGTCAATTTGAGGCGGCTCGTAAATGGCCTCCACGACTGCCTTGACGCCGAGAGGTACAACTTCATACTCTGTGTATCGTCCATATAGGTAGCCAAGTCGCTGGCCCCCCGTCTTTCTCCACGCATCAATAAACGTATCGATGATGGCGGGTGATGAGAATTCAACATGGTCGACCATACGGAAAGGCTGCGGTTGAAGTGTAATGGCGCTGGGCTGACATTTTGTGCAAATGCCTTCGGGCCACAGCGGATGTCCAGAAGGGCAGTCTCGCTTGACCCTGAAGTATGGCTCCACAAGGGGAGGTATGAAGGAACTTCCGAGCTCAGGCTTATTCGTGGCGGAGTTGATTTTCCTCAAATATGAGTGGAATGACATATACTTGATCTTCTTTTCTTCCAAATACTTGGCGTTGAATGGGTCCAAAGGCATGCAGTAATCGCACATACCCTTTTCGCCATGCCGGCACATCTTGTCTCGCGTCCTTGGGATCTTACCATCCTTCTTATCTAACCGATCATCGAGTGGGTGTTGCTTCACTACTTCCCAGGGATTCTTGATCTTTTCGGACGGCGACGTCACCGGGGGAGGATCGATAGGGAGGTCTTCGGTAGGGAGGATTGGCTTTCCATTTAAGCGATTCGAAGATGCAAGATGGTGGACGGGCGGTTGGGCGCCGTTGGTGGCACCGTTCGACAGGGCGTCCTGGTGCTGGTAGTTGATGAAAATGAGGTCGCCATGCCTATATGTGTCAGTCTGCGCATTATCCCTTGAGCTCCCTATGTAGCCTTACTTTAGCCCAATCTGTCCAACCTTGAAGGAATCAATATCGACAAGCTTCTTAGCATCACCACCGGTCGGGGCGTTGGAGAGGGTAATGGTATTCGGGTCAACTGTCTTTGGAAGGTTTGGAAGCAACTAGAAAAGTTAGAACAGGCGTCAGCGGCTTAGATAGGAAGCCATACCTGACGTCCGAGCTCGCCGAAGGTATCATCTTTGTCAATAGTGAGACGGCTCATGCCGTCAGGACCTCGAAGTCTCAAAAGCATCTTGGGCGACCGAGGCGAACTATGCAGAGTCGTAGTGGATTTGAGATCAAATGTGGGTGGATATAAGTGGGATTATAAAATAATTCAAACTCGTTTCCTTTAAGACGAGCCCATAGAACCTCTTTCCTACTAGTCCTTGTTTCGGAAGTGAAAGTAGGTGGGCGTGGTGGAAGGAAGACTGTGGAAGGGTGTGTGGAAGATAGCTTTTGCTTAGTGGGATGTGAAGCTCTAGAACTTGACGTGCCACTCACCTCGCCAGGTGAACAGCCGAACAGCGTCATCAAAGGTGGTGCCTTACTGTGGGCCCGGCAAAACGACGGAGGGAGGGGCACACACCTCCAGCACACATCGCCCCTGGCATAGCTTATTCACCGCCCAACAGGGGCATTGGTGGCTTGAAATGAATCTATGATGAAGCAGCCACACTTGCCTTGCTCGGACCAACAGAGGTACCCTTGTACCCTTGTGCCACCTTGCAACTGGGGTCAAAGATTCCAGCGCCGCTTTACCAGAGATTGGGCGCTTTCACCAAGCACCAAAGGTAGAGGTGCACTTGGTATACCAAGAGGTCGTGTATCGCTACTAATTGCAGCATTTTGTTTTCAAAGACTCTTTGAGGATACAGCAAAATGCAATGGAAGTGAGCGAAAAGACGTAGAGTAAAGCAAAGAGATAACAAGGATAAGTCGCATCTTCCAGTAAAGCGGCGGGATATCTTTGACCCTGGTGGGCAGCCAAAAAAGTGTCCAATGCGACCAAGCTGTCATATTGTAACTGGACACGCTACATCAACGATCGACTAAACATCCGCTTCACCACCACCAATTTCTTTGTCCCTCGTTCACTCTCTCCACCATCCTTCCACGATCCTTACGAGCGCACAAAATCCACAACAATGTTCGACGTAGACTGGATGAGCCTTGTGCTCCCTTTTGCCTATCTGACTGTTCTCGGCGGCGTTTTCATGACCTTTTCTAAGATTTACAGACAACGGAAAGCCAGTATGTGATTCCCGCCCCACGCATCCTCGACGATGCGCAACGAGTGCACCAGAAAGGACGCAATTGCTGACAATTCTTCCCTTTTACAGCGCAAAGCGCTAACCTCGCTCCCTGGTTCGGCCCTCACCTCCAGCGCAACATCTACCTTTCCCTTCTGCATGTCGGAAACCCCGAGGAAGGCCAGGAGAAAGCCCCTAAGATTCCCGACACTGTCATTCGCGCTGCTCTCCTCCGCCGCGCTGTAGAGGATATTCACCGTCTGGTCCAGATCCGCTCCGCCAAGCAAGCTTGCAGCTCATTGTTGCAACGTGGAAGTGTTGGCGATGACCTGTGGCAGCGTTTCCAGCGTGCGGAGAAGGAGATGGAGGACGAGCTTCGCGACGTTGTAATGGAGGTTCGTACAGCTGCTCAAAGTCATTCAAGCATTTCATGACTGACTGTTCAACTAGGCCAACGCTCTCGCCCCCAACTGGGGCCAGTCCATTTTCCAGTCCGCCAACGAGATTGCCGCCAACACCATTGTGCGTAACCGACTCGAGGAGATCTCCAACACTGTCGAGCAGGAGAAAGAGTGGTGGGAGAAGCGCAGAACCACCATTCAGACCGAGTTCATGAAAGAGCTTGACGAGTCCGAGAAGAGCTCTACCGCTCCGCCTAGTGTCGACGGCGACGCTGTCCTCGTTGACTCGAGCACTGCCAGCACGCCTTCAAAGAAGAAGAAGGGCAAGAAATAAAGAGAACGCGCCCGATTTATCCGCTCTTTCTTCTCCCACTTCCTCTCCCACCTCCCTATCCCACACCCTTTGCGGCTGCAAGGGTCTTCGCGTCACGTCCCGTCATCACTAGATACCTCATTTCTCACTACTGTGTATGATACGGCAAGCGGCGAGAATCAAAGCATACAACGCTCGTCTGGTTGTGTTAGGCGTTCAGGGTTATACAAGAAGTTTATTTGCATCATGAATTGATTTAAGAGTCCACAAATCATTTCAGTTCCCCTCGCTCTGTCTAAAGGTCGAGCCGGAGGTTGCCCAGAGGGGGTTCTATCTCTATAGTCATGAGCGTATCCGTCTCAAAATGCTTTGATGTGCTGTATGTGATATCGACGCAATGCCATGCAAGAGAAAACAACAATAGAAACCAAAGAAAATCAATACCATTCGCCACCCTTGGAATTTCCCTCATATCCCGTCACCTAAGTGGTTTGCTCTCATGAGTACCACGGCATCTTCCTTCTCAGGGCCTCCTCGTCCTCAGCTATTCTCGCCTGTCGGGCTTCCTCCATAATTTGTTCCTCGGTCTTGATGCGTATCCGAATGGGGGTATCGCAGCCTCTGTAGGAAGGATAGTCAGCAAAGGGGTCATTAGCAAATTACGCGGGACTGCAGATCATAGTACACTACGCCGCAAATTGAGTCAAGCTCGACTTACCTGAGACCGATGAACTTTCCTATCTTCCTTCTTTTCTCCTCGAGGGTGAGGCCCTCACGCCACGTGATGGGGCAAGGGTATTGTCCCGACCAGGGCGAAGGGGAGCACTGGTGGTAGAAGCGCGCGAGGTCGTCCAGCTGGGACTCAGTGAGGAGCCAGAAGTTGAGCAGTGTTGCGGGGTATTGAGGATGAACGGCTCCAGTGGACATCTGCACCAAGGGGGCAAGTGGCAGACGCATCTGGCGGATCTTCTCCTGGAATACTGCATTGCGGGCAGCTCGACGGTTTCCGATGCCGCCGTTGGTGGTGCAGTGGTGCCTGGTTGCCATCCTTTTGACTTTGGTATCCGACTTTGGCGCCTTCCAAATGTGTTCGAAACAATTGAGACCTTGTTTCCAGTTTCTCAAATATACCAGGTATCTTGCGAGATGGTTCTCGAGGTTGATTTGACTTTGTATCGGTAATTCAAGTTCCAAGTCTCAAGGTGTCCACGTTGTCAAAGTAAAAGAGAGAGTGGTCTGGGCTGAGAAAGATCTCGACAACGATTCAAACGAAGTGAAATGAATGAGTGTGTATCATAAATGATATAATAAGGATCTTCGCGAGAACAGACTGACGTCTTTCAGTACTAGTACTAGTCTTGGGGGATCGTTTATTAAAATAGTCTTTGTGCTTCAGGTGGAAATGATTAATACCTGCACAGAAAGAAGAGAGCGACTGGAATATGGAACAAGAACGGTCTGCGTCTATTTTGTAGAAGCGACTATATTGGTTGATTGAAGGATGAGATTTCAAGACTGTTTATCGTCAACAATCACGGCGAGCATTGGTTCTTGTATTGAAGCAGAAATGCCCGTTCCCCACCATAACGCCGTTCTCCTTTCTTTGACAGAACAGATCCATTGCGAGACAAAACAAACGACCCCAAAGAGCCGATGAAGGAGAAAAAGAGGGTCGAGATTAGCAGACACTGGGGGAGAAATCGATCGGACCAGAATCCAGACCCAGCTCTCGTTGAAGAAAAGCCATCGACCCGGCCTGCTGGGACCCAAAGAGAGGCAGCAGCAGGAACTAACACGTCAAGAGAGACACATCTGCTTTGTTCCTCGGCCTCAGAGGCAGGCCGACCTGGGTAAAGCAGGCGAAGGTGGTGCGCCCCCGAACCCAGGGGGCCGGTTATTCCTCTCTATTTCCTCCTTTACCTCACCCAATGCGCCAAAATATTTTGAGACATGGCGCGGAGCGGGGAGGGAAAGGGGCCTCTCTTTGGGGCAGGTTACGGTGTGAGAGAGCCCGGATGGCCTAGAAAAGTCTCGCACCGGATGCACTAGATACGCCTTCGGTTCAACGTGGAGCTTCCGAGACAAGTTCCCTCTTATTTTCCTCCCCTTCCCCTTTTCCTACCCTCTTACTCTGGGAAGGGGGACGGCAATTCCAAAACCCGTGCTTTCGGCAGCCCGAGAACGGTCAGCGGAAATGGCTAAAAGAGAGAGGCTGAGCCCCCCGTTCTGTGGTGGTCTGGCCAACCAGAGAAAGAAGTGCCAGGAAAAACAATGGCCTTGTTCAAGAAGAGCACTGAGTAAATTTGACAATCCAACAGATTGAATCACCCGAGTCATTGATGATTGTTCCAAAAAGGGAGGGTAACCTTGGGGGGCAAACATCTTCTAACTATTTGACTGTATTCATAGAAAAATTACTTGCGTTTTGATATAGTGAGTACGCCTGCTTGTTCTTGAGAAGAAGGAAAGAAGACAACAAAAAATACATTAGCTACCGTGACAAACACCCCTGCTCCATCGCACGACAGAAGCGCTTCCCTATTGCACTTCAATCCAGGCTTTCCAAGGTGTCGTCACGGAAACCTTTCAGCTTTTAGAGCCACTTGAGCTTGGCAATGTGGTCCGTCTTCTTTCTACTCATCTTGACAAAGCCAAGGGCCTTTAGCTCGGCTAGGCCCCGATAAAAGAGCACCAACGCCGCCCGCTCATCGGCGTTCCCATCGCTTTCCGCAGCGTCGTCGCCGACACTGCTGCCCACCATGGCGTAGAAAGCGGACCATAGATCAGCGACATTGATGAGATTCCCGGTTTCCAAGTAGAGGTGATATAGAAGCGATGTTGCAGGCAGTGTCGTCGAAAGGCCCTCACCAGTAGTGCAGCACGAGCAGGCGAGGTAGTCCTGTGGTCGTCTCAGGCTGCGCTCAAATACATCCTGGGGCCGAGGGACGAAAACGTCTCGGTGGGGTGTCTTGGAATCGTAGAGCCATGTCTCGTGCAGGAAAATGTCGATGGCCGGCTCGCACCTTATGACGTCTTTGAACAACTCCGCAACCTGGTCGATGATTTTAGTGAAGGCTTTGTCGTTGTCGGAAAGAGCGGCCGAGTCGTGGCTTAGCTGCACTTTTTGCGCAACAACGGTTGTGCGGAGCACTCTGCTGTGGCCGCTATACGCGCTCCGCAAGGTGTTTCCGTCTTCCTGGGCCCTATTGACCAGCTCCTTTGACTCAGCTAGAAAAGCATTTACAAGAGTCGGTAGGTCCCCAGCCTCAGATTCCCATGCGGTGAGGCAAAGTTGGTGATCGCCGCAGGCTACGGCTGTTTGGACACGTTGTAACATTGAGACAAAGTCATCCGCTTGCATCCGCTTGATGCTTTCAACAATGTCCCAGCCCTCGGACGAAAGGGTGATCCCTTCGGCCACCGCTTTCATGTACATCTGAGAAAAGTCCTCCTGGACCACCCCCATGGCCTCGATCAGCTTAAGCGAGCGAAGCAGGCTAGTGGCCCATGCCCGTTTCTTCTCAGGAATGTCAAAAATCATTTCCCGCAGGAGGTCATCGTTCTCTAATAACGACCTTGCTAGTTTCAGATCCCTTGCTTCAACGGCGTTTTCGACCTTGCGCTGGAAAGAAGGGAGAGAACGAAAGGCCTCCAAGTGACTATCCTGGACGAGTTCGCTGTTCATCTCATCATCCTCTGAAGAGAAGACACTAAGGGGGTTGGCATAAAAATGGCACATATATGCGTACTACCCGTCGTCAGCACCGATTCGTCAAAGAACAAAAGACTGCCATGCTTACCTTGATGGATGCGACAAAGGTCTGAATGCTGGCAACCTGGTCATGCTGCCTGTCGACGAGATTCTGCAATAAGGTTGGACCAATATTCAAGGCTGTATCCGTGGCCGCAATGGCAGGTTTGAAGATTTGTTCGAGTATGGTTCCAGTCTGTACAACGTCAAATTGAGCGCCATAGATATGCTGGCAAGCGGACTTGAGCAGTCGAGCCTGTAAGAGCTCTACCGACGTCGCAATACCGAATAGAAGCGTAAACGGGATCCTAGGCCGCCACGAGCTATTGCCATAGTCAGTATTTTGTGGTCGAGGTGATAACCCGCGGCGACGCACTTAAAGAGAGTAATCAAATCTGACAGAAGCGTGCTGTCAAAGCCTTCACTATCCTGAAACGCGACAAAGATGTGGTCGCATCGCTGCGTCTTTGAGAAAGCGTACAATCCCGCCAGGTCGTAGTTGAGATATTTTCGACCCTGTCAATTGTAAGCCTTGTACATTTCTGTTTATGTGGCATAGTAACTTGCGTCTTGGCCAAATGCTACCTCCGTGTCCTCATCGTCAAGCGACCCTCGAGACGTGGCATCCTCAATAATCTTTTTGAGAGCCGCCTTGAGATTGGGCGCCTCGGACGACTTAAGTCTAACAAACTTGCTTCGAGTGCTCTCTTGGAGTGTCTCTGACAACTGCTCGAACAGCAAGTCCTGGGATGCAATATTTGGCCCAGTGATAACAAAGGCTGCAGGGATCTTGTGTCTACCCAGATGTTAGGAGGTATTGCCTTCAAAACTTTGCTCTTACTTACTGTGAACCGGCTTTATCTTGGACAAAAGCAGTCACTTGGTCTAATGTGGCCGAGTTTGCATCTCGCAATATTTTCTTGAGGGTTTGCCTTAGCTAATGCTACCGAGCTCGGTATCGGTGATTGCATACCTGTACTTTGGACTCTATCCTAGCCCAGCTAGCCTTGAAAAGTTTCTCACGTAGCTGCACGCATTCGACGAGCTCCCCTCCGTTTAGCAATGAAGAGAATTTCGTCAAGGCTGTGTCGTTCGCCTCTTCATTGATAGCATTTATGGATACACGTCGTCGTTTTGCAGGCCGGTCAGTTCTGGTTTCATCCCCCTGCGGACGGAAGATGTAGGCAGCCTGGACAAGAGTCAGTGTTCTGAGCTCTGTGGTATGAAAACAATACCTACTTGATGGTCCTCCTGAGTGAATTGAGTCCCTTCGATGAGTTCGTCGTTCATCGTGTGGAAATGTTAAGATATCGTTATTCACTGAGGCAGACAGTCGGTAGAGTAATGAAACCGAAACGCGCTTTTCTGGGTAGCACGCGTCGGGCTGGGGGCACAGACAAATATTGTACTGTCAGCGGTCGCGGCACTGTATGACCCACGGTTACTGTAGCAGCACGTACAGTGCAATTTGATGTCCGACTTTGGGCATACTCAAACTCAGGCATACAATTTCACAGCAGGCTTAGGGTTTGCATGAACCCGTATCATGAAATATCCTAACAAATGACATTAAACCAATTCTCCTAGGCCGTGTGGAAATAATGACTACCAGTCTCGTCTCCCTCTCGCTTTCGCAAACCAAAGACCCGATGTGACCGCCGTTCCACCCCCCAAACCGGGGCCTTTACCATCCTACATCGTCATAACCTGAGCAGGCGGCTTTTGCAGACCATCCAGGCATGCCTGGAACGTCATCCTCTGAGTTGGGTCCTTTCTCCCTAGGTAGCTTTTGGCCCCTTTATACAACGAAACCTTCCCTCGGGACGAAACCGCGTGCGCTGTCTGCGGGATTACCGCTGTTCCCTGTCATCCAACGCTCCCAGCTGCACCGCTAGAGATAGGGATGAGTAATTTTACACCGAACCCAAAACAAGACACCGCTTTTGCGATTGAAGAAAAACCGTATACGCCAGGAAACGCAAGTGGCCAGGCCTAAATAGCCCTGGGTCGCCCAGACTACCTGCTGGGCATATGTCTTTACTTTTGAGCACTTCTGCGACGTAAACGGGATTCCTAAGCCTTAGCTTCAACCGGTTCCGGAGGCGCAGGTGCAGACTACGAATTGGGTTAGCATCGTTCGAAACGGTTCAGGAAATCAGCGTCTCTTACCTCTTCAGCTGGCTTTTCAACTGACTCTTCCGTTTTTTCGGTCTTTTCTCCCGCCTTTTCAGGCTCCTCGGACTTCTCGTCCTCGACTGTCTTTTCCTTCCCGTCCGTCGCATCTTTGTCGGCCTCCTCGGACTTTCCAGTGTCCTTCGACTCCTCCTTAACGCCGTTCGAGTCGGCGGGGTTCTCCTTGGAGTCAGTGGAAGTCTTACCAGAAGTGCCGTTAACACCGTTGGTAGCAACCGGAGTTGAAGCCGCCGCGGGGACTGCCGCCGTCTCGACACCACTGATGATCTTGTTCCACTTGTCCAACAATGTCGATGATCGGTCTTTGAGCTTAAACTCATCTTCCTTCGGAATAGAGTCAAGCTTCAAAATGGCCTTCAAAACCTTGTGGATCTTGGTCGCCTTGATGATAGAAACCTCGAGGTCAGGAAAGCTCTCCAGTTTCGTAATATAATCCGACATCATCTTCATCTCTTCTTCCTTGGGCTCCTGATCTCTCGTGAGAAGACCCTTCTGCAGCTTGTGACGCAGGAAAAGAACCTCTTTCTGTTACGAGGTGTTAGTCACTGAAGCTTAACATATCTTGGGTATGAATTACCTCTTTACGCTGATGTTTCTCTTCAGCAGTCAACTCAGGCTCCTTAGGAACTTCCTTCTCCTTCTTCTCGGCACCGTCCTTCTTCGACGACTTGGTCTTCGCAGGCTTTGCAGCTTGATCTTTTCCAGACTTTGGGGTTGCAGTTCCATTTGTCGTCTTGGGAGTAGAAGAAGTGTTCAGCTTGATCTTGGGCTTCTTTGCAGACTCGGTTCGGGCAGGGGTCTGTGGTAATGGTTAGTGAATAGGCTATGGAATAGATGGCCTGGCAACCCACGCTAGCGGCCTCCTCCTCGGCCTTTCTCTTCTTCGACTTGGACTTCTCCTTCGGAGTTGGGGCCACCTCCTCATCAGCAGCATCGCCCATTTCGATGTCCTCGTCGTCAAGGATGGCTGGGGTCTTTTTCTTGTTCTTCTTCGCAGCTTCTCTAGCATCCTTGGCAGCCTGCTTCTGAGCTAGTTCATCTTGGTACTTCTGCAATTCTTCCTTGTAGTGTTCGAGCGAATTCTGTTCAATGGCAAGTTCGAAAGCGTCCCGCAGCTCCACCTTCTTCACCTTATCGGTAAGCAGTTCAGTCGCCTTCTCCGCGGTGAGTTCCTGCAGAGCGGAGTTGGGGACCCAGCCACTAGTGATTGTAGATCAGTAACGCGGTCTCGTCTATAGGTTAGAATGCTGGATAAAGCAGGGAAAGGGCTCACAATTCGTTCGTGCGAAGATACATGACAGGGAACGAGCGGTCATTTTGTCTCTTGCCACCGTCGGCGAAGTCTTCGCGATACGTTCCATCGGCACGCTTAGCAGTTACGGGGCGTGTCTTGATAAGCGTCTCGGGGAGCATTTCTTCGTCGCAAATAATGACAGGCCATTGGGGGTATCCCTTGAGCTTCACAAGGAAGTGATCACCTGGCTTCGCGTCCTTGTGGGACAGCTTGGCCTTAGATGCTTTCTTGCTAAGTTTCTTGCCCTTATGCTCCGGAACTCCCGAAGACCTGCGACGCGCCTTTGACTTATCAGCTGTCGCATCAGTAGCGGCGGGCTCTTGCTCTTGATCATGCCCGGTAGCAGATTCGGAGGCTTCCTTCGTCTCGGGTGCGTCTGTCGCGTCCTTCATTTCGACGTCTGTATCGTCGGCTTTGGATGGCTCTTTAGACTTGCTAGCAGGTTCCGCGTCTTTGGTCTCGGCTGGTGGAAAATAATGCGTTAGCAACAAGTACAATTGCGTGATGTTAAACCGAAATCGCGGATGGACAGCGCGTACAATCTGTGGTCTTGGACCCCTCCTCCTGTGCTTCCTCGGTATTGTCCTTGGCAACTGCCTCGGAGGATTTCGCGTCATCAGCAGCAGCAGCAGGCGCATCAGAAGCTTCAGCTTCAGTCGTGGTCTCGTCTACCTTCTTTTCCACCTCCTCAGCAGCAGGGGGCGCAGATTGGCCGCTGGTGGTCGGCTCGTCAGACATTGCGGGCGATGCGGCGATAACTATTGATAATGGTGCAGATGGAGACTCGACAGGAAAGTCGCGACGCCAAAGATTAATTGCGATGGGGCAAAGGGACAAGACGCGTTCTGATACGCGCAATTCGTGATGCAGTTAGTCGCGACGATGGTGCGGGATAAGTTTGCTGGACAGAGGATGATGGGCGCAATTGAGAGCTCCCCGTGTTGTGGTGGCAGAAAAAGGCGACGGGCTAGAAAAAGATGAACGCAGAAACTCTTGGAGGTTGGACGCGGATGACGGCGGACACGTGACCTGGTGCTGATCCACAAGGGAACGAGTTAAATCGCGGAGTCTCAGTTGCAGCGTAGTGTGCGTGCGTGAGAGGGACGTGACGGTGGATGTGGCCCGGTCATTGCCCAGCCCACCGATATGCTCCTACCGCAACACAGCCACTCACCCCCTTTCCTTCACTTAAGCATCATAGTAGCGCTCGCCCGAATGGGCAACCACTGAAATGAAACCTTGCTCTTCAATTATATTTTTTGACTTTGATCACGTTGTTGGAACCAGTGCCGTTTGCTCGCGTGATGGCCCATATGGGCAACCGCGTCCAGGATCCGCCCGCCAACTTGTCCACTGAAGCAACACCCTCCGAAACCACTGTCGCATCGCACACAGTCTGCACAACCGGCCATCAGGCGACTTAACCCTGTCAAATGAGGACAAGAACCACCTGTAGATTACCTGTAACGGGAAGAAGAACTGACTTTGGCCCAATGTTTGTCTATTATCCTCCAACTCCTCTTGATCGATATTGTACACATAAAGACGTCGCACGGACGGGATTCCTCTGCCATCATTAGGGCATCTACTCGTCGTCCTCTTCCTCGTCGCTGTCGTCCACATCCATGCCTTCTGCTGCCTCGACAGAGAATTCGCGTTCCTGGTCCACCCCGACGTAGCTGTCGCTCATTAGGAACAGCTTCAGATCATGCTTACCAGCCGTTGGCACGGTGAACTCCAACTTGACCTTGAGCTCACGGCCAATTGTGACGCGCTTGATTGCAAGCAGATTTTTCGTTCTCTCTTCGCCCACCACAAGCCACCAGTTCTCCAGTTTCTTGGCCGGGTAGAATGGCGCATGCACGGTCGGATCGAACTCCTCATCTTCATCAACCTGTCGTTGGATCTGCACGCTGAGGTAGGCAGGCTCATTGGCTCTGATATCATCCTCGTCCAGAACACTGTGTTCGAGCTCGATATCGGGGTACTTGTCGTTCGTGAACGCCGCAGCTTGAGCCAGCTGGTTCTGGTTGAGCCCGAGACGCTTGATTAACTTGGCGTAATCAGGATTCTCCTCAGGGTTCATGGCCTCCATGAAATCAAAGATGTCCTTAATACTGCAAAAGGATTCAGCGTTAGCGTTGCACAAGAACGTTGATATGAGAGGTACATACCCAAATTCGTTCGCCACCTTAACGACCTCAGGCGTGAAGTGAGGAATCTGCTTCAAGGGGCTGTCGCGATCCCACATAGCCTGCACCACCATCTGTGACATCTCCATGGCATTCATAGCGTTGAGATGACCATCAGAGGAGAGAATGTCTACAGTAGCACTCAAAAGACTGAGGACCTTGGAAATGATGACTTCCTGGTCCTTGGCAAGATCAATCGGCAGCTGCATTCTGGAGAAATGCGCCTGGAGAAGGACAAACGCCTTGAAGTGCGCCGAGTCATAAACGGGATCCGACATCTTGACCGGGATACGGTCATATATGCGGCGGAGGATACCTTCCTCGTGCCTTCTGATTTGAATAGCCTCAAACTCGGTAGCCGAGGTAATGATCTCTAGCACACCCTTAAGTTTCGTCTTCGCGCTGAGCGATAGAAGGAAGGTCTGCATGGTGATGTAAGAGATGTTGTAGTAAGCCGCAATCATAGCAGCATTCTGCGGCGCAACCGAGCCATCATCTTCGTCGAGCTCGATGATCTTCGAGTCACTTAACTCTTGGAGGGTGGTCTGAATAAGATCCGACATGTAGTCGCTCAGACCGTCCTGCGTTGTGCTAGTGAGGCTGTAAAAACTAGGGTTGGCAAGAAGTCGCCTGTAAAAGTAGGTAAACGTCGTCCAGTTGATGGCGTCGTCACCAGACTCGATCATCTTGGTACTGATCTCGGTTACGAAGGCATCGTGAAGGTAGTTGTGCAAGTGCGACTCAACGGGAAGAGCCTCGTTCAGGAACTTCTTGTAGAAATCCCTCTTAGCCGCCGGAAGCATAAGAACACCGCGTCCTCTGCCGTCCTTTGAAGGGCGGAGGGCTTTGCCAAACATATGCAGGACTTCACTGAGGGAGTAGTCGACATAACGGTGTTCCCGGCCTTCGAAGTACTGAGTGCCCATGACAACCACTAGATGAGCCGTGCTGTTCAGCTCCCAACAAACGTCACGAGAAGCAACCAGAACTTGGATAGCACCGTGCTCGTACAGATGCCTAACAATACGCTTGTCGCTTTGGCTGAGAGCCTCGTGGTAATAACCGACACCATGGGAGAGAGCCTCCGCCAAAGCTTCTTCGTTGACGCGCTCGAGCAGAGGTCGCAGCTGCTCGAGCTCGGCATGCAGAAAGCGATCTTCGTCATCATCCATGAATGCTGCGGTCAGCAAATCACGGGTGGTGGCTCGCGTTTGCTTCCGGCTTGGAACAAAAACGATGGCTGGCTTGTCAGCGGACATCTGTGTGATGGCCAAGTAAGTGGGCTTCGCCATGGACAACATTAACGAAGGGAAATGAGGGTTGGTGTAAGACTGAATGTGCAGTTCGAGAGGAACAGGGCGAACGTGCGGGCTGAAGTTATAGATGTCATGCTTCTTTGCATCAATCCACTCTCCGAGATCACGAGCATTGGCAAGTGAAACTCCCAAGGCGATAATTCTCATGGGAAGCTCCGTTTGAGTTCTGATGTAATGCATCCTTGAGACGATTATCTCGTAAACGTAACCCATCTGGTTACCCAACAGATGGATCTCATCAGCAATGAAAAGCTCAACGGTAGAGACATTCTTCCTGCGCTTCCATTGACGTGACAAGACGTCCCATTGAACAGGGGTAGCGAGAACAAGATCACTGCGTTCCAGAATCTTCAGGTCCGTCGTAGTCTCGCCCGTTAGCTTTTCAATCGTCTTGCCACCGCGGAGGTCACTGAGTCGCTTCTGCCAGTCTTCGAGGCGCAAGTCAACCAGCTCTTGTGAGGGTGCGATGTAAACGGCGCGCCCACTGTCCGGCTTGGACCAGTGACGCAGCAGCGCGAACTCTGCACACACAGTCTTGCCGCTGCCGGTTGGAGCACCAACGAAGACGTTCTGGTCGGTGTTGTACAAAGAGTTGAAGGTTTGTGTTTGAATGCGGTTAAAGTTATCCCAGCTGGGGTAGAGCTTCGTGTACTCCTTAACCTTTAAAGCGGATACAGGGAGTGGCTGAAGCTCGAGAAGCTCGGTGTGAGGAGGGAACCTCTCAGGAAGAATCAGCTTGTGAAACGAAACAGGCAGTCTGGTTTCAGAGTGCATCCAACGGTCCGAGATAACGGAAATGAAATAGTTGGGGGGCATAGGCTCCGTGATCGGGACAGTAAAGTCAACGACGTGTTCGTTGGACTCGGACTCAGCATACTCCTTGCGTAGCAGGAACTGATCGCTGAAAAGGATATCCTCTCCGTCACAATCTTCGACAAGGATCCAGAAGCTTTCGGCGGGTCCGTGAACTTCAACGTCCCACTCAAAGTTGGGGGTAATGCTAAGCTCAACTCGGAGCATAGACCTAGTCAACGGTTGGACTTGAGCTTGTACTTCAACTCTCGGAAACTTGGCCACCAGGCTACAAACAGTTCTGCCGGCCTTGGGCATGCCAAGCAGCTCGCCCATGCGAGGAGGGTCAAGATCAAAGTAGCTGCTCCAGGACACCTCAATTCTCTCTGATTTTTGCACAATGTCTCTTGGGCAATTGGGAAATTGGCGCAGGGGTGACATGGTGGGCCACATTCGCTTCTCGGCCATCTTGCACAAGTCCAAAGCGGTCTTCGCCACAGAGGCCCATCCCTTCTTCATGGTGATTTCGAAGATAGCGCGAAGAATACGACCAGCAGATTGAGTGACATAAACCATGTCGGCCATGAGAGCAAGACCATCAAGCTTGAGACGTGAGATATAAGCTTGCAACAGAACGTTGATCTTGGCGTGAGGCTCCTCGATACTTTCCTTGACTGGAATGGGAACTCTACCCAGCAGCTTCGCAAGTTCAAGCTTCTCATCCTGACGCACTGGAATGTACTTGAACTCTGCGCTGAGTGAGAAGACTCGGAAAAGTTCAATGGTCGTGATTGACGGTTGAATAAGGTTGTTGTAGGTATCCATAGAGCCGTGGGTGATGTAGTAGTGCGATGCGATGCGGCCGAGCTCTGTTGACTGGAGCTTCCCGGTCTTCTCATCGTACTTGACTAGATTTGACTTTCTCAGTACAACTGACGCAGAATGAATAAGATCGACTCGCTTTTGTTCCAAAGCTTCATCATCCTCATATTCCGCGCCAACTTGGTATAAACCAGGAGACCGCAGCATACGGACAAAGAGATAGGTGTAACCAAGCCACTCGACACCCTCATCTCTGCTCCTGACATTTCCGAGAACGATTTCAGCATTCAGGTTATCTACCAGGCGGCTGACAAACTGACTTTCGATTGGCAGCTGCTGGTTGAGAAGGGACAGGTAGTATTGAATTTCGTTTTGGGTCGTAATGATGATACCTTCTCCGTAAGTATCGAATTGGGGACGACCAGCACGGCCAAGCATCTGCAAGACATCTTGAGGGCTGAGCTCAACCCAACTACCCTTCTCCGGGGAGTAAACCGAGGTACCCTTAATGATGACAGTGTGGGCGGGCAGATTAACACCCCAAGCTAGGGTCGCAGTGCACACCAACACTTGAATGGCACCTCTGGCAAAGAGATCCTCAACGTCAGTACGGTCGATACGGTTCATACCAGCATGGTGAATACCAAAGCCGTAGGGCAGAATGTCTTTCAGATCCTTATCAGTAGCCTGGCTGGCGGCTTCGTTGAGAACTTCACGACTACCAGCGTCATGACGCAGGATCTGATTGATCGTATCCATCTCGAGAGCCTTGTCCCTGATGTACCGAGCAGTCTTGGCAGTCTCCTTTCGTGAGTGAACGAAAATGAGCATCTGATTTCTGTTGGCACCGACATGCTCAATGACCTTGTTATATGTAACATCGTTCATGGTCTTTAGTTGTTTGATAGCCTTGCGATCCGTAACACCAATAAACTCCTGTCGGAGAGGGCAAGGGCGGAAACTGCCGTCAAAGTGGAAGAGACCAGTGTTGATGTCTACACGTAAAAAGCTGGCGACATCCTTGTAGTTTGGCAGTGTTGCGGAGAGACCAATTAGACGCACCGGCTCGCCTGTCTGCTCTGTCTTCCGGATTGTTCTGCTTACGATACTCTCAATGACTGGGCCACGGTCATCATGGAGAAGATGAATTTCGTCGATGATAACCAAGCGAACCAGGTTCGTGTAGGTGAGATCGGTTGCCTTTCTCGTGATGACATCCCACTTCTCAGGGGTGGTGACAATGATCTGAGTTTCTGCTATTTGTTGCTTGGTAAGCTGTCGGTCACCGGTTAACTCAGAAACTTTGATGCCGTATGGCTCAAGTCGTTTGCCGAAATTGCCGACTTGTTCCTGTACCAGAGCCTTCAACGGTGCAATGTACACGATCTTAAAAGCATCCAAATCAATGTCACCAGTCTCAGGATTCCGGTTCTTGCCAATCTCTCGCAGAATGGTGAGCATAGCCACGTTCGTCTTTCCACTGCCAGTTGGGGCACAGATGAGCATATTGCCGTCATCTCCAAATGCTGTAGGATAGCACTTGGATTGGATCTTGTTGAGAGATTTGGCAGTGCTGAAGGGTAGGCGAGACCATTCGGGCATGTCGGTAATTGGAATAAGTGTGTCACCTGGCTCGTTGCGCTTCTTGGGAGCAGGAACGTGAATTTCCTCGTAGCCTTTGAAGGTACGTTTTGTCGAGCCCTCAGGGAGTCTGACTTTGGGGTTGCTCATCAAATGGTTGCCCTGGTCAAATACCAAGTTCTCCAAGTTTATAAGCTTCCGCGGCTGCAGTCCTCCCACCAATCCCTGAGGACGCTCTGGCTCAGGGACGGGCGCATCTGTGAGTGAAGAAGCTTTGTCGATGTCCATCTTTATCTCCATCTTCCGCTTATGGTCATCTGTCTTCTTGCCAAACTTCTCGTTGAGAATCCATTGAAGGCCCTCTGAGGCCATTTCTCGTTCAATGATAGCCCTTTCCTCGTCTGTCTCAGCTCTTGAGTGACGAGTAAGCCATACAACCTTTTCTCGGTTCTCGATAAATAGTTGAACCAGCTCGTGATGCTCGTAGTCAAACAGCTCCATAAGGTCGTTCTCAATTTCTCGGAGGGACTTATCATCGCCACCCTGCTCATCAGGCTCGCCGGAAAGGATACGAAGAGCATCAGTGGCCTTGTCGTGCTGCTCATGAGAATCCGCATAGAGCCTGCCGATTTGTCGCTGCAACCAGAATGCATCGATGTCTCTTGCGGGGACTGCCTTTGTCTGTTTCCCTTCTTGTGCCTGTTTTTTCGGTGCAGAGTCGATTATCATTGCGTCGTCGTCCACGTTCTCTGTTTCAGCACCGTCGTGGGCAGGCTGGTCTTCGTCTTCCTCGTCCGCATCCTCGTCTTCAGAAGACTCTTCCCGAACCTCATTAACAATGCCACCCTCTTCATCCTCAGAATCCTCGAAGACAACAGCGACACCCTGACGTTCGTCCAATTCTGCGCCGTCAGCGTCAGCAGCATTGGCGTCCATGTCTTCGTCTTCATCCTGTGCATCGTAATCGGTAATCTTTTTTCCGAGGTTCACAAGCTCATTAAATTCCTTTGCGCTCATTGAAACACCAAGAATATCGTCAATTTCCTTCTTTTTCTCCGTGTCCTTTAGGTCATCATCCTTGAGAAATTCCAAGATTACGTCGGCTGCACTCAAGACGGTAGACTGAGGTACGTCACCGAGGTTGTCGGACACGATTTTAAGAATCAACTCGAAAGTCGCTCGGGTCGCTGGCGTCCGTGGGCGATAGGTGATGCCCTCAATGAGCAGATCTCCGGTTCCCAAAACACCTGTGCCCCTCGCTTGCGCTGCTTCGCTCTTCCTCTTTCGCTGCTCACGCAAGAGCACGTCTTCACCCTCTTGTAACCTTCCGCGTTCGATTTCGGGCAGGCCATTCGGCTTCTTCTGTTTCGGTGCGGTGTCGCGTGCGACGCGTGCTCCCATGTCACGGATGCTCAGCTTGCCAGCAAGAGACTCCGGATCACCAGTTGCTTCATCGTTTCGTCGCGACACAAAACGACGGTCCGCCTGGAGAACCAGGTTGGACATGGCCGAGTACTTGTATTGAGAGACATCGCGGTGTTGGTCCGACATCTTGGCTATGAGTGGAGGGGTATCGTATCGTATCGTGAACGCCTGAGTCTGTAGGTGATGATGGAGCTGTTAGAGCTTGTTGAACAACAGCATAAGGCGGCTTGCGCCGAGTTTTTATCCTTGAAAACGCCGTATGCCCAACGTATAAACTAGACCATCCGTCTAATATGAGTTTTTTAGATTTTGCGTTGTATTATTAGACTCAATGGGAGACGTGTAGCTGGGTGGCCAGGTAGGCGGAGGCGTGTAGCGATGTCTTCAACACCCGTCGCGGAACAAATTTCGTTTGCTTGCTATGGCAAAATCCGGAGTTGGCGCTAGTCGATTAGCGCGCTAGCGGCGCATTCAAACCAGTCATCTAGCTTCACGTGACGTCGCGTGGCTCACCTGTCGTCACATCGACACAGGGTGGGGGCATTGAGGCCAAACAAATCCACACCCACTGAAGCTTCGGTAAACCAAACTGAACCCAACCAATTATCGACCTGAGTCCTAACAGTGGCAGGCTTTGCTTCCTAAATAAGTGAAAACATCACATGTGCTTCTACGCGTTTCCTTAAGTTTGCTTACAGGCACTTGCCATCATGGAACCTGTACCTAAAGCAATTCAGAAAGTCCAGGCATCACTCGAACCATACATCAAGCCACGAGAACAAGTCGCTTACATCCGACGAGCCCTAGCTCTTCATCTTGAGGCATGTGGTCAATCAGGGCCTATTCGGAGCCCGCTGTCTCTCATCGACGCGACATGTGCTGTGACTCCGACAAAGGAAACTAGAGGTCTTCAGAGGGAGTATCTCAAGGCTCTGGATGCAAATCTTAAAGCTCGCAATGAGTATGAGAACACACGCAATGATACGGCAACAGAACCTCCTTCGCGGCATAAGAGAATGGATCCAAGAGACCAACTGGAAGATCAAATAGCTCTTGTCAAGCTAAAGCAAAAGCAACAACGGCTTCAAACGGTACAGAAGTACCTAGATCTTTTAGTGCGCCAGCCCGCAGCTTCCCGGGACTTCCTTGACCTGGACGACGTGTTTCGGGACTCTCCGCCTCTTCCTGATGTACCAGCTGCAGTGGTAAACAGCTTTACGGTCAGCAACGCTTCATCCAAGGCCGACTTAAGTGGACTGGCTGGACAACTAGAGAAGGTTGTATTACGGGCCAAGCTGCTTCTGCAACGAGAGGAGCAGCTGTTACAGGACGTGCGGCAGAGAACAGGTTACCTGACTGACCAGGTCAGCAATGAGACCAAGGCACATGCTTTGGATACGACACGAGCTGAGTTGATCAACTGGATCGAAACGGAACTCAGCAAAGCCTCTGGTGAAGCCCAAGATGACGCTCCATCGCCGCGGAATGGACAAGATTCTCAGGTCGACAAAATAAATATTGACGAACAGCTGGCTGAGATCAAAGACAAATACAGCAAATACATAATTGCACGGAAGTCACTACTTTCTATGGTTTCAGAACAGACTCAGCCAGTCTTGAAACCCGGGGTTGAGACTGCGGGCACCTCACAAAGCCAGACTGTTCCACCGGCGCCAACCACACATATTCTTATCCCTTATCTCGAAAAACTGCTAGCCCTATCACGAGAGCAAAAAGGCATGATCACTCAAAAGTCTCATATCAACAATGTGCTATCAAAGCAGTCAAAAGAAACCCGGCAAGCTCTAGATCATCTTGCTGAAGAAAGCCAGCTTCTGCCTAGACACCCCATGCCTGGAGCAGGTAGACCAAAATCCGGCTTCGGTGAAGATTTTGCTTCTGCTTTGTCCGAAAGGCAGGCATTGTCGGAGCGGGTGAAGCCCTGGGTGTTTGCAGCGGATTCAGCGAAGATTGCTACTTTGGAGGCGGTCGCCGAGAAAATCGAGGAGGGTCAGGTAGCGTTGGAAGTTTCCATGACAGCCCTGCAAGAGGTTGACACGCTTTTGGGTCAAAGAGCAAAAGAAACGGAGAAAAATGCGGTGGATGACGACGCCACAGAAGATGATATATGGCTCAATCAAGGGGCAGCAAGTAGGCCAGGCGCGAGGAGACATATTGTACACCACAGAAACGAATCAGCAGCCAAGTCCGGTGATATTTGGTCTGCTATTGACGGAAAACTCGGTCTCATCGGTCATGAAGATCATAATTGAAGAGCCCGAATGTTGTACCTTATATACAAACACAAATTTTGCCACTGTAAACGCCTCTACTGTCCAGTCCGGACGCCAATTGTTCTTCATTAAAATCCACTTTCCTTACTTTTCTGGATCAGTTGCTGCGGCCACTCATAATACTCGATATTCTCAGTGCGAGGTCGAGGATAGAAAGATGCTCGTCCGCACCATCAACTAGTCTCTTGTCGACTTCGGAAAAGATAAGAACAATCTTGTTCTTGTGGACGTCGGGAATTGTCTCGTCGAAGACAATGGATTGGTAAAGCTATCAAGGTATGAGAAATGAAAATTCATGCAAACTAAGAAGTTTACTCACCTGCGAAACAACTTGTCCAGCACTCCAGCCGTCAGCAACCATGTCCTCAACCACTTTTGCCACGCTCTGATATGTTTCGCCAGCGGTCTGAGGACGGATAGCGTTGACCAATCTGTCGATGGTGTTTTCAGGAATGACACCGGCAATATCTTCGACGATTTTGACGGTAACTGGCTTCTTGTCGACATCCATAGCATCACCCGTTGCAGCATCCGCATTACCAGCACCAACAAGTCGTGCCGCACTTTGCAGGAACGTGATGGCCTTTCTCAAATCACCCTCACTGCATTTGATCAGAGCATCGACGGCACCGTCTTCCAGCTGCACGGCCTCGTTTTCCGCAATGGCTTCAAGCCTCTTCTTGGCATTGCCCTGGTCCAAGCTTTTGAAGCGAAACTTGCTGCAACGACTTGCTAGGGGATCGATGATTCGCGTAACGTAGTTGCAAATCAGGCAGAATCGTGTAATTTTGCTATATGTTTCCATAGTTCGGCGTAGGGCGCTTTGGGCGTCCTGGGTCATGGAGTCGGCCTCGTCAAGGATGATTATTTTGAAGGGCGGGCAGGGATATCTTTTCTTGTATTCGGTGGTTGGGTTTGTCAATTGCATGCGAGCGAAGTCCTTGACCTTCTCGCGGACGATGGAGATGCCTCGCTCGTCAGAGGCATTAAGCTCGAGTACTCGTGATTTCATCATCTCAGGGCCATACAGCTCCTTGGCAAGGGCCAGGACTGTTGACGTCTTTCCCGTACCGGGTGGTCCATAGAAGAGCATGTGTGGTAGCTTCGGATGACGGTTAGCTTGCATATTGAAACTTCATGGAACTTGCGTCGCATTCTAGGTAGCGTACGTTAGAAGCCTGTAGCGTCCTCTGTAGGACTGTGACGGTATGGTCTTGGGCGGTAACATCGCTAAGAGTTTTTGGGCGACTGAAATCACCAGTTAGCTTGCGAGAATACTGATATGGGGAATGCATGCGATGTATTGACATACTATTTTTCGACCCAAGGTTGCGCCCTTGGTGGTTGTGAAGATTTCTCCTGCTTCTGGGCTGTCCCATTCGCAGCAGCCTGCTTTCGGGCTTTGAGATCGAAGAAACTCGCCATGAATGTTGATTTGTACGTCGCTCTATGAGATTTTTCGTGTTAATGGGACATCCAGTTCTGGAACGGCTCACGATACGTCGTTGGATACAATGGCGGTGGTTACGGTTGAGAAATCAATTAAACTGCAGACGCGTTACTCGTGGAGAAGACGCGTGCAGCTTGGGCTGACAGGGATATGCGCCCCTCGCGCTTGGATTGGGATACAGCATTTGCTCCACTTTTAGGTAAGATGGCAGTACATAGTACACCCAGCCCGGCCAGCTCACTACAGCCCGGAACTATCCGCTCAGATGACGCAGTTATCTACTCGTGTGAAGAGAGGTGAGTGTTCCCAGATTCTAAATGTCGTCGGCCGTTAACCTTTTGGGTTGCTTTGTCCAAATCAAACGAAACGAGCACGCCGTTTGGCTCAAGGAGGGAAAAAAAAAAAAAAAAAACAGGCAAACGCCCTAGTTTTGTTTGTTTGTAGCATCTACATGAAACTCCAGAGCATGATTTTTGGCACCAAACGTCAACAAATTGTACTGCAGGACCAGGGTATCAAAAGACCAACTCATTTCCCTTGATTCTAGAATGATCAATGCTTCAAATCAACAAATTCAACATAATTGGAAAAGCTTGACAGGAAATAGGAATCCACGAAACCAAAAATATGGGATCTGCCAAGTACAGCAAATGAAAAATAAAGCACGATATGGACCGGATACAAATTGTCACTCCGTTGCTGACACACATCAAAAATCCAAGGAGTGACAGTTGGCACGTTAATTACTGTTAGTATGCATTCGGAAATCGGAATCCTGCCAGATTTCCGTACTGGACAATTGTTTTAGGCAGCAAGCAGTTGCTTGGAGAAACGGGGAAAGACAGAGAGGGGGGGGGAGAGAGTAGACAAGTATACTGGTTTCGTTGTCGTGGACTGATAAGACATGTCAAAACTCAAGGCAGCAAAGCAGGCTGACAGGGTAGGGAGAGTGAGGTACCTTTGGTGATCTTCTCCAGGTTCCAGGGCCCATCAGCATCCAGATTGATGTTCCGTCGGTTAATGTGGGGCTTCCGTCCCATGAGCAAAGCAACACAGAGTTTGGAGAGAGGCAAAGGCGGCCCTTCCACCGTGCCATAGCGATTCACCTGCATCAAATAGACGCTAAAATTACCCCTCATGCCCCGCCAAACTACCGATTTAGAGCAGCTGCCTCGTCCCAGCGTCCCATTCCACGACTTCCACCCCGACCTGATTACTTCTTTCTACCTGAGGTAGCCTGCCAGCTAACCAACCCGAAAAAAACCACCTGCTGTACCAACCAACCAACCAACCAACCAACTAACGGAAGGTGCATTCGACCGTCTGCATAAATCATTTTCCTTACCTCACCTTACTTCGTCTGTCAGGCTCTCGGGCCGCCCTCCTTCTCTCCTTGCTCCACCTGTTACCACGAGGAGATCGAGCGATCACGTTCACAAAACCACAGTCTCCGGTTACACTCCGCCAGCACTTGACAAGGGAGCCATACAGCACCCAAGCGAGTCGTCAGCATGGCGGATCAATCTATCATTCGCATCACTAAGGTAGCCACGTCCCGGCCCCGCCTCCGCCCCTCCAGCCTCGTCGCGAGTTTGAGTGAGGGGTTGAGATCACAAAGCTGACCGTCACATTGTACAGGAGTTGAGCGACATTCAGCGCACCTCAGATCTCTGTAAGGAACTCCTTTTCCCAGTTGGAATTTGACTTCGGCTGACCTGGCTGACTTGACTGACAGCTCTGGCCGTCGCTTGTCGTGATGTTGACGTTCGCAATGTGAAAGCCTTGATCATTGGTCCACATGATACTCCATATGAGTTTGGCTTTTTCGAGGTACACTTGAACCATCCCGTTTGTATCATTTGTCTCCATGCTGATCGTCATGTTAGTTTGCAATCAGATTTAACAAGGGTTTGCTTTAAATGTCAATTTTGACATTTTCTGGGGGCTAACCAATAGCAGATTACCCACGCAAGTCTCCCAATGTCAACGGTATCACGACGAATGGAGGTAGATGCCGTTTCAACCCCAACATCTATGCCTCTGGCAAAGTTTGCCTGTAAGCTTTTTTTCTAACTTGAGCGTATGCCACTAGACCTGGATACTGACGTTGCTATAGGTCAATCTTAGGGTACGACACAGCATCCACTTTGCACGAAGAGCTTGATACTGATGGAGCACAGCACCTGGCGCGGCGAGCGCGGCGAAGAATGGTCAGCGGCCCAAGGCCTCGAGTCAATCTTGATTTCCATCCAGAGTCTGATGTCAGGCAACCCTTACGAAAACGAGCCCGGTTTCGAAGAAGCAAACGAAGCTTCTGACAAGAAAAACCAGAAAGATTACGTGCAGAAGGTAGGCGTGGTTCGGGTGGCGATTTTGCGAGGATCATCGGCGTTAATACATGTGATTAGATCCGGCATGAGGCTTTACGAATCTCTGTCATTCAGCGCATGGAAGAATACCTGGGATTGACGCCGGAGGGCGTCTCCATTGCCCAACAGTCTGCGGCCGAGCAAGATCAACTCGATATGGACACCGAGGATATGGACGATACGAGCGTTCCCTTTGAACCCTTTAAGGATCTCTGCAAGCGGAGGTTTCTCTGGTATTACGACAACTACCTAGCTGCCGTACAAAAAGCAAAGACAGAAGTTAAAGACCATCAATCTTTCGCCCGCATGCCCTTCGAAGGTGCAAGCAATTCCATGGATGGGAAGTTTAACTACACAGAGCTGGAGAGACGTCTACGCAACATCAAGGCCGCACTTGACAATGAGCTTGTAAAGTGGGCGAAAGAGGGCCAGGCTGCGAGTGAAAAAGAGATGACGGTCTCAGTTAACTTGCGTCATCAGTATGAGCAAGTTGTGCAGGCCTTCAAACGCCAGGATATCCCCCATGATGTTCAGCTTGAGGAAAACAACCCTTTTGTTTGGGTTATCACTTACTTCGGTCGACCAATGACCAACCTTGACGGCGGTCTGTTCCGCATCAAGATTCATTTTAGTCCTCGGTTCCCCGAAGAGCAGCCACGCGTCAAGTTTACCACGCGCATTTTTCATCACCGGATTGCGGAAGATGGCACCGCCTGCTACTTCCCCAACCCTCTGAGAAAAGACGACGTTCGTTCTCACATTGAGGCCGTCTTCGCTGCGTTGGAGGAGGAGGATCCAGCCTATGATCCCCGTACTTTGGTCAATCCAGAGGCCCACAAGCTGTACTGGGGGGGTGCTGACGAGCGGAAGAATTACAATCGTCGGCTCCGGAGATCGGTACAGCAAAGCATGGAGTAAGATATAATGGTATTCATATTACAACATACTTAACTAACCACCTAACAGTGACTTCTAATCAAAATACTTGCTGCAACGAGGCGTTCGGGGCACTGGAGTTGGATCTCAGTGGACGAGTTAACTACGCAGTTCGTAGATGTGGATGAGAGTGTAACAGCTCAGCAAGCACTTTCTGATTTGCTCTTAATCACAATGACGGGGGATTTGATCAAGGCTTTGGGTTCATCATGTTCCGCACAGGACTGGACGGCGTTACAATGGATCGGAATCATGCATACCAGGAACGGGTTTGGGATTGTCCCGTTAGACTCCAGTAGATACCTCGAGTAATGACGCAACGAACTAGCTCTTCTTATGAACGTGCCTAAAGCTTCAAATTCGCATTCGGAATAGGCTCTAAAGGAGAAACATCTAAATCTTGTAACCATTCTCATGACCATAAACGCCTGCCTACCCTATGCAGCCTATACATGACATTTCGTAACTCATGACCATCCCATAAAGTATAAACAATAAGCCAGTCGCGTGCTATAGGGGATGAAAATGACATGTCATCCCTTGGCCTCCAGTCTTACGCAGCAACGACCATCAGCATTCACCTCTTGCCTCCTTTTGTCTTCTTGTCAATCCTGTCCTTCCCGGGCGTATAAGGAGCTGCAACACCGATAAATGGGCGTTGGTTTCCACCAGAGGCACCCGTGAATTCGTAGGTCCCAGTCGGCCCCAAGGTCGCCGGCGTGCCCTGGCTCGGCCTGGCTATTTGATCCGCGTGCAGTTTGTCCAATGACTCCCCAACTACAGCATATTGCGACCAGTTGATGGGTGGACAACGCACGACGTTCTGGGGTTTGGGGAGAGATTCCCACGGCCGCGGCTTTTCTGGAGCCTTGGCCTGCTCTGTGGCGCCATCGCTCGCCTTCATGTTCTCGAAGCCTGCCGCCAAGCTATGTTTAGATTCTTTGCTCTCTGCCTCATCATCCGAATCAGAATCAGACTCTGGGAACAGCTTGTCGCCCTGCGCATGCACCTTGCCTGTACTAAGGTCTGCGAGGAAGGCAGCTGGGTCGCTGATAGCAGCGTTCTTTGCCTGACTGAGAGCCTGTATGTCAGCGGCGGCTTTCTTCTGCTGCAGCTGGAGGATGGAGATGGCCGACTTGAGGGCCAACACGTCCGGGTTGGAATCAAAGTCGATGGGCTCCGGTCGCGGAGGGGGAATAGCCGAGGCGGCGGCGGCGGGAGGCTGCGTGGAGTGAGTGAGGACAGGGCGGTCGGCGGCAAAGGGGGCCGACGGGTCGGCAAGACGAGCGGGGGGCAGGGTCGGTGTTATGGGGCTAATGGGGGGCCGGGCGGGGGATGAAGAGCGGGAGGAGCGCGGAGGGGTCTGCGCGGGGGGGTTTGCTGTGCCGGCCGTAGAGGAGGCAGCGGCAGCGTCAGGGGCTGAAACAGTGGTAGCCGTGGATGGCGCAGTTGTGTTCGATGCGCGTGGAGAGATCGAGTCTGTTGATATCGTGAGACCTGGCATGGTGAGTGAGGCTGGGGGTGGCTCGCGACAGATTTGTGTTGCTTTGTTTATGGTGGTGCAGTGGTGAAAGGTTGCAAATTGGAGGTTGACCTGTGTTTCTTTGGCGGGGTCGGGCCAGGAGTGGCCAAAAAGGGGAAACCAAGCAAGGGACGGGAGAGAATCGGAGCTGCAGGCTGGAGGTGCACCGTGCGTTATGCGCCGCGCCAGCCGGCTCGGGAACTCTGTGGGATCGCTAGCGCGTATGCAGGGAAGATTGTTTTCAGCTGAAAGTAGGTTCATAGGCGGCAAATGGCTTTGTGTCGTGCTTCGGTATCTGGATGGTGGGCGGGTTTAACGAAGCCAACGGACGTAAAACTCGGCAGTATGACACACGGCGACAAATGGAAGATCTTGGTAAGCTTGGGAAATATACATACATTCTCCCCTATCTGGCTGAGTCACCCTCTCTGCTTTTCCAACTTGTGCACTAGTATTCGTATGTCGGATAAATGCCCCGTACTAGATCCTGACGTTTAGATGCCCGCTTGCCACTGGCTAGTTCATTTCGAGACTGGCGCCTATAATTAACAAGATCTTACCAAATGTCGAAGCGGGTGCACGGCCTCCCTTGTCTGCCTCAACGCGTACCAATGGTCCATGTAATGCTACACTTACAAGGGTCCGAAATGCTGGGTTCAACGCAACAGAATCCGTACGCGTGAGCTTCCATCTGAAAAAGCTCGCCTACTAGTAAGGTCTTTTTTTGGTCGGCATTCAGAGAGACACGACATGGAGGTGCTTGTCTCTGTAACCAGAAACTTCAGATTACAGAAACATAGTTTCCGAAAACTGATGGTGTCTTAATAATGCAAATCAAATGAGCAGACAAGTCCAAATACCCTTTCGGCGTCTCGCGATGTTTACAGTGGGTATTTGTCCGATCGCAAGTACCTTACAATAGAGTTAAATTCCTAACTTACCCTCTTCGAGAAACTGCGCCTGATTAATGGCGATGGTACACATAAATGCTGAGGGGCTGCTGCTTTAGCCAACAAGAAACGGCAATCGGGAACAGGAGAGGAAGATCTGGGACACTTCACCATCGTGGCTCCGGCATTTCTGGATCGGTATAGCATCCAGGTTAGACAAACCCATGTTCCAGTGAACGACTATTTTGCCCGAATCTCAGTGTTCAAATCGGGCAATCGTCGTACCTAGGGGTTACATCCCTGTCTGCCATCCATGGAGGTGCCAGCGAAAGTTGGGAACTGTCCGGTCGTTCTCTGGCTTTCTTTCATGTCGAATGCCGTGCCGTCAATCAAATCCGAATCTAACAAAGAGCATTACGCCTCCGCAAAGGGGACAGAACCTTGTTTTGTGATTTGGATCTTTTATCTTAACCCAGGAACTCGGGTGACCCGGTTTCCGGCCGAACAACAACAACAAAGAACCAAACCCAACGCCGTCAACCTGCTAACAGTTCTAACTATGCCTTTGGGATTTCGGAGGGGCTTGAGACATGCTCCACCATCCCGCAAGACATTTGAAGGATAGATGAGAAGCAGTCTTTGGCTAGCCCATGCATGTCTCATCCAAAAGGCATTGCACGGCATATCCCAGTGCTGCCTCTTTGCTTCTTTTTTCATAAAAAAATCAGCAGAAAAAAAAAGGAAACAAACTTGGCAGAGGGTCACGTACCAAGTATTCCTAGCCGCAGTACCACGTCAAACAAGCCATAAATGGCATGGATGCCGTAGAGTCTTCCCCAACGTCGATGTTAGCGCGTATACTAGTGGTTTGATCACAAAGTGGCGTCCACTCAACTGGTGGAGCTGCTAAACCAGACAGCCTCGGGAAGGTGGCCTTGGACTGTAGTCGCGACAAAAAGCCAACGACAAGTGCTCTTAGGTGCGGGGGTAAGGCAAAGGTAAAGCAACAATCAAGGAAGGTGAAATTAGCTGGCTCACCCTAGCCACAAACCAAGAGGGGCACGAGGTGGTCTTGGTTCCTGGAGGGTTCCCTCCTCCCCATCTCTTTGGATAGATAACCCGCACGTTTCTGCCACGAGGTTTGCTTTCTTTCAACTCGCTGATCTTCTCTATTTCTAATTACCTCGTCGTCCACTACAAATACTCTCTCTTTGTGGCTATCAACTGTACTGAACAAGACAAACAACAACGATAACATCATTTCCTTACTCAACATCCTGCTCTGGCAGCCTTTACTTCTGTCTCCGTGCATTGGTTAACATTCACATGGCCATGGGTGCTTGAAAAGAAGACGTAACTCCACCTATATTTGAATCGTGCAATGCGTCTTTTCCTCTGGTATCGAAAACAGCAAAATCAATCACATCTTTCTACATCACACTCTCATAAATCTGCCATCCCCGGCCCCTATTAGCAACTCGTCCTACCCAACGACATCATTTTCAACTTCGATCCCCCCATTCCCCGTGCCACTTCACGACATTCGCTCTGATTTCAAGGCCAGACCGCAGCTACACAACCAACCAGCAATCATCGAACCTCCATCCTCCTGGGCATCTTCTTGCATTCCTCTGGGAGGGAAAGAAGAACCCTACATCGCATAGCTCTTCGCCTAGTCCTTCCTGGCCAGCTTCTAGCTCTGGAGTAGCCGCCGTCGACACAAGAAAGTCCAATTCCGACAAGATCGGGTCAGATATCAAAGAAGACAATAGTTCTGGCACTCCACCTCATCTTGACTACTACAATATGAACACCAAAAGCATTAGGCGCGTGGCCTCAGAGCTTAGCCTGGGGATGTCGCCCCCGAGGCGTATGATCTCCAACCAGTCGCAGGTTTCAGACTTCAGCTCTTCCACTCCTAGTGTAGGGGGAAGCCCCATCAAACACAAGCAAGAGACTACATCCAGGTCGAAAAAGGGCGTGAACCGCTGGGTCGGTCAAGTAAAAGACTGGTTCAGCACCGGAGAGCCGTCCGCTCAAGATTGGAAACAGCTGAAAAAGAAAGAGTACCGGAAACACGGTGTCTCACTCAAAGATCCTGCTGCTAGTGAAAAACTTCAGGCGCCTATTGGCGTGATCCCTGAAGAAGCCATCAAGCCATCAAGCGGGCCTGACCCAGAGGTGCTTGCTATGAAGAGGGCTGTTAACCGGAAGCAATTGCGCCAGGCACATTGCTCGGGGAGGCCGTCGGCATCTTTTTCCTCAACGTCGTCCTTGAGCAGCCGTGAGCTGAATCCTGTCGCCCCGTGGGCGTAGGTGTCTACCAAACTTGAAGAAGATTCGATGGGAAACGAATTGGCGAATGAGTAAATCCTAGGCAGGACCTTGGAAGTGATGATTGGGATGAAACCATGAAGAGGATTTTTATGTATCTTAGCCAGCCTGTGTTTCTTTCGCACGATACCCCTTCTTGACGTCGTGGTTGAGCCTGGACGCAGCAAGTTGCTTCAAAATTCATTGCGCTTTGTATTCATTGTGGAGAGAGTCTTGAAGCTTGTGAAAATATACTAAACGACTTTAAACTATAACTGTACCTGCAATATTCTCGTCCGTATAAGTTCAGTGCCCGTGTCGTAAAGATTTGGTGTCTCTCATAACTCCAGAGAAATAAGGCAAGGCCATGACGTCTGTGGATCTTGATCCCTATACAGAGAATTCATCAAAGCATCATGATGGAGAGGCCCGCCTTATTAAGACTATGGAGCATGGGCCGGGAACACTGGGCTTGGGAAACCCATTGTGTTGGTCGAGATGCCAATAATGTAAGCTTGAGCTAAATCTGCGTTCCACTGCTGACAAAACCGTTTCCATGGCCAAGTCGAGCGGGATGGCATGGAGATCGGATCGGGGGAGGCCAGTGGGCAGACCTTCCACATTGGATCACAGACGTGTCAAGCAGACGCCACCTGTGGCCACAGACCTACGAGACGCAAGAGTCCGAGCAGCGCGAAGACCCGAGGCTTTTCAGCTCACAAGGTCGGTGCGCCACGCCAAAGACCACCGAATCGCGCCAAAATAGGTGAAGTCTGCCTGTTTGATTACCTGCTTTTTCTCTTGCAGAATGTCACCGGCGCAGGACTTCACCCCCACACCCACCAGCCGGAGCGTTAGCTCCCCAGCGCTTCTCCGTGTTAGTGGGACCGGCCAGGCCCCAATCGCCGATGCGGCAGATCCACCTTTCCGCATTCATCGCACCCAATGACGACATGATCGGGAGCTCTGGCCTTCTGTTCCACAACACCCCCTGCCGTCATTGACACGTCTGAGAGTGGGATGTAAGTGTGCATTTCGTGTTAGTTGCGTTAGCTGACTCTTTAGATGGCTTCTCGCTCGGTAGTTTCCGTTTTCTTGTCTATTCTTCCTCCCTCTGTTTTAACTCTGCTTTTTGTTTCTTCTTTTTCTTTTTCTAACTACTCCAGGTTTGAGGTAGTATCAAAAGAAGATATAACTGTAAGTTGTTGTAACTACCAGCAGAGATAGCCTCTCAACCACAAGAGTTCGCAGAGAGCCTCGAGTAAAGATGCCATCACTCTGGGGTTCAAAGAACATAAACGACGATGAAGTGGATGAGGGGTTACCGGAAGAGAGGAGGTCGACTGAGCACGAAACGCGCGTGCCGAACGAACACACCCGCCTGCTGCCGAACCGACTTGACAGCGACAACCGCCAATTTCTTACACCAGATGATCCTGCGGTGTCGCCGTACAACCTATGGACGGTGCGGGTGATGCGATGGGTCACAGTGTTCTTCGCGGCAATTACCTTTGTATGGTGGATCCTCAACCTGGTGTCCATCTTCGTCACCCCGCCTGGACTACACACGCGTGGCTCGGGCTTCTTCGCATTCAGCTACTCAAGCCTGTCACTCTTCACGCTCTTGTTTACCCTAGTATTCTTTGGGGCACCCTCAGCCGCTGTGCGGGTGCTGTCCATTTTCATGGCTGTCATGTTACTTGTCGACGCTATTCTTATCCTTGCCGTCCAGAAGAACAGATACGAGGAAGGCGCCGTGGGAGTTGCCAGTGTCATATGTAAGTTTTTGAGCCTTGAAGTCCCGGTACTAAGTGGTTGCTAACGAAGCTGTTCTCAGGGGCCTTTCTCATGAGCCTTTGGACGTTGCTTGCTGATCGAACGGTGAAATGGGGCAAGGCCGAGGAAGAGGAACGGCTCACCGGCCGAATCGAGACGAGACGAACGGTATTGGAATGGACAGAGGTGCTCATCTCCACGATTGCATACGTGATACTGTCGCTGGTTATCATCCTGATCACCTGTACCCTGGTTCTCAGATCCCTAGATGCCGGATTTGGCCCACCGGGTGAACAATACTGGGTAGATGGTGACCAGTACCGGATTCATGTCTATTGTGAGGGCAACGGCACTGACACTGCTGGCAACAAATTGCCAACTGTCCTTTTCGAGGGTGGTGACTTGCCAGTAGAGAACGGGTTGTGGCAGCTTGCACAGGGGGCTCTTAAGAACGGATCGATCTCAAGATATTGTTTCGCTGATCGACCTGGTTACGGTTGGAGCGATACTGCGCCGAGCCCACTCTCTGCTGGCATGGCGACAGATGCCCTGAGTGAGGCTCTTGCACGGGCTGGCGAGCAGGGGCCCTGGATTGTGGCGAGTGCTGGTATTGGTTCAGTATACTCCCGTATATTTTCTTCTCGACATGGCAAGGAAGTAAGCGGTATTCTCATGATTGACCCCCTCCATGAGGACTTACTTCACCGAGTATCGGCTCCCGGTAGAGGATTCCTTTTCTGGTTGCGTGGCATCATCTCGCCTCTCGGACTCGAACAGCTGCCAGGCGCCCTATTCCGAGGACGCACTAGCGCTGATCGCGTTTGGGGTCGCTCAGCCAGACAAAGCGGCAAGTACCTATTTACGAAGCTGCAGGAGAGTCTGGTAGCCGACTCGCTCACAAAGCGAGAAGTTATCAGCGGCAAGGCAATCCAGTATCCCGACACGCCTTTAGTACTCATAACCTCCGGAGACAAAATTCGAAAAGACAGTGTCTGGGAAGACAAGCAGCGGGACCTCAGCCATCTGACAAGAAACTTGAAGCATTGGGATATTGTCGACAAGGCACCTCACAACGTATGGGAGACATATCAGGGACGACAGAAGATCGAAAAGAGGCTTCGACAACTGGTCCATGCGTAATATGGGAGCTTTATCGGAGATGTCGCTGAACGTGGCTGGCATTGGCATTGGCATTGTTGGAGAGAGCTGGTTTAGTTGGATGGGGCTTTTGCATTTTGGTCAGTTTGAAATAGGCTGGGTGCGTGGGAAGGACAGTTGCGACGGATTAAGGGTTGTGAGACGATGTAATGAAAGCGAATTGATTTTCGTCTTTTTTTTTTTTCCCTCTCTCTCTTTCGCATAGCCTCAGGCAGTTGTAGCATTGTAACATTTTTGCAGCAGTTGCACGTTTTCTTCCTGATTCGTCTTTCCAGTAGATAATGTGAAATGACTCGTGAACTGTGGCAGTGTGTTGTTCGTTGCATTCTTCAGCGGCTTGACGGGGTGGCTTGCATTAACTGCGAGAGAGTTGAATGTTCGGACGAGACACACTATGTCGTCATTATTTTCTCAAGCGGTTTCCCGGCAACGCCTTGTTGGAAACACTCAGAACTGGAACAGAGTAGGCATTGCCGAATTGAGAGAGTGTAGAAACGGCATGCTGAAAGCCGAATGTTACTGATATGCTGCAGATGCTCGGCGACTGCCGTTTGTCATAAATTGTGCACTGCATCTTGGCTTCAGCGGGATCTTGCATGTGGTATTTGCTTGTTGCAGAAGCTTTGGCAGGGAACAGCTTTGGGTAAAGGTTCGGTGGTGCTCACGCGACATATTGCTGCTCAGTGGTGGCTCCCCATTGACAGGGTACATTAGTCGAGGGAAGCACCAATGGCAAGGAATTGTCGACAACGCAGAACGCCAAAAAGAGTACTGCTTGGCGTTGTTGGATCAAGTTCGGGGCAAAAGACAGATTCGTCCAATCTATGAAACAAAGCGCTGCACATCATCATGTTAGTAGCGTCTGAATTTTGAACCTTGCGGCTCCCGATGCCGTACTATGTATGCATTATCTATACTGCACAGTCTTTAGCGGGCGTACCGCCGTTGCATAGGGCCTAAATTCCTCTTACTTCTTATCCATCATAATGAGGCAAGATGCAGCGAAAGGGAAGGGGCGAAACTCCTAAAAACAAGGGTCCAAGCTCAGAGGGAGTAAGTGGGAAAAGATCGGCCGGAAAAAGAAAGAAGAAGGAGAGAGTTGGGCGCAGAGACATCTGCATGTCGGTTCGTAAGACCAACTAACCCGTATAGACAGCAATGGTCTAGTGGAGAGAATACGAGTTTGAGACACGGCAAAGACAAAAACACGAGTAAAGAGGAGAATCAAAAGTTGAGAGAGAAAGGAAGAGCCTCCGTGTATGCATGGGTATTAAAGTTAGTGAGCAGGCGGAGGCAGGCAGCCGATTGTAGGGCCAGGAAAGACGGAGCACTGGTTTTCTCAAATCCGAATAAAAATCACAAGTACGAACTCGTGTGGTTATTCCGAGATGCGCTGCCCCTCTGGTCCCTTACGCCCCTCCAGCCCACTCCCCGTATCCATCTTATTCCCCCTCCAAACCAGTCCTCTTATTTTAAAACACGACCCAATGACGGTAATGCCTGTCCATTCTGGCCCCCCCGCTGGCCTTCATTATTAGTGCAGCCCACTAGCTGCGGGTCTCACTATGGTAGACTTTACCACCATACACACAGAAAGTTGACCCTGAGGCCGAACTACAAGAGCCTTGGGAAATGGCACCCCAAAAATAGTGCGAAATTTGTCTTCGGCTGGCACCTACCAGTACGGTAGGGACAAGGGATCTTGGAGGTTCCGAGCTTTGGGATGGGATTCCAATCCTCCCCGGACCCTTCACCCGGAACGGCCGCCCTACACTACAGCCCACCAAGGTTTGCCGCCCAAGGAGAGTCAGAGGACACAGTAATGCTGAGCCATGTCCTGCTATTCTGTGCAATGGGCAACCTGACTTACAGCGCCTGTGCCAAAGATGAAGGGTGGGGTGAATGAGTGGTGGACAGATACTGGAATGGCGAGCAGGTGTCTGGGCAGCAAGAACCAATGACATCCCGCCCTCCAGCAGCCCGTCCCAACCAAGTGCTACACTAGGTACTTGATAGGACGGTGGGCAGGCCGTGGGTAAGGGCGGATTCAGTGACCTGACCTGACATTCATGGGCGTCTGCCTGTTGGTGGTGTCGTCTAATAAAATGCGGATGCTGAAGTGATAAGCCCTACGTTGGTCAACAACTAATTTGACTCCTTGGAACCTTGGCACCGTGCAACTTGGGAGGTTCAAGAAAAGGAAGAAAAAAGCTAATGCTAAAAATGTCACCAACACTTGCCGCTCTATTCCGTGGAACTGTACTCTCCATATATTCCAGAGACGGCAGCATCCACCGACGAAGCTTGACATGGAAGCAGAACACAAGGTAACCAGCAGCCATGACCTTTAGAAAGTGGACAGCGCGGTTGCCCTCGAGATATCGCACGGGTACGTACCCCCACTACCCACAGGCTGCCTGTACCTTACTTGTTGTACAACTGCCAAACTGGGGGTCAAAAGGGGGGTTTTGCAGTAGTGTCAGCGGCGCCCCTGACCAGTGACACGGCGAGCTCACTGTCTTCAAGGGTCCACGCACGGGGAGAAGAGGCAAGGTACGTTGCCATCTGTACTCCAACACACCTCCCCACTTCTTCTCTGCATGCTGGGGGGCTGCTTAAGGTGCATTCATTACTGCGTTGCATGCCTGCCTATCTTACCTTTCCAATACTGGAGCAACAATCACTTACCTTACAACGGGACAGTACGCAGCAAGGCACCTTCCTGGGAGGTACTTGTCCCATCCCCTCGTTGTCACTAGGGCCCTGATACCAACCCTCCGCACCCGCTCTGCACCGTACCTGCGATCTCTCCGAACCTGCCTGAAACCCCTTGCTTCTCTCGAATACCCAACGTCGAATCTCACCCCATTCGGGCTGAAGCCACCGACCGCCTTTCAGTCCACCATCTGTCTACTGCCAACACCAGAGCGGCAATCGCCTCGCCAATTACGGAAACCTGGCAACCTCAACTTCTCACCTGCTTGACTGAGGACGGCGATTTGACACCACATTGTGGGCTAGGGTATACTTCTATCTGACTGCCTCAGCTTATCTCATCTCCTTTTCTCAGCAAGACTGTTTTTCTGCGCCTGTCGCCTTAGACCTTGTTTTCTTCACTGCAAGCACAGGCGCCTGTGGGCAGCTTCGATCGGTCAGGCCTGCGATCCCTCAAGGTAAGCTCGCATCCTCCCAGGCAAACTTACAACACTAGCACCAACAGCATACCCGCGGAAGGCGATATCTTGTCCATGTGCTCATGCTGACTTTGTCGTTCTTTGACTAGAACTTCCTATGCCTTCGCCATTGCGGCACCTCGATAACCGTCTCAAGATATGGAGAATGAACCGCAATCCGCTACTTCCTCCAGGCGGGGCCGTTTGATGGGGAAGTTGTTCGCCTTGAAGGACAAAGATCGCAAGCCGACGCAAGAAGAGAAAGGAAGCAGTATCAACGACTTCCTCAATGGCCCTTCCGACACGCTGCAGGTATCCCACGCTACACCTTCAAGCGCTCTCCCCCAGCTCTCAAAGCTAGACACGACCTCGGCCACACGCTACCCTCAAGCTCTGTCCGTTGCGAGTCACTCTCAACAGAGCCTGACTCTCCCAATCCACTCTGCTCGCAGTCCTGCCCAGAGCCCAGGCCTGCCGCCGCCAAGGAGTCCGCGGCGCAACAACAGGAAGGGCCTCAACGTCCGTTTCGTGGATTCATACCCTGAGATTATTGGTGAAGGTGGTGACGAGTCAGAAATCCCCGCGATCGAGGTATCGAGGAACAAAAAGCAACGCCCTCCACCCTCTCCCCATCGAAGACCTATTGTCGCCGTTCACGATTCTCCTCCAAGAGCTCCACCTGCGCCGAAAGATGATACCGACTTTGCTCCGGGTCGCCTGCGCCGTACTCAGACCGGATTCTCCTCCATCCATGAATCCGAGTCCAGAGAACCTCCTCCTCCTCTTCCAAGGGAGGTTGCACCGGGCCACAATGCTTCAGCGCCATTCCTAGACACCCCTACTAGTGCCAAGGATGAGAATCGGAAATCTTTTATTGAGTATCACCAGGCGGAAATGCGACAGGCTGAAGGAAGAGCTTTCGCGGAGGCCGCACGATCGGCAAGCCAGTCCTCGCACCCTCAGGGCGATGAGCGTGCAGGCTATACACCCGTTACATCTCAAATTCACGAATCACCAACAAAATCACCTGATCATCACAGGAACCCTCCAGACCAAAGCCCTTCGTCAGTTTATTCAACCACAAGCAGCTTTGGACAACAAAGCACCAACAATAACTTTTCGCGACAGACATCTGTCAGCTCTCAACACAACTTGGTACCCCCCGCTTCAATGGCTTCGAGGCAACCATCCTTCAACATGCACGATGCGGTTCTTGCAGTTGGTGATGATGCCCTGAACACTTTTGTTGCACGAACTCGTCACTTGAGTGAGCTTTTCCGACTGCATGCCGAGACAATCAAGCCTCTATCAGCTTGTTTGCCCTATGAGCTGGCACGTGCTTCCCTATGGTGGTTCCTGAAAGGACGCATGGCCCTTGAGGCGGCTGTGCGTGCGCGACCTGGAAGTCCTAAAGATCAGATGCAGAACGACATGGAACGCCAACAGGCTTATGCAAACCTTGCCAAGGGCTACTGGCTCTCTGAAGAGGCCATACCCGAGCTAATTGAAGCAAAGCGACTTCCTCTAGATGCTGGAATCAGTGAGATACGTTCATCACTCGTTTCGTCGCTCAAGAAACTGGCTGTTTCGATGAAGCGAAATAATTTCCTTCCCCCTGAAGAGGCATTGCTACCTCAGACGATTGACAAGTCGATTTGGGTCGAGTATCCCAGGCTCAGCGTTGACATGGTTGCGTTACTCACTGCGGATTCTCAGGCCGCCATCACTGGCATGGTCAAGACCCCCTCACCTGCCGAAATACTAGACTCTCTACCCCCTGGTGACACCACCGAAAATTTCACATTTGGAAGAATAACTACAGACGTCTTCTTGATGGAGCAGGGGATGGATTCTCAAAGATTCTATTTCCCTTGCCTTTTGTCCATGGTTCGACCCCAGAAGCAGCCCAATCTAGTGTTTGTCATTGCCAGCCAGCATGGCGAGGTCAACCTCCGGATCCAGGGCAATAAGCAAGTTGGGCCTACCTGGGACGATGTTCGGTGGCGTAACGAAACCTGCTCACTTGAAATCAAACTCCCCCGTGGCTTCATGGTTGTTGCTCAATGCTCACAGTCAGATTACAGAATGTTGTGGAGCATGTATGACTTTGGCGCCAAGGTACAATCGACGCTATACCCTCGGTCTGATGAGCATTGCACGTTCCGTTCCAATCTTCGATCTTTCCAATACTTCGATTCTGATCCGCAAGCACGGGCGTTCCCTAAAGAGGCCATTCAAGGCTGCGATATCGCTCTGTTTGAGAAAATCCACAAGGAGCATTCGCCCACTGGCCCTCGAGCTTACCACCGCGGTTTCAGAATCACCGTGGTCACTGGTCCTCACACAAGAACTCTTAGCGGCATCAATCATAGTTACTCACCCCAGCAGCCGATTCCATTCGGGTTTCTGCGCTCAGACAACGGCGATCCAGCTTTGCTGCTCAAGTACGATAACGGCCGCCAGAGAGTGACCATGGTAATTTCTTTCGGTGACGAGAGGGAAAGATCGTACTTCCATACCTTATTGGTTGGCACAAATGTCCAAAAAGACGAGACTATTTTCGCAGACGTTCCTCTGATCGGCTTTTCCGTCTCAACTTCATTGAACGATAGCAAATACCTGCCGGGTATTAGCCAAATTCCTTGGACAGCGGCTCGGGTGATCAATGAGGACGCGGATGAAGATGTTCCTCGTACCGTCCTCTCCGATAGGTTGAGAGTTGTTGTTGAATCTAAACAAGGCTACCTAACCGATCGTATCAACGTCTCGCCTGGTGAACTGCGGCTAAGGTTAGAAGTCGATAACGCAAAGAGCTTGGTGGTGATGCGACAACCCCAATTCGATATGACGGCTGCAGTTTCAGATGGGTCTGTTGGAAAGGAGGTACCTAAAGAGTTGGCAGAAATGCTCCAGATGCTGCAGACCTCGCAGACCATACGCACGTACAGTTTTCCGACGCTTAAAGATCTTCATGCCTTCCAAGCTGCGCTGACGGGTTTCACTGTTCTTTTTGACGGCCTCGCCGCTGCCTTTGCCATATCTCGTCGGCGAATGGTGGTGCCTATCCATAAAAAGTGGGAAGCTGGCTGGACTCGAGTTCAAGTGATTCAGCAGAATTCCATTATCCAGTTGCTGGCATTCTTCCCTGACTTCCACCATGGACAGTGTATGAATTTCGTTCTCAAAGGCACTGATGTTTTCGAGTCATTTTCTCGCAGCAGTAAAGCTGGCATCAAGTTCGTGGACGCCAAATTCCCACTACCGCGGATGCCCAACGGCACTGACGGGCAGTCGGACGACATGGGATTCATCTGCATCGACATGCCGGATCTGCCGGGAGAGCACGATGACATCTCGCTCCTCTTCGAGAACGAAGCGGGTAAGTTTCTTAGAGTTGAGTGGACTCGGGTTATTGCTAACGTCCGAACAGAACGCGACCGTCTGTGCCAGTGCCTTCCGGCACCTGTCAAGGGTGCCTCAAGATCATTGAGGGGCAAATGAGCCCACAAGGACTAGAGAAGTTATAGTGACATGTTGAACGGAGAGCGAAGCATCCAAAGCATTTTAGCGGGAAGCAACTAGACATTCAAAGTATGAGATACCCATCAGTCGATCTGTCACACTGCTTCGCGGACAGAGAACAACGGAGCAAAAGGGCGTGAGTGGTTGAAGCACGAGGACGGGAATGGCACGGACCAGCCACTGGGAATATTGAACGTGTGCCGAGATGACAACTTTGTTCTGCAGACTCGGATGATATGGCAGGTTTGACCGGATCCCTCGGGTCCGATACGAGACCGTTTCTAGGCATTGCCGGAGAGGCTTAATGCCCATGCGGCAATTTATGGGCAGACGAGAAAAGACTCGGGTTGGTGTTGGGATAGCTCTAACTCGCAGGATATCTCTTGTTGGTAGCAAATAAAACTAGGCAGACAGACAAGCATACTACAGACACGCACAAGCCTAAGTAGATAGGACAGTAGTTGGGCAATGATACGCGTATCAAACGGCATACGATGCATACGGCGGTGCCGGGCCCGAAAGAACCTTACCTTTTACCGTAACAAATAGCCGCGTTGGAGGGTTTACGAGCGCTAACTCCAGAGCGAAATTGGGCTTGTGCCGTTTGTTAATGGGCCTAGTCCCAGTGAATTCCCCACCAACACTGCAGCTTTCCCCTCTCGAGTGTTTTGGAACGAATTTGGTCTTGGGTTGCATCTAAAAAGCTGACAATGTTTCCTGGCTTTTGATGGACACTGCCACAGACACTTGCATGAAAAGAGGTGGGATGGCGAGCGATAGACAAGGCCAAGAGACAACCAGCAGACGAATTAATGAGCAGAAAAGGGAACCTTTCCCTACATGATTGGCTGTGGGAGACATGTTGGGGGGGCCAGGTGATTGGATGCAGGGTATAACAACATCCGCTTGGAGTGTGGGTGTAGACTGAGAGGGGAAGTTGGCGTGACAGCCGCGTAGATGGGGAAAAAGGCATGTAAATCCTTGGGGCTGGGTCAAATTCTTACGAGGTAAATGCCAGGATACTCTGTTGGGCAGGATACTCAACCTCGTTAAGCAGTAGCAGTGGTGGTAGGGAATTCGGAGTAGCGTTGCGCTGCCGCGAGATAATGATAGGGAAGTACTTCTTCAATGCCAGTAAAGCGGTACATTAAAGCCTACTAGTATGGTGACGAGGGGTATGGGGGGAGGGTAAAAAAAGTTTCCCAAAAGCGACGCGACGTCATCACCTCGGCCGCGGTGAGGTGGGGTTCCTCCCCTAGCAAAATGGAAAAAACACCATCGACGTAACTCTTGCATGGGCCACGCCGCTGGCAACCTGCTGCGTGTGAGTCCGTGATCTACCTACTGTGCAAGTGGTTGCCTTGCCTGATGACCTACCTACGTATGTTGGCAGGGCAGGCCAATTAATTGCTAAGGAATCTACTGGATTCTAGATCAGACTTAGAGAGGCAAGGGCTAGATCTCAATCTCTTCCCGATTTAATCCTGGGTTCATCTTCACCATCTGAATTCATCCCAAGTTCCGCTTGTCCCTCAGTGAGCCAAGACCTGGACAACATTGACTTTCCCCCTTCTTCGTGCATCACTTATCCTCTGTTTCCCTCCCCTTCGCCCCCTTCCATTTTCCCGTCTGCTCTGCTTCGTCGGATTTCTGCATTTTGCTATCAGCATTATTGGTATAACGGCAGCAGCACGAACTGTAAGAAAACGGTACATGCCATCCCCTTTCTCACAGCTGGCAGGCGCTCTTCTTCCTTTCTCACTCAGCTGAACCTCGTCATCATTTTCATTCCTACCTTTATCCCGCTGATACATCGCCATCAACCTTGTCCTCCTGCGATTCACTAACCAGCATCTCCTTGTACCAATCGAACTAAATCATATCTCAGCTTGTCGACCTTTCGAGTACTTCTAGTACGACGAGTTCCCACCCTATATCCACTATCCTGCCGCCCTTCTCCTGGCCTGCACAACAGTGAAGAGGGCTGTCAGACCCATCATTTACCGATTCTACCCCTACTCGTAGCATCAGCTACGCCTTTCAACAAGCACTGCCCCTCCCTTCTGCCCAAAAGGAACATCCTGGGTAACGCGCCGATAAGCCCGATAGCGGTCAGAGGAACTAAACCGCACTGCAGTGTGATATTGAGGGGCACCGCTGCACCCACCGAGCCAGTCGCAGTCATGGGTTTGGTCCATGTGCCAGGAAGACGGTCTAGAGCGTCCAGCCTCAGTGAGTCTTACCAGCCCTAGCGTACCTGCCTACCCAACCCAATGTGATAGCAGTCAATTTCTCTCGCAGCGCGCTGTTCTTGTAATTACCGTACAGACAGCGACAAATTCCTCCTACGCCCACTCTTGCAGTCTTTTACATATTTCTATTTCCCCCTCCTGTTCGTTACCTAGTCTGCCCGGCTTTAGACTCTATCGTCGGGACCCGACAAGCGACCTCTCTCACTCGCTCTCCACGACTGAAATCCCATCGTGCGCGCGCCTCAAAAAAAGTTGCCGCCAACAATGCTGACCTGGCTCGGGAATCCCACAGCTAGCAATCGCTCCAGCGTTGATGAGGGCAAGGGAACCTCCGCCGCCGAAGATGACGACACCCTTGTGGTCGAGCCTGATCAGGGCAACGGTCAGTAATGATTCCAGTTGAGATGTCGCGTTGCTTGTCTCTCCCCCGTGCGACCTCTTGCATGCACTTTGGCTAACACGGGGCCTAGTGCTCATGCACATCATCTCCCAGCTACGTCCGGGCGCCGATCTGAGCCGTGTCGTTCTGCCGACCTTTATTCTTGAGCCTCGTAGCATGCTCGAGAGAATAACAAAGTTAGTGACTTTTGGCGTGGGTCTGTAGTCCGGAGCTTCCATAGCTAACCCTCAGCATAGTTTCATGTGCCACCCCGAGATGCTGCTTCCGATCCCCGAAATTGACGACCCCGTTTTACGATTCGTTTCTGTAGTCAAATTCTACCTCAGTGGCTGGCATATCCGACCACCGTACGTCCTTCCCAGTTCCGAGCTCTCCGGCGCGAGGCAGACGTAGCTAACATGTGCTCAGAGGAGTGAAGAAGCCCCTCAACCCAATCCTCGGCGAGATATTCACCTGCTACTGGGACCTGCCTGACAATACGAGAGCCTATTATATCTCAGAGCAAACATCCCATCACCCTCCCAAGTCGAGTTACTTCTACATGGTTCCGGAACACCACATCCGAGTCGACGGTACCCTGAAGCCGAGGTCAAGGTTCCTTGGTAACTCGGCTGCAAGCGTGATGGAAGGCACTGCTATTCTTTCTTTGTTGAATAGAGGGAATGACAAGACTAAGGGCGAAAGATAGTAGGTCAGCCGATAGCTACCTTGGGCGATTAAGTGCTAACGATAGCAAAGCATCCTGACACAGCCCAACATGTACGCTCGGGGTATCCTGTTCGGAAAGATGAAGTACGAACTAGGAGACCACAGCTTTGTGCGCTGCCCGGAGCTCGACTTGGTTGCTGACATCGACTTCAAGACCAAGGGATGGGTAGGCGGCACTTACAACGCTATTGGAGGTTTCATCAAGCAAGAAAGTACTGGCGAGGTTCTGTATGAGCTCTCGGGACTCTGGAGTGAGGAGATGTTTATCAAGGACGTAAAGGTAAAGCAACTAGACCGTTCTAGAACCAGAATCTTGCTGCTGACGGGATCCTAGACGGGTCACAAGGAAATGTTTTTCAATGCCAGGAGATCAAAACCTAGCAGCCCACTAGTGCGACCAATCGAGGAGCAGGATGAGCGCGAGTCTCAAAGACTTTGGCAAGCTACTGCCCAAGCTGTCATTGACCGCAACCATGAGCTCGCAACGGATGAGAAGACCAAGGTAGAAGACAGACAACGCGAAGAACGTGACCTTAGAGCACAAGAGGGCGTAGAGTGGCACCCCAGACTCTTCAGGAGAGTCGAGGGTGGTCCTGGTGCTCCAGACGAAGGTGAAGAAGAGCTCGAATGGATTATCAACGCCACAATGTGAGTCCTCGTTTTGAAGCGCAAATGCAGGACGAAAATGTTGACAGGTGACAGTGACGGACCAACTCCTGAGAAGCAAACCGAGCAGATTTTGGCTATCTATCCGATAGTCAAGGGCCAAAAAGCGCCCAGTGCAAACGTGATCCCACCTCACCATGCTACGGCTGCGGAGAAGCCAGCTCTCCAGCCTCAAGCAGGAGCCAATGATCTCATTGATTTTGGCGATGATCAAGACAACACTCCGCCTGCACCTGCCCCAGCATCTGCCCCGGCAGTCCAGCCCCCAACGGGAGCTACTGCGACTGCGCAAGAATCACGGAGCGACTCCAAGGACATTCAGAGTATGCTGAACAAGACAGGGACTCAGCCGGGTGAGGGCCCATTGATTGATTTTGTCCCTGACATGAAGAAGGCCGTTCCGTCGTTGAAGCGGGCGGACACTAGCGAGGACAGCTTCCACGACGCTCATGAGTAAGCTAGACAGTTTTCAAGTATGCGTCTGGTAAACGTGTCACCACTTTCATTCGTCATGGGAGGCAAACCTCCGGCTAGAGGAAAGGAGATCCAATTCAGTGCACTGGCGAAAATCGGGGTTACGGTAGAAAAGGGATACCTTTGTAGATATGTAGCATCGTTTGCGGATAAGCAATTACGGCATTCAACTGCGGAGAGAAACAATATTTCAGAATACAATTTTGAGTAATAACAGCAGCAGAATAGAAGCAACATGATCAATAGCTCTTCATTAGAAAGCCTTATTGTGACAAAACTAAGTGTACATGATGCTCCCCGCCCTCACAAGGGTCCTATAGTAGTGGTAATAATAAACCATTGCCAGAACGCCACAAACGCCGTTTCTTTTTTCTTGTCTTTTTTTGGTTGACCGTCCCAGCCCTGATTTCAATAACCCCCTCTGAAAAAGAAGGACCTCGGGAGTTGGGTATCAAAATCGAAATCGGGATGTTTTACCTACGGCACCGCGACCGCGAGCCATTTGTCTCTTCGGTCATGTTCCGCAGCAGTTCACGATTGCGACTTCTACTGCGAATGGGGCCGCCGCTGCTACTCCTTCGACGTGTATTACGTGTCCGCGATAGGTTTGGGTCTGTTTGGCCACGGCTGATAAGGGTACCATTTGGATCGGCATCGCGGATACCACCGTCTAGCCTCCTGCCATTTGCTCGGTCCCGACCGTTGCCGTTCATTCGATTCCGTCGGTCGCCGTCACGCTCATCACGTCCGCCACCGCCGTCTTCGCCGTTAATGTCACCACCGCTCTCCTAGAAACGGCGCCGCGTGGGCTCTGGGGTCGGGGAGCGGGAGGGGGATCTCTCGTCACGGCCGCGCTCCTTGAGCCACTTCTTGGTGCTGAGGGTGAGGTCGCGGTCGAGGTCCTCAGAGGGGTTTTTGCGGTGGATAAAATTGCAAAACCCGCCGCGAACACAGCCCTCACCCGAATTGAGGCGACAGCAGGCCTCGCGGAAGTCGGTAACGGGCGATAGCTCGCAGTATATGGGTCGAGCTGCATACCAACGGGAGTTGAGGTCGTCACATGCCTTTTGGGCAGAGTCCTCGTACTTGAAGCGTGCGTATACGTTTCCTATAAGGTCTGTGCAGAGTGGTTAGCATTATGTTCGCTTTGAAGATGACGATGACCAAAAAGAGAAAAGAGAAAAAAAAGAGAGAGAGAGACAGTAGGGGTGAGATTCACATACGATCATTATTATTGTCGCAGACGACCAGCTCCTCGAGCTCGCCGTACTTGCAAAGCTCGCACCAGATATCTTCGTAAAAGGCGTCAAAGTGATTCTGCAGCTGAGAAGGGTTCATGCGGTTCTTTGGGTCATAAGCAGGGTTTTGGTAGAGGTTGGGCATGAGAATCGTCTGGGAGTAGCTGGGCTTGACGTGCTTGCGCGAGCAACGGTCGCCGTGGCGGCAGGCGCCGATCTTGAAATAGAAGGAGCAGTTGACCTTGTCAAGCTCGGTACCGAAGATGGAGGCGAGAAAGTTGGCCATTTTCGCGGTGAATCAAACGCTTTGGGGTTACTATTGCCGATGTATGTGCTTGGGTTCGGAGGTTTGATGTGGAAGGGAAGAATTGGCCGTTGAATGGATTTTGCGCGGCGCGTTGAATTGATGCGTTTGGATCCTTGTCGCGATGGCGATGCGACGGAAGGAAGATTTCAGGTAGCCTTGCGTGTGCCACAGAAATTACTAATCGTGAGGCTGAAGCTGTGGGTGGCGGTGCATTCGAGATGGTTCTGTCTGGGCCCTGGACCAGGAGGTACGTACTGGTATTGTGGTGTCGGGAATCTAGAACAGGCGCTCTGTTGGGGGTAGCCATTCCAGTCTAGCCTTACGGTTGTTTACATCATTGTCTCTACAACCAGTCATGGGCAACAGATATGTCTCCGATTGATGCTAGAGCAGTCCAATAACCGTCACCAGGTACAGCGCTATCTCGCCAAGATCGTCGACAGAAACGGTCGCAACGTTCACTTATTCTGTTTGCTTCCCAGGAGCATTTTTGAAACACTAGGCTCTGCTTGAACCGTTTTTTTTTTTTTTCCCTCTCCCACGAAGACAAAACCCATACATAAATGATACCAAAATAGAGGCAAATCTATATGGTGAGTTGGTTTCATAGACTGGCTACGTACATCTCAACTTCCGCACATGCGACGTTTCCTCCTCCCCGACCTTTTTCCCCGTCTATGAGAGTTCACTCGTCTGATGGTCACGACCTGTCTAATAGAGTCAAAATTGTCCGAGCCACAGGGTCATAGCTGTCAATCGCGAAAGTCCTTCACTGGAAGTATAGTTCAATGTCGATAATTTTGTTAAGGTTCCTTCGCCATACAATAGAAAACCAGCCGCGTCCGGTGGGAACGGATGGTGAAACCGCTGGCTTAGTGAGCGATTCAAGCCAGTCGGCCAGTGGCCGTAGTCCCGCCGTCCTCTCGGCCTCGAAGCCAAGATTTCCCCAAGTGCCCACCATTGGAAGCCCCCAAAATTAAAACGGGGCCAAACATTGTTTGTAGGCTATGATTGGTATGTGTTCCCTGAGTGAACCCCCAAATCAGTTACGGACTGCTGGGGGCTTCTGGGTACCTCCCAGTCGGGCTGCACCAGCGGTTTCCCACCTCCTGCAGGACATGCGCAAACTTCCCGCCCGTGCGCGTCCCAATGCGGACCGAAAGCCAACAGCTGGTCTGTTGCTTCGACAGCCCTCACCATTTACACCTCTCTCCTTTTTTTTTTTTTGTTCCCTACTCTCCGTCCCTGTGCCCAGACTTTTCTCAATTCTTTTTTTATATTCTTGATCGACGCCGCTCCCTTCACCTACACTGCGAAGGATCTGCGGAGGAAGATTCCGCCCCGTGTTCTATTTTCACTCGGGCTTTCTCCCGAGACTACTACGAGATATACCCCAGACGCCTCTTTTGTTTATATAGCCTGATCAAGACCCTCCTAACAACGCAGCACGACAACGGGCCATGAATTTGAGCACGACCCTCCCCCTCCCCTGCTGACGACCCTCTTCCCCTCGACATCTGGCACTCGCGCCGACGCTCCTTACACATTCTCGATCCCACCTCTACACTCTTTCGACGTCAACGCCGCCGCCATGGACCAGGCAGATATTCCGGCACTCCTATCGCGTCTCGCGAGCGACGAGGATGCCGTCAGAAAAATGGCAGTCTTCAAGCTGCAGTCCTCTATAAACGACCCGGCCTTTGCAGACGTGTTTATATCCTCTGGCGGACTGGTCGTGTTACGCCGTCTAATCATGAGCACGGGAGGGAATACGCTGGCGTACTCGTTGCAGAGCTTGACGCGTCTGCTGGAGGTAGACATGGGCTGGGAAATATTCGAGGGTACCGCTTCGGGCGACCTTGTTGAGCGCATCGTCGAATTGATCGTCACGAACCCTTTGGTCAACATTCTGCGTGGAGCCATGTCGATCCTTGTCGCCCTCGTCGCTCACTCGCAGTCCTCCGGCCGGCCAAGCACTCCCCGCACCCCAGGTTCCTTTGGTTTTAGGGCTCTGAAGCCCGCAGTTGCCGTCTACCCGCAGTTCTTCGAGCTCGTTATCGCCCAGTTGCATTCCGCCGACCACGCGCTTTGCGCCAACGCCCTCATGCTAATCAATGCCATGATTCGAGACGCCGTCTCAAGTGATGGTGGGACAGGTAACACCAGGGCGGGGATGCCACCTATGGAAGAATGGTCCAAATTCATCAAGCGCCTCCAGGACCTGGGACTGATCAAGGCGGTCTATAACCTCATGCAGAGCTCGTCGTTACAGGATCTCGCGCACCCTCTCCTAGAGTTTCAGTCGCTTACGAAGGTTCTGCTGAGGAGGTGGCGTGAGGTGAGGGTTGATCTCGAACGCCCCGAGCACCGACGCGGACTGAAAGGTCTACACCTTGCTAGCAACCCGGAGAAGCAGGTCAACGGCCACTCGAGGATTGACGAGTTGAACGAGGGCAAGAAGGGGAGCCGTCGACACAACCCCGAGAAGTGGAGGAGACTTGGCTTTGAGACGGAAAGCCCCGCACAAGAGTTTGACGTTCCCGGCTTTCTGGGCATGATGGACTTGACCGATTATGTGCGCAAAAACGAGGATAGCTTCCAGAAGCTTTTGCTTGAACAGTCAACAAAACCTAGAAGTGAGCGGTGTCCAGTCGCCCGAGCAAGCTTGGCTGTCACCATGATTCTTTACGACCATTTTGAGGTTGAGAAGCTGGAAATCGAGGACTCCAAGGGCTACCAAGGCTTGGATGCTATTAAGAATAATGAGAAGCTGTTCCGCCCGCTCCTCTTACAATGGTCGAGGTTGCACACCGCTGGCCTACAAGCATTTTTCCGCTTGTGGAAGTCCACCGCTGCGGAGCAATTAGATTTTGAGAAGGTGGCAGAGCTTGTTCGCATTCTCATCGAGCAAGTTGTCGGCCAAGCCAGCAGAACCAAGGACGTATTAGAGGTCGAGGATGAACTTTTGGAGTACGACTGCACCAGGTTACGAGAGCTCCAGATGGAACTTCTTGAGTTGTCTTTCGAAGACCAATGGGGCCAGCATCTGTATCAAGTCCGAGAAGATTTGAGGCAAGAGGCTCTCCAGTTCGTGAAGGAGCAAAGGATTCGATGTCTGCTCCAGGGTTCTTGGTTCTCCAAGTCGTTACCACGCCGAGACACCAACCCACGAGATGAGACTAAGCGGCGTCTATATACACCGAAACCCTGGCGGTTTGCCAAGCTGTCGCACAATAGAAGATACCTTCACTACGCCGACTTCGAGACTCAGACAACACAAGATCCCGGCTTAGACATTCTGACGGAGAAGATTGACCTCAGCACCATCAGTTCCGTGGTGTCGAACGTTTCAGCACCCAATGAGGAGACTCGCAGCGCGGCTAGTAGCTCGACGTTCAAGAACACCACAACGGTCAAGTCAACAACCAAAATTACTGTTTTCAGCTATCTTAACCCTGTGGAGGCGGCCAAGGGTAATGATGCCAAAGAGCATGCCATCTTAACCCTCAACCCTCTGACCCACAGCCTGGCGTCGGAATGGCTCGATGGGCTTTTGATGCTTCTCAATCAGGCTCCAATTACAGCCGAGACGAATAAGCTAGTCAATCTTGTCAGCGATTTCGGTCTCAAGATCAGACTGCTGAACGTGAGAATAGAAGCTGCATATACTGGCCCGTTGCCGGGGGCCGGAGTAGTCCCTAGCCGAGAAGGTCTAGATGAAGACTATTTCTACGAGGTTTAACTGGGGCTGTGGACTGGCAGCTCGGGAAGTATTTGGCTCTTGTGATTATGATTGCCGTTTCATTTCCTTTGTCCTGTTTTGGCTTACATATACCCGCGTTTTTCTCTTGCTTCTAAGCCATGGGGATGTAATGAAAGAAACAGGGAAAACATAGCAGCTAAGATTGGCTGCCTACAACGTGCATAGCGAGCGGTCAGTTGCATTGTTACATAGTGAGGGTGGGTTTCGGTGGGTATATTTTTCCATAGGGGAAAGGGCCGGGTGAAGGCTACATATATGGGCGGATAGGTGTCTATAGCTGCGTTGGCAAGATTTCATGTGATCATACCTCTTCAGAGCGAGCCTTGAAGGCTCGCTCAAGTACATTCTAATACCAAGTAAATTGCCAACAAACCAGCCAGTCGTGTGATGTACCTAGTGCATTCAGCTGTAGCAGAGAGGTAACATATCTTCCAGTGGCGCTCACTAGATCGAGGCTGACAGGTGATTCATGCATAATAGTGCGATTGATGGGCAGAGTCTTTGATAACTGTGGAGGTCTCACTAATATGGCCGCCCTGTCTTGCTGAATTTCAAGGTTTGGCAAGACCGTGAAAGGCTATGTAAATCCACTTCGGAAAGCCGCCTGGCCGTCTGCCTCGTACCGTGATGTCCACAGGGATCACAGCTGGTAGCGCGCGGCAGGGCGGGGCCACAGCGTTATCTACCCGTCCAACCGTCCCACGTTACCAGAATGCCGGCCCAAGCTCCACACGGCTGCTCCCCCCAGCCCCCGACAATTCTCAGCTACAGTTGCATAAGCGAGACAACCCCTCACCTGTCTCTTGAACCCAGCCCGATAGACTACTCTCCTTGTCCAGGAATCTCAACATGCCCAAATAAAGGGGGGCATCATCGCTGCGTTCACCCAGGCTATAAAACGCTGGCCAAAGCAACACTTGTGTGGCATAGAAAATACGAATAACGGCCGTCCCAGAGCAGAAGTGGATTGACATTCGTCAAGGATTGACATCACACCCATCATACTGTCTCTGAAGTCATCTCAAAAAGAAAGAATATCCCCTCCTCGCAGCTCATGGTCCGACACCTGCCCTGGACCCATCCACATCTTAAAGTCCATTACGCTACCACAACCAGCTGCAATAAATCTAGTAGAATGGGGTTTCCCCGGACTCCGCGCGGAGGCAGAAGAGGTCTCATGTACAAATCGCCCTCCAGCAGCAAGAGCAGCAACTGGCGTTCTCCAGGTCGATATGGCAACACCAGCCCACCTGATTCGTCGCAAAAGAAGCGGCTAGACGGGCTCTACCTCGAGGGGAACTGGTACTGCAACTGCGAGCCGCGATTGCAAGCCAAGCATTTCCAGGTAAAGAAGAAGGGGCCCAACACGGGGAGATACTTTTACACTTGTGATGCAAGGAAGTGTAATTTCTTCCTCTGGGATGAAGACGCAAAGAACAGAGCAAGCGATTCCACGTTGACGTTACCGCCTATGCCGGAGGATGGTGCTTTGGTAGAGGCTATGCCTGCAACGGCGATCGAGACTTTCACACCTGGCTCGAGGGCGGCGACGAGGCCTCTGAACTCTGCTGCTGTTGCACCTGCTTCCCTGCCTACACCAGCACTGTCCACGCCTAGACAAAAGTCCATGGGAGATTACCTGACAAGGCATACTGAAGAGACACCGTCGAGGGCTGGGAAGAGGAAGAGGGTTCTTTTTGAGTTTAGCGATGACGAACAGGACGACTATGGTCTGGAAAATCTCTCTTCGGACGAAGAAAGGCAAATGAACGACGCCATGGAGCGAAGCGCCAAAAAATTGAGGAGCACGGCGCCAGCTACTCCTTCTGTAAGGCGAGAGACGGATGAATTCACAACCATGCCGGGTACGGTTACGCGAACTCTCTTCCCCGATTCCAGGTATCGAAGAGAGGATAACCTCCCTGCCAGGGCAGATACCAGCAGTGTACCCTTTTCTACCGTCAGCTCACCTTCAACAATGACCGTCAGGCCGTCCTTGTCGCCACCGCCCACGTCACAAGTTAAAGAGGAAGAGCAGCAGCTGGATCCTACAGACGAGGTACTCTCCCTCCTGAGGGGGCAGCGGCTGGATGAGGCAACAATGAGAAATGTGAAGGATGTGCTGCGACGATTCGCAATGAAGGCGAAGGGCGCCGCCAGGGGTCGGGAGAGCGTGCGGGCCGCGCTGAAGGTGAAGGATGAGAGGATCGCAGAGCTGCAGGACCGCGTTACGAGCTTGGAGAACCGGAACCGGGTGCAGAGGGAGGAGATATCCGAATTCAAAGCAGGAATCATGGATCTGTATTCAAAGTATTAGTGTTATCCCATTACACTGGGTGGGTTGGTCTGCCGGGCATTGGTAAGGTTTGGATTTGAAGATACCCCTTCTTCACCTTTAGAGGTCGTAGATAGTAACGTTGAGCGCAATGGATTTTGTCTTTGATCCTTGATTCGGAAATGCAGTGAACTACTTGATACATCTGTATCATACATCGAGCACATAATCAAGAAGCTGAGGTCCAAACATCTTTAATCTGTTCTCATATCACGCGACGCATATCTTGCGTGCTTGTCGTTCTGGCACTGGCTGAGAATAAATGAAGACCGAATCTGCTCGGAGATTCAAGTTTCCAGTCCCGTGGATACCGAATAGTCTCCATTTTGGATTGTAAACTCGACGATATTTTGTACCCCCTCTTAGATAGTCATTGAAGTTCTCCGTCCCAAGTCTTCACTCGAATGTTTGGCGTGCCAGTTCATGGTTGGTCACACGATACATCCAGCCATCAGCACTACAGGCCATTACCTCGCTGGAAAGACATGTCCTGTCAACTTAAGTAGGAAATTATCTAGCCGTACAGCCCAGGAAGCTGACTATCAAATAGCAGCACGACTTGCTTCCTCTTTTGCGACATCTACATGTGGCTCGATGTCAAACATCCTAGGCATAGTGAGACGTCCTCGCTTGTGTGAGATGCGGACTTTGAATAGCGTTTTATGCAGGTTCATCATTACCTATTGGCACGCCGGGACATCAAATATCTTCAGAGAAGGCAGCTTTTGCCTGTACTATCACCAGCAGTTGTATATGGTACAGACGTCGGCGGCCGTGACAAGCGACCTCGGCCCGCTGGATGTGGCTTGGGTTAGCGGTCACCATTGAGTTGCTAGTAGAATGCTTTGCTGTCGGAAGGTAATGTTTTGTTTCTCAGACGCATGCTCCCAAGGCATTTAGGCGCGTGTGAGCACTCTTCCTTGGTGGTATTGGCATGATAGTTAATAACCTGTACATATTTCTTGCACGATTGCCCTTGGTTCCTGAATGCCTACTAGCGTCTGCTCAAACCCATCACCGATTCATATGATCCGGCCTTGAAATGCCAAAACTATCGATATTTGATATACTTGCCCCCCGCAAGACATATAAAGCTTACCATATAGCAGCTCCAAGATGCTAGGAGCATCTTATTAGGTAGATCGAGATATTCCGAGACTTCTCTATAGTCGAGATACTCAGCGTCTCAAGTTCAGAGCGGAAGATAGATTCTTAAATCACTGCAATACCCAATGGCGAATACAAGCGTGAACTTCCGTAATTCAACACTCGTGGCGCACACATTTGTCCATGAACATCGATCTAGGTCCATCACGACCACTGGGCAACCGTGATTTCGGAAAGCCAACTTACTATAAAAATCAAGTTCCGGTATTGATTTCTTATTTGGGGTTTTGGTGACCGGCGCAAAGCACCCCGGCCTGTTGCCGTTCCGTCCTTTCTATATCAGAGCTGCCAAGATTGTTACTATAACCGACCGAGAAACAGGGTGCGGTCCTTGAACGCAACTTTTCCCCAATAACACTCTATTTTAGTGTGGACCTGGTCATTATGTAGCATCATCGATATGCTCTATTTTAGGCATTTGGAGATTAACATATACATGGGAAAACAATTAATCGCAATGCTCCACAGCAGGTTCCTCTCACAACATGCGTTGCTCATTCGGTGGCAGCAAGAGGTTTGTTACATTTTTGGACGACTTGTGATGCGACTAATAAATCTTTTGCAGTGATTGAGGTATAGTAAACAATAAACCGTAACATACGCCGTGTCGTGGGGCTTAATACCCCCAGTTGCCCGACCCGTTTAACCCCCGTGTTTGATCCAAAGTCCCGTAGCCGGGAGACAATGCTTCTTCTCAAATTTACTCGGCGAGAACCTCTCGCAACATGACGAGGAAGTTCTCCTTGAGTTTGTGAATCTCAGAAACTGGCGGCTTAACCGGTTCGCCAGCGCTCCGGCGAAGCCTGTCGCGTCTCTTGGCGCGACGTCGGCGCTCGGCTTCGATTGGGTCGAGCTCGTCTTCCTTCTCTGCGTCTTCCTCGTCCTCTGCATCGTCCTCGTACGCCATATCCTGGAGGTCTTGCTGATCGAGACCAAAATCTGATGATGAAAAACCGGTAGGGACAAGGTCTGGGCCACCGTTGCCTTCGGCAGCCATCTTTTGACGGGTCTTGTCATGGTGCCACTTCTTCCTTGCTTCTTGCCAGGCAATGAGTTGGTTGACCTCGTTGATAACCTTAGCCTTGTCGACCACACCAGAGCTGACGCCTCCCTCAAACAATGCGTTGATGTTCAAGGTGCCGTTCTTGGGTCCCTTTCGGAGGAACTCTAGGATATCTTCTATCCAGCCCATCAACTGATCGAAAAGTCCGTTATCGTGCGTGTGAACCTCGTGGACAAACTTGTAAAAGTTGTGCTCGTGCCTCTGACAGAGATCGATGAACGCTTGCACTGTCTGATTAGGATCTGCCGAAGCGTCCTGCTCTTGGCATTTCTCAACGACCTAGAGGGCTTGTTAGTATGTAGTTGCGCTTGCGCAGCAAATTTTCTCACCTGAATCATATCATCAATAAATACAGCAAAGTCGGTCACACTGTTGTAAACGTTCGCCGACTTGTAAACCCGGACAAGTGGCTCGTAGAAGATGGTGAAGAGATCCCTGAAGAGCTGGAGCGTGACTGGTTCCTCCACTAGCTGCAACATCATGGCCTTATCGTGCTGTCTTGTGCACAGCTTCAGGAACTGCTTGAGGTACGAGAAAAGCTGGGCGCCCTGCTTCAACTCTTCATCCACGTTCTCCACCGCATTGTTGAAGGCCACATAGGCATTATACAGCCGGCCAATTTGTTCGGAGGTAAGGGCAGGCTCGAGGTACTCTGAGCGCAAAATGACAACGATCAGGTCGATGTCTTCAGCAGCAGCCTCTTCCCGAATTGCAGTCTTGATATGCTCTTCTGCCTCTGTGTACAGCTTCAACTTCTTTGTCAGGACATTGTCACCGATCTTATCAGCAAGCGTGTCAATGGACTTTTGGAAGCTCCTGATGCCGTCGTTGAGGGTCAGCGAGAAGATGCGCTGCAAGAGCGAACGGGTGCCGAAAGGTTGTGCAAGGAAGATATCCAAAACTCCGGACATGACCGCCGCAGGGTTGGCAATCCTGATAACGTTCTTCATGACAGTATACGGGATGAGGGAGTGGATCCTCTTGGCTTGGGCGAATAGCTCGGGCGAGTTATCTTCGGCAAGGAACAAGTGATAGATAGTCGCTGCAACCTCTATCCGCAGCCATTCAGCAAACTTTCGATACTGGATGCTGAGGTCCTGGATAGTTTCCTTGTCCTTGATTTCCTTGAAAAGCGAAGTGAGACCGTTGCGCTCTACAATCTCTTGACGAAACCTAGTATCTGTTAATCACTTGTGTCAGTAGAACATTTTTGGCTTACTCACTCTTCCATGTAAATGTCGAGCTCCGCGGCACGCTTGCGTGCAATTTCGTAAAACTTCTTCTGCTCCTCCATGCGCAGTTCATCCACCGCCTTTCTCCGTTCGATATCGTCAATGTCGGCATCGGTCGGGGTAATCGGGTCCTTGGTAAGAAACTCCTCCATGGCCTTGGTCTGCGCAATCTGGGGATTCGAAAGGACAGAGCGCAAGAAAGCCCTGAGTGAAACTCGCTGACTCTCCCGCCATAATGTGACCTGCTCGTTCTTCTTGAGGAAAGGAAGCGGGCTTTTCGGTCTGCTGTCGGTGGACACGCGGGGTGAGTTACGGCCGGAGGTTGTAGAGCCTGCACGTTTGTGCCCTGGGTTTGTTAAAAAAGAATACACAAAAAGCGGCTGAGACAGAAACAAACGTACCTCTCACTGAGAGCTTTGAGGGTTCATTAGGTTGGCCAACTGCTAGACCAGTCATTTGAGTTGAAACAGAAGAAATTGACGATGCCGATGAGTTTGGAGATCCGCCGCCGGTGAGGGACGAGAACAAGCCAGATGTTGTCGTGTCTGCTTTGTTCTTCTTCGGCAATGTAGGGAGAACCTTCCCGGGCAATTCCAAACGCAGTCTCCTATGCAGTTTTACAAAGTCGCCATACCGTCTACCAATGAAGAACTCGAGTTCGCCCTTGCGATGAATGCGCATGATAAATTCCTAGTGGCGATGTTAGTGCGATGTAAACCTTTCAGTGCAGTAGGCGCTTACAGCATGCTTATGGGTCCTAATAGTCTTTCTCTCCGTAGTGATGCGCACGGCAGCGACGTTGACATCCCAGCCGTTGATATAGTTGCCTTCCGGCATGGTGTGCATGACTCCAGTGTCAATGGCATTGCTGTCGACGACCTCGATTTCGGAGAAGCGTATCCTCTCCTCGAAGCCGGATGAGGTCTTGCAGCCCGACACCATCATCAACTCGACGAGCTTCTGACATTTTATGGCCAATTTGCGTCTCTTGGTCTCTTCAAGTCTATCTTCAGAGGACGAAATGTTCTTGGTCGCAAATGATTCTAAGAACTACGGTAGGGAAGAGCGTAACGAGTCAGCGCAAGCTGGTCCGGCGGGGGTTTCTGGGTGTCCCAGAAGGCGGGGGAAGCCTTCTCAACTTACCACTTGCAGCTTATCTTGCCAAAACTCTTTCTCCTTAGCCTTGTCAAGGAAAGGAAAATCGCGAACGTGGTGGACAAAGATGTAGCGCAGGATAGGGAGCTCCGAGTCCAACGGGGATACCTCGCCCACATCAGATTTAAAGGGGGCGCCGAAGCGCTTGAGCGCCGTAGGAGAGTTAAGCTCGGAAATTTCATACTTGACTTGCTCGGAAATCAGCTCTCGCTTGAGGTCTGGAAGCGAGGAATGTTAGCATAAGCCTCAAAGTTGGGAATGACCAGAAAGCGCATACAATGCTCTTGTTTGCCCGTGAGAGACTGGCCCGGCGGCGGGATAGAGACGTTGCTCTTTGTGCGATCGGGAAGCTGAAGGTCAGATCTGGTAGCCGGAGCCGGGGCCTTGGCCGGGTCTACAGCAGCACCATTCTGAGGTTGATCTTGCGATGTTGAAGCCATCGGCGCTGGTTTTCTAAGGGTATTCGAGCTGCCCGCGAAGCAGACAATGTGTCGTGGATTGTCTCTGTCCAGTGCCAAACTTGTCAAAGAAAGAGAAATATCGTGGGCTTAAGGGGTAGAGGGGTGAACGTCGTCAAAAGGGTCGAAGTAATGAATGGAGCTGACTGGCGTCAGACCTGAAGCGAGTAAGGTAAGGTAACTATGGTAGCGTGCGGCGGCGCTGCAGCCACCAGCTGGAGGGGGCCCGACGTAATAATCAATTTACCCTTGGCTCCGCTGGCCCCCAAGCGCAAAGCAGATCCAATGGGTAGCTTGCAGGGTGCAGGCCCAGCTTCCCAGTGGGGCGGGTGCAGTGCTGTAGGGCCGCTGGACGTAACGCGCGTATGGCGGGGTAGTACAGGCTCTGGAGACAGCAAGCTAATGTACAACTCGTACTTGCAGTCCAGGCGCAGAGGCGATTGCTGGACGTCAATGCCGTCGCAGGACCTTGGTTTGAAAGAAAGGGGAGCCTGGCCTAAGCCTTTTTTTAGGTGATGCCCCAGACTGCGACCGAAAGCTTTTCCGTCTCTGGTTTATTTTCTTTTTTAGATGGGTCCCCCGTCTGCCTCAGTTTATTTTTCTTGGTGCCAGGTTTTTAACAGATGGGTTGGGCAGAGAGCTAGGGTGTGAATGGAGGGGTGTTCGGTGACGGCACAGGAGATGAAATGAGCTCAGAAGTACGCAGTAGAGGCTGCTGGGAACGTTTTAGGTGTGAAGAAGTACGTAAGGCCAGATGCGCTGAGGGGATGGATCGAGCTGTTTATTATCTCTTTCGTCCTGCAACAGCCAACAGCACGGATCTCGAATTCTTAGCTCGGAGAGACGGCACACCACAAGCGATATTTGGCGGGGATGGATGATGGAAACCAGCAAGCGAAACAAACAGGCCACACGCTCAAAAAAAGCAAGAAAAGGTTCGCAGGCCCGTAACCGTGTGCCAGACGAGCAAATATCCGTAATAGCAGAGACGGACCCGTCTACATTTTTTTTTTTTTTTTCATTCTGTTTATACTTCTTGCTTCGACTGCGCTCGGCCTTTCTTAGCAGTAAAGGGTCCTGTCGTCTTACCCTGGTTGTAGTGAAAAGTGACGCGAGGTTGACGCGAATAAGAGCAAGATTGCAAAGAACGAGACGAAAAGGTTAGGTGAAGGACGGTTCCGAGAGGCCGAACAAGGAAAGAGTTGGGTTGGGTGTCTTCACTGCCGCCCCTCCCCGTTCACTAGTACTGTCACTGCGCAGCATCTCCAAAACGAACCAAAAAAAAAAAAAAAAAGCCAAGCTCTTCCCGTGTGCCTTATCGAGACGGATGATCCACCAGTTCCCAACTGCGCCTGCTGTCTAGCCACCAAGCCCTTCCTTATTACGCAGTACTCTAATTGAGCTTGAGGCCCGAATGACGCTGATAAGGGTGGCGGTGACGGCTGCCACTGTCGAGGATGGCCATGGGATGCATGACGTTGCAGCCTTTCTAATCTACGCCGAAAGCCGAGACAAGACCACTCAAGACAGACAAGACGTACGGGATGTCCACTGTACACCACGATACCTTACTACCGAATGACATACCTCTCACACGCCCGCATACTTCAGCCACGTTTTGAGGCCATACTCGCATATTGGCACTGCACTCGGCCTCGTCCACGTTTCGTTTCATCGTTCCCCCTCATCCATATCGGCAACCCAAAGTAAAGAGTAAGCAGGCTCGGCATATTTCCCCTCTTGTGGTAGTATGAGCCACGCAGGTGCCCTGCCTGGCCTCACTACTCACAAAAGTTGAAGAAGTTACTTGCCGCAGGCTGCAGCCCACAACGCCTTCCTCCATTCGCCGCTTTATTGACTCAAGCGTCGCCTCTAACCTGCAATTAAGCACATTTGGGACCAAATCATCCCCCCACTGCACCGTTGGTTGTCAGTCAGCCTTGCCGGCCAAGGCCACAGACGCGCAATCATTGTCGCCATCAGCTCCTTGGCCCGGACGAGACCGAACGACCCAAATGGGGCGCCCAAACTTAGCGCGCCGATTGTTTGGAGCCAGACGATCGATTGGGGTCCGCAAATGAACCGTCGTGCAATTCTTTGTGTCTCCTGAGATTCTGCGGCCCTTCTCTTTGTCATCTCCCCGCCGTATCCACTTTGATGGCGATCTCTAAAAATTTGCTGGGCCTGGTGGCTGCAAATGTAAGCAACACGGATGCTGTGAATCAAGGTCACTCACTCTTACCAAACCCACAAGGGTGTCACGATGTGGCAGAAGCTCGTAGGAAAAGCTTCTGGAACCCGCGGCTCGCGCAAATGTTTACATTGTCAAAGCCCCCAAACTTTGGGAAAAGAGGAGACCTGAGCAAAATGCCCCGTTTCGAATACGCTTCATCCCTGCACCTACCCGGATACCGGTGCCGAACCCAAGACACACGGTTGGACCGTAATCGGTATTCGGAGCGGACCCCTTTCGGTGGTGGTCACGACATATGCATAATTCTCATTTGAGTAGCTCGTCGGCCACTCCGGCCTATAGGGCTGTTTGCTGCTTGTTTCTCCGGGCGCTTAGCTTTTGGGCTAACGACAAGCTGACGACCAAGCTTGCTCTTAAATTCTTTTGGTTCAAAGTACAATGTCTGTAGACGGCCATGTGTCAGCGCACTTCTACCAGTGGAGGCAATCAGCCTCAGGTGGCTCAATGTGATGTCCTCTAACTGCCCTTATCGTTTCGTATTATATACGAATAAGGGAAGGTTCCATGGAGCTAATCCTAACGCAGCGACGCAAAATCAATCACATGGGAAAGGCGGTCTGTTTGGCCGTAGCTGAAGTGGTCCCAGCATATACTCGATTTTCAAAGATGGGCCTACCATCTACCACGAACTTACACGTCAAATATAAGCTCATTTTTCGATTGAGAAAAGCATGTCGAGGCTTTAGTGTAAATTCATTCATGACGTCTATTTGACTACATCAGTTGACAACAGGTGTTGCGTTGCAACGTAGTTTTTAACATGACGTTAAAGCTGTTGACATGTTGTATAACAGAATGTAGATTACGTGGAGGCTAGTCGGGAAGCAACTCTACCATTGTGATAGCTACTTCACCTCGGTATCCATCTTACCATAAAATATGTCCGCTCCCGTGCACCAAGATGAATTTACGCTGCTGCTTGGTCTCTAGAATGCTTCTGGGAGGCCTAGAGTTGATTCTATGCCTATAGGCATTGAATCCAACTGGCTGTGAATGTCGAAAAGGTGTGACGTGGAAGACTTCCAAGGCCGTGAAACTGTAGTTGCAACGACGGAGCCGCCGATCCGAGTGGTAAGCTATGTGGGCAGCCGACCTAGCATTGAGGTCATATCTGAAAGGTTCTTGGAGGCCACATCGGGGAGAACGGGTAACCGGCATCAACCACCTCGGTAGCATCGGAGCCACCATAACCTTGTATGACAACGCCTTTTTTTTTTTTTTTTTTTTTTTTTTTTTTTTTTTTTACTTTAGTTGAGTTGATTCCTGGAAACCGGCGACGGTCCCAAAGGCGATGGGCACTTGTTGTGAGTTTACTGGGACACGACCGCCTAAGCGGAGAGTCAAGTATGTGTGTATTTTAGCTCGTGAAGAAGTAACCTATCTGATACTTCAAAACAAACCAGAAGAGTCCCTTGGCCAACATGAGAATGTTCGAGAAGAAGCATCGCTGCCCGAGCTTCAGTGGCATGGCGTTCCATTTCTGAGCGTGAATGACATTGAAGAGCGCTTGACACTTTGTGAAGCCTCAAGTTATGCGCAGCAGAACACATGCGGGGACACTGGCGTCGACATTCACCGGGGAGACAGATAGAGTATCCGAGCACGTCCCTTTCCATTCTGGTTGATGTTAAATGGTACGTCTTATAGTGATCTTACCTAAAAGGACATTTTGATAAGCCCGTCTACCGAACAGGTAGCCCCCTCAGTACGACATGTTGGGTTGACAAATTGGAATATGTCTGAGCCAAGGGTATATACTTACCAAAATCTGCGAATCACTGCCGTCTGACAACATAGTATTTGTCCACCTCCACATATTTGTGGTCTGGTATCGGGCCCGTTGTGGATGAGCGAGATGGTTGGACGGCGAATGTTAAAGTAGAGGGGGAAGCCCCAACAACAGCCATGTTTCGATATGGCCTTGGGAGATACAGAACAGTCTTTTCCCGGGGACAGTCGCATAATGGAGACTCACCTCTCGAGGAGGCAGTGATACGGTGCCCAAGAAGCTGTCGTGCCGTCTCTGTTCGTCGAAAGACGGGTTTCGCCGCTGGTGACATACGCCGATCAACTCACAAGAACACAGGTCACCCATAATTCCAAAAAAATGGCAATTGCAAGAAATAAGTATGACCCGGCGACCGTCCCTGACAGAAACAATCATTTCTCTGCCCGAGGTGATACTAGACGTAAGCCTCAAGGCTATCTTAAACACCGCCCGACATGTCAGGCCTGACATCTTGGACCATGGGCGTTAACGCCGACAATTCAATCGAACTGGCGTGGACTTGGACGAGAACACAGGGAGAAACGAAAGTTACAATGTAGACGTAGTCCAGAGTGCGGGAAGGTCAACAGTGTTAACAAACTAAGCTAATGCCTCTCTAGGGTATCAAATATCAATATGCGAGACTCGTAACACCTATCCCATGCTCCCCGATTATATATACAACACACAGAGTCCCGTTACAACTCGTCAAAAACCCTAAGCTGGTCCCCGTCCTCTCTTCCAGGCCTACCCTCCCACAGAGGCGGCACCGGACCCTCCTTAGCAGTTTCCGTCTTCTTCACTATTCCTAGACTCTTCGCGCTCTGATTTATGCCCTTCCCAACAGTCTTCAACCCCCTGTCCGCCGCAACTTCGAGACCGACCCCGCCAGCCTGTTGAGCATATTGGGCGCCCGCAAACAACAGAATCAAGACAGCAAACAGAACGGACATGACGATCCAAACGATGCGCAATCTTTTGCGGGTCTTCTCCTGCCACTCGCGGTCCGCTCGTTCCCATCCCTCGATCCGTCTTCTCACGAGGTCTACCCGCTCGCTGAGCCCCTGAATCCGCGTCCTCCCCGTCTCGATCCTGCCCTGCAATGTCTTGATGCGAGACTCCTGCTCGTTAAACTGCCCAAACGTAGCCAGTTGCCCGTCGACTTCTCGCACCATTTCTCCGGCCTCGCGCTTAAACTCGCTCGTCATCCGCCGCGAGGCCACCGCGAGCTCTTTAATCACTGAGATAGTGCTCTGGAGCATGCTCTTCTTCTCGAGGACCGAATAGTACGTCTCGTCAAGGCGCCGAGTTGTTGCCGTCGAGAAGCTACTGAGGTCGACAAGAGATTTCTTCAAGCCGCTGCGATGTCATGTGGTCAGCAAGAGCACCCTCTGTGATTTGTAAAGGCGTATAACGTACGTTACTCGGCTGGCGGTCCTCTCCTTCTCCTCCATCAAAGCAGCAGCATTGTCAACCTTCTTGACCTTCCCCCTGGGCGGTGTGATAGCCAGCGGGTTCTCTCCACCCCCAATCATCGGCCCAACAAGCGCGCTCGTCCGTCTGCTGTCGTCCGGGCTCCTGCTTGGCGTCGCAAACTCTGATCTCGTCATGTCGAGCGAGCTCCTCCCTACTATAAGACCCCTATCAGCCACTGAATGCCCGGTGGACCTGTCGTCGGGGAACAGGAACTTGCTGCTCTCCTTGCGCTGGTGGTGATGTTGGTGGTGTGTCGGGTGGTGGTGGTGACTATGCCGGTGTCGGTGCATCCTGAGCGGCGGCGAGAACTCGGTGATGGATCGGGTGATTTGGTGCCGTGGCCGACGTGCGGGCAACAAAGCGGCAGCGGCTGCAGCTGCACTCGAGGTTGTAGCAGGCGCAGAAGCTTTGTTAGAACTTCCGTTGCTGGTGCCTGAGGAGTTGCTGAGAGCGGCTGCCGTCGACAACGTCGCCATCGACGATGTCGGCAGCTCGAAGCCATGGGCGGTAGACATGGTTCCACCTTGCTCCTTGTGTCGCCTCTTCTATTTCCTTGGATCTGTTAGCTGGCGCTGGCGCTGGCGCTGGCCCGCCGACCGCGATTACCGCATTCGCCGCCGCGGGCTCCCGGTCCAGACGATTTTGGGATGGCCCTGTTAGTTTTCGGTCGCCTCTTCCTGGATGGGACGGCCAATGCTTCGAACGATAGGGAAAGTGTGGCTTGTTCCCTGAATAGGCAAAGGCAGAGTGGGCTGTCAGTGGTGGTGTGGTTTGATGCGGTGTGTAAAAGGTGAAAGGGACGACGGGAAGGTGGAGGTGGAATGTGCACGGTTTCGCAGCGAACAAGCTCTCACAGGTGTGTTCTCTCTCGACCAATGACGCACTTTCACATGTCCCTCCCCCTGGGTTCCTCCTTAATTGCCTGCATCGTCTGAAACGTCGTCTGAACCTCACAGCCAGCAACCTCCCTGTATTGAGCCGCTGGCAAAATAAAACTCTCACCCAAAATAGGGCCTCACGTCAGACGTTTATCGTTTCTATTGTCAACTATGAATTGATCCGAGCTGGCGCTGAGATCGGTACCATCCCCGCCGTTCTGCCTCAGTTCCGATCGGCACAAGCGAAGCTCGGATGGCTAGCCTCATGGGGCCTTCTGTTGGTATACACATACTCCTTCCCGGCCTTTTGCTGGATTCGCTCATCATCCATCCTGTCGGCTCCGAATCCGTATCCGAATAGTCGTGTTCGCTGCATCTGGGCGAGCGCACCTCGTCGCAGTTTTCCCCTTCCCCACACGTAACGTTTGCCCTCGCATAATCCCCTGACACCTTATCTGTTCGCTGAGCTGCGCAAACCTGGGTATTGTAGGCCCGAATCCTCCTCCTCCTCCTCCTCCTCCTCCTTTGCCCCCGAAATTGTTTCGGTATTTGTCAACGGAACCGGCGTTGCTCTATAGTCGTCGTCGGCGCCGGAATTGCTCGCACCACTTGCTCATGCGTTTGTTTGATTCGCACACACTCAGGAGTTGAGGAGTTTGTTTCGCTTCTCCCTTCTCTTCAGTCTCTCTACCCGCTTCTTGTGCATCTTTTCCGCCATCTTCTCGTACCGCTCCTTCTCCTCCTTAGCGGCTCTCTTGTCCTTGATGGTCTGGATGCGTTTCTAATGGGAGAGTCGTCAGCATGAGGAATCGTAACAGCCAATACTCTCGAGATGGTGTACCTGGCGCTCTGCCTCCTTCTCGTCCTTCATCTCCTTCTCCTTGGCCTTCATCGCCGCCATTGCGACGCGCTCCTTGGCGCGTTTATCGTAAGACGTCAAACCTGATGTTGGCCTGAAGGCCTTCTTCGGCGGGATCCATTGCTTGCCTGTCGCAGAGAGTTAGCTGGCTTCACTGGTCTCCCTAGAGAACGGAGCAGATGAAGTACCATTCTTCCGCATGCCAAGCGGCTTGTCGGCAGTGGCGGTCGCAATTTGGGGTTCCTCTGCGGACATGATTGCGGTGTTGAAGAATTATACAACCCAAAGCGGAGGAACGTTAATTTGCGCAATCGAATTTCACTGTTCTGCGGACGGCTCGAAAGTTTGCCATGTCGAACAAAAATTTCAGGAATGCGGCGGGGCAAGGCTGCAGAGACACCGGAGATGTATATGTGGCGGTGCAATACCCCATAATTTAAAGATCCGTGCATAACATGTGGCTGCCCCTTCGGGGTCTCGCGCCCAGAAACCAGGGGGCGCGTGAGACGTGACTGAGGAATTTACGCGCCACGGGAACGGGCATCGTTGGGGTCTGAAGAGACGATTCTGATCGTCGGAATCAGAGACATGATGCCCAATTATTGACAAACCAGATTATTCGATGTCTGGTACTTCCAGAAGCTTTGCAGTTTGGTGCACAGGGGAAAAAAAAGCTTTGGCTGTTGTCCCCCCATCAACGGCTTGATGTCTCCGACGCTTGAAATGTCGACTGAGACTCGTCCGCAGGGAGATTATCTTTGCCTCACGTAGGATGGTCACCTGTTTTCATCAAACGGTCATGACTTAGGGCTGGGCCCGGCCTCTAGACATTACGTCGATTTGTGCTTCGGAGCAATGGCCACCCAGCCGGGTCCTGGCATGGTCGTAGGTGGTCTTACTGTAGGAACAGCAAACGGGAAGAGAGGCGTTGACGGTTGGACGACCAGCGGGACTAACTAATCAGACAGATGACAACGGAATTACACCAGTTCCAGCCAACAGATGACGGCTGATGTCCGGTGCTGTAGTGGCCCGTGAGGCTCCGAGATGAATGAGGCAGACATTTTCCCGTCTCCAGTCGCCAATTTGGTCATTAGTATCAGATTTTGGGACTCGGTAACCCTGTATCGGCCAGTTGAGAAGGCTTCTACGTGTACCAGGCTGGGTTATACTTGGATGTCCCAGATTCTGACCCCAGGTTCCCGATGTGAGGGCCCCGAAGGATCCTCAATATGATGGTATTTTCTTCACCCCAAGCAGGGATGTCGAGGTCAGGGTTTGATCACTGGGAGTGAGGTTAGGTAAAGACAGTTGGCACAAAATTTGAATAAAGGCGGTGTTGGAAAAATTATGATGATTTGGCCACCACTTCATTTCATTACCGAGGCGTCGGCGGTGGGGGTCTGCTGAAAACGGCTGCTAGTCATCTAGCAGGCGAGATTACTTTGGGGCATCCGCAATTCGACTAGACCTGGTGCGATGCACTCTGATTTGTCGCTAGCAGTCATTGATTGAGGGTCGAAGGCTGGCGCGGGAAAGATGGGTATTCTTAGAATAATTTGGCAGATCGGATCGGATATGAAATGATGCAAGTCAGGATGTTTTGGGCCGGAGCCGCGCTTACAACACTGACGAGAGGTTGGGGAAGGAAACATTGAACAAGGAATAGGACGAAATGGGTCTCATTGCGGACTGAGCCATCCTGGTCTGGTGGAGATGGGTGCCAGCCAAGGAGGCAAAGCATCATCACGAGGATGAGTTTTATTCCTTGCCGGGAGATGAGGGCCTCCTAAGGAGAAACTGATCCTGATTGCCCCATGCACGCTTGTCTTGTCTGATGGTGTCCATGGTGGCATAGACATGGGCAAAGTATCAGCTCATCTTCGGCATGTCACCGGGCCCGAAGTTCCAACTCATCGGGCGTTGTGAAAGCTGTTATTGATGTTACTATGCTGTTCTTACCATACTGTCCTATCTCAAGCATTGCCAAATATGCCGGCTCATAATTACATTGCCTTGTGTCGTTAACAGGCCGACAAATGTCAAGTCTGTCTCGATTGGTACGTGGCGTCATGCAGGTCTGTCTGTGCACTTACTCCAACATGCACTCGCGTGGGTGGGTTTGGATGCGACACAAGTGACTGACATGCCGGATTCTGGTTGGAGACGACGGAGGCGCGGAGGTTGTCATCTGCAGCTACAGCTGCATCACTCAGGGTGAGAAGAGACAGCGGCGGCTTTGGACGAATCTCTCGATGCATGGCATGGTCGACTAGCAACAGGATGGAGGCGTCTGTTTGTTGATGCTCGCCGTAGTGGTGACTCGAAACAATTGGAGGGTCTTGGGCTGAGCGCTAGACTACTCAGCAAGCTAGGCGTTTAGTGAGCTTCGTCTCTTTGTCCCCCTTCCTTCAAGCCCTCCAAAAGAATGGCGCTGTCACACAAGATGTTCTCCCGGCTTTCCATCGGCCGGCAAGCGTTGGTCGTGGCATTGTCAAACGCTCAAAATGCCCTTGGTGAAAGAAGACTCTGGGGGGCCTAAGTCGCTCTAACGGTTACCATCAGCGGCCGCCTGGCCACCGGCTCCGAAGCCAGGAAGACCGCCGGGAAGATGAGGCTCTGAACCGTAGCAACGGGAAAGAAATTGGAAACAACAAACTTAAAGTTCATGCGCGTGATCTCTTTTGTTCTGCTGTATGGAGTGTGTGACGATTAGGTAGCCTGTGTCGTTGCCAAACAAGTTTGGGGAACCATTTTGGCTTGTTCCTCTATGTCTACTGGATTGCCAATCGCCAAAGATAACGTATCTGTACCCATCGGGTCCTGCAATTGAACTAACTTATTCAGCAACAGGCGCAGACAAAACCTGGCCTGCCAGTGATGGAAAGGGCAACAGTCTCATCTGGGGTGGTTGTGTTGCCTCCATTCAGCTCAAATTGTGACATGGCACCCCCTCCCCCCCACTATAAGCCAGGGGTCGAGAAACGGAGGCGTCAAATACGGGAAACATGGGAGAAATAAGGTAATAATCCCATCCCATCATCCCGTATGCGTTAGGCGGTATAGCAGTGTCGCCATTAATAGGAGGTCGTCCCCAGCATGACAATATCATGACCGCTTTGGGACGATATTGACAGATGATCCTTCTGTAGTTGCTGGACTGAGATGGGTGGGACTTAGTCGAGTATGCTGTCCCAAACCCCAAACCCCAACCCCCCAAAACAGAAAGACAATCTAAACAGACAATAGCTGGTAATGGCATCCGAATGTACCGCCTGGAGTTCAACACGACATGCCTTTGCCCCTCTGCTTGCGGCACCACTGAGGTGTCGGCTGGTCATCGCCAGCTGGGCTCCTACGCCCCAGAACCTTTCCAGATTAAGGGAAAAAAAAAAAGAAAAGTAAGCAGATCTGCTAGGTGCTGTCGGTCATCTGGCCGATTGATTTAATATGGAGATGGTAGGGATCTTTTGAGGCTTGGTGAGTGGTTCCTCGTTCCCTCGTTCCTTAAACCTGGTGGGCCCTGAGGGGTGTGGGTGGTGTTGTGAGGCCCAGCAGGCACAGAGTGGGAGGTGAACCGACGAGGGGCCTTGGCACATACGTTTTACACCCTGGACCATCCCTAGTTCGCGACAGCCAGCCAATAAGAGGTAGCCTTTGCTGCTGGACATGGAGGAGAAATTCGGCTCCTGTGCCGCCTCAGCGCCCATCAGGAAGCCACATTCGGATGCTCCATTGAATATGTGCGGGCTGCTTGACCGCTTTCGCTTTGGCTTTGGCTATGGCTCCGGATTGAAACGAGAATCCGCGGCGCTGGTCGACACCTAGAGGTGCGGCGTGGCTGTCGACTTGGGCCGAGCCGAGTCGACATGATACGATAGAATTCGAACAAGGCTCTCAATCTGGGGGGAGGAGGTTTGAAACTCGCCAGGCTCGCTCGGGTAGCAGGAAGGCAGAGTAAAATGCCCGAAGGGCCCGTTTTCACACATCTGCAGTTAGGTTTAAGTGCGAAGCGAAAGTGTAAGTGAGTGAATGCTGTACTTTGTGAACACTAATTGGGTCATGACATGACATGACACGGCTTGTATTTGTCGGACTGGACTTAACTGTTTCCCTCATCTGGTCTCTTCTTTCACGACGTCGAGATTCTGTCTGTCTCTGGCTTTCTCTCCCATTTGCCGCAAAAGGCCGAACGGCCATGATGGAGGGGGTGTGGGTGAAGTGAGGGCTGGCCATGTGTGTACCAATGTCGGCCAGGGCAACCTGCTTTCAGCAAGACGGTGATGTGATGATTCGTCTGGTTTGTGCCTGCCATGTGCTGGTCGTCTGGTTGTTGTTCCTAGCACCATCTTAGATTTCTCCGGTCGGCACCGGCACAAGGCGGAGGTGCCGTCGGTTGAGCTGAGCTCATTCAGCTTGAGCTGGGCTTGAGGCGAACTTGCTGCTAGCTTGCCGCCGCAAGGAAATATGTTGTTTTTGTTATTGGGATTGATGCTGGATCATTATTATTATTTTGTGTATGTACTGGCTAGCCCAGTCAGAGTTACCTTTCTCTGTCTAACTAGTTGATGATGAGGGAGCTGATAAGGTAAGAGGCATAGGCGCTAGCAAAACGTTCAGTGGCTTCCATTTTGAAGGGAAGTTTCCTGCTCAGGCCGTGCGTTTCGGCCGGTTTGTGCCTTGCCGTTCTTTCGAGGCCTCTAAAGGAAGGTCAGGTACTCAACCGCAAAGTACGTACCTGCAGATAAATAATTGGAGGCTGCATGCACGACACATTCGTTACTTACCTTGAGGGTGCACTGAACTTGTGCTTTCTGTTCCCTGTTCCCTTTTCTTTGACTTGCACTCGAATCATTGCAAGGTCCACTCTCAATGGTCTCAGACTATGGCCAAACCATTTCGATAAAGTCAGATTCCCTTTGCCAAAAGCATGAATCTAGTAGAGTAACATGAGACAAAGAAGTGCAAACAATCAAACGGCGCGTTGTCCATGGCAAGGGAAGCGGTGTGTGTAGGAAACGTTGCCAGTGACGCCAAAAGGGTCTCCTCTGCCTAGCAACCCCGCCAATCCAGCGCCCGGTGACCGGTCACTAGGCAGCTGGAGGGTATCTTAAGGAGGAAGGGAATCGGGCCTGGGCTGTGGCCGCCTGGCGACGGCCGCTCTTAGTGCGAACTGCTGAGGTGCTAGAGCTGGTTAGGTAGTAGGGGTACAGCGAGCGAGAGTGGTGGCAGCCAATACCATTATTGGCCACCTCACCTCGGCGACGGCACGTACGCCTTTACGCCAGGTTGCCAGGTACAGGACGGTTTCTAGTGGCCAGGTTGCCAGAGGGGGCGCACCACGTTCAGTACAGGTACGAATGCAGGGCCGTACATGTATCTGTCAGGGCCCGTGAAGTTACTGCGACGTATGCGCGTGAATGTAAGTGTGGTGGCAGCGCGGCAAGCCGGGCATGGATACGCACCAAGTACATGGAATGAATGGCATGAGAATTCATTATTGTGCCGGGAGCCCGAAAGCGTAGCGGAGAGGAAGAGGAATTTCGAAATGCCCGCTAGCAAAAGGCTTTGGCAACAGCTTACGCCAGTCTGAGGGTTGAAGGAGCCAAGGCATAAAAATAAGGTGTTGGTTGGACTGGTGACAATAATGCGTAGGTTCTCGCTTCATAGTCTCTCTACTTTACAAACACTTTGTTCCTACAGGTATTGCTCTGCTGTTGTTGCACCAAGGAACAAAACAATGTGTCCGTAAACCTGGGTGTTCTCATACTTTCTCTGCCTGGCCTGGCGGCTTGACTTTTGCTGCAGACCTCTCTCTGTAAGGTACACACCTTATTTCCTGTCTGGCGTGGCCTGGCTTGCAGCTCACTTTCTGCACCACGAAGTACCTTCTGCATTGTCTTGCCTCTGCAGAGTACTTCATGCCTGCCTGTCTTCGTGGTAGGTGCGCAGGCGCTGCCCCATCAACCTGACTGGGGACTCCCTCCCTTCCCCCCTGGGCGCTCGCCGTCCCTGCCCTGCCTTGCTGGTGCGGGCTCTGGCTGATGACTTGGAATCACAATCGCGCATCCACTTTTGGGCTGTTCCTGGTTGTCGTCCCTGTCGTCCCTCCTCCCTCCTGTACTGCCTGCTTCTTTCTCCCCCCTTCTCCCCAGTCCGGCTCAAATTCAACTGAGATTTTCCCCTCTACACCCTCCCTGACCATCTCCCTTCACACCCCCCTACAACATTTCACACCCCCACCGCTGGACCCGACTCGTCGCTTCTCACTCGCTCCGTATGTGTGGGTGTGTGTTGGTGTGCGAATGCGTGTTGTGTGTGTGTGTGTGGGTGTGTCTGTCCCCAATTCTAATCCCAAATCCACCCATCCATCCCATCCTCTCTTTAGTCTTCCGTGTCGCAACCCCCCTCTTCTTCACATCAACTCTCTTCCCCCCAAACCCTTTCGAAGCCGTTGTCGCTCTTTGACTTCAGCTTCGTGGTCCAATTCTGGTCGTAAATCTTGCAGATTTGCTTCTGGTTTTGCACCGTCCGCTCCTTAACAGATTCTTCCGTTTTCAACTTCGATAAATAGCATTTGTCTTACTTGGTCAATCGGCTTCATCACATCTACAGTCGTGAACGCCAAACTCCTCCAGTTTCCATCTTCAACGCGCCGCATTCAACACATCCCAAAGGTGCCTGCTCGCCCGACAATTCTTCCTTTCTGTGGCACACTTTTCAGCACGACTTCAAGCCCTTTTTGCTAAGTCGCTGATGCCGCAGAACTAATCACAAATTCCGCCATCGCCTCATTTATTGCCCTCTACGCGTCGTCCACGTCAAGAAATCGAACGAGACTAGCCTTCGTTACCGACGACCACTTCAATCCCGCGACCTTCTATGTCCTCCGCCTAGTTTCACTGACCCTGTTGCCGCAGAGCGGCTGAGTCGAGTATGGCAACCGCTCTTGCACCTGAGAGTATTTTGGGAACACCAGGCACTCAGGTTTTTGAGGACCCTTCAATGCAATCGCTCTCCCTCTCAGCAATGCTGGATAATTCTGCTTCTTCAACATCATCTTTTTCAGGCCCTCAACGATCTCCACGAACAATGCCCCCGCTACCGAACCCTCCATTCGTCTTCCCGGCGAGACCCTCGTCAGCTTCCGCGCCGTCATCCTTTTCGAGGGCAACCGGTCGACGACCTTTGTCGGCCATCGAGATTCAAGACCGATCTTCACCCTTTGGGGACTCTTTCGACCGTCCATCGAGGTCGCCTGCGCTTCCCGACTTTTCCTTCAACCCGGGTGCTTCACTGTCCCCGGATACCGCGCTCCTCAGTCCTCCCCTTTCTCCTCCGCCGGTATCCCCAAGACACGTCCCGTCACCTTCTTCTGCCTCGAGACCCGGTCATGGCCACAGACGGGGAGGAAGTGAGTTTGTGGGAGGAAGCATTCGCTCTGGAGACTCCATCACAGTGACGAACACCAGCCCGACAAGGTCAGAGAGTGGCTTCGCATCTCCGACTTTTCAACTACCCCCTCCCAAACCTGCAAACCGCCGAGGCCATCAACATCGGCGATCTGCGGCACTTTCTAGCCACGACTTGTCCCTCATTCTTCAGCCCCCTGCCCCAAGCCCTGCACGGGGAAGTAGTGCCCCAACCAGTCCTGCTGATTATGACACTAAATCTCTGGGCAACCCGCCGGCTGGGCAGGGTGAAAAGACGTTGAAGTCTGTCGAGTCCGAGCCAGCACTGAAAGTGTCAAGGGACACACTTGCGCCCTCGGATGGCTCTGCCAGCTCGAGTGGCAGAGCGTCGCCCGTGTCAAGGCCAGTGACCCGCGCTCGAGTTGGCTTTTCTGACACGCTTGAATTTATCCCCCGACCTCTGTCCATGGTGTCTAGCGATACATCTAGCACTGTCACAGCCCGGCCCGGCGGACACTCTGTTTCGGGTAGCATCTCTTCCATCATCTCCATCCCAACCACTACAAACGCCGACACGGAGCCTGTGATCCCGCTGGTGCTCACACCGTCTCGCCAGAATAACGAATCCAGACCTAGCACAGCTGGGGCGGTTCTGGAGCGCTCCCAGAGCATCCAATCCGTTGGAGCATCCCCCAGGAGGCGAAACTCGATCCCGGCCCTGATAAATGTGCCAGAAGCCGGTTCAGTTAGCCCCCCAATGCCCAGTCCAACCAAGACCCCAAAACGGTGGTCGTTCTTTGGACTGGACCCGTTCGCAGCTGCGGCATCGCCGCTACGCACCAGACCTGTCAGCTCAAGCTCTTCTGAATCTGCTTCTAAGCCCAATAGCTCAGCGTCTTCTTCTTCGGAACACATCACGGACTCCGTTGCCACATCGGAGGCTGCTGATTTTATTAATAAAGATGGCAAAAAGTCAAAGAAGAAGAAGAAGGTTAAGAATTGGGCCGGTTCCATCTTGACTCGCAAGGATAAGCGTCGGTCCAAGAAGTGCAAAGATCTGGACCTCTCAGGTGACTCTGTCGGACGAACTGAACCAGTGGGACAAAGGGATGAAGCCTTTCTCGCGGAACCAGAAATTGACGTCGAGCCAATAACGCCGACGCTGCTGGTAACGGACTCATCTAGCCAGCCACAAGCTCTGCAGGAATGGAAACCAAGGCCTGCATCGGCTCAAGATGACAGCTCCTTCCCCATGATAGACTTGGACGCTGCACTGGGCCCGTTCAATACACCTCTTCCCAACAACCCTGAGTGGGAGGCGGCTCAGAAGGCGGCTGGCTCTTCCAAGCGTCAGCTGCACAGCGCTCAAGGCATGAAGGGCTTCAGTGGTCCAGGAATGCACTATCACCGACGCGCAGAGAGTGCGCCAGAGATGGTCCCCTTTGAAGCCGGCCGTTTCGGTATCCACCGCTTCGGTAGCAGCTCCACAATGGCCGATGTCTTTGAGGAAGATGAGGAGGACGAGGAGCATGCTGGCAAGTCCATGGCCTTCCAGAATCGCAGCGGTGCTCGCAGGGCTGCCGCTCAACTCGATTCGGAATCGTCTTGTGATGAGGCGACACCACCTGCCATTGCAGCCAAAAATCCTATACTTGACATCAAGCCCACCAGTGTAGTCGATGACAGCAGTACTGACGTCGCCTCGACAACGACCGATATCCAAGGGACGAAGATGGCTGCCAGCATGAGATCCGAAAGATCTGTGGCTTCTTTGCAAGAACGCGCCATTCCTGAGGAAGCTCGGCCTGATGTTCCAGAATTTCGAACAAGCTCTCTCTTCCACGATAAGGCGGAGTCAACTGGCTCGGAGACGCCGTCACCTCGCAGGATTCTTGCAAGCAAAGATCTTGCCCCTGTCGATGTCAGTCCTCTGCACTTGCCCACGCCCTCCAATGTACCTATCAGCCCCTACTCCATGAGCCACGCCTCCTCGTTCCCGTCGCCTCGCTCGCCCATGTCGTATGACGCCCAGCGAATTTCTACGGCACCCTCGTCTGTGAACGAGGAAAGTAACTTCCAGTCTCTACTTCTGGGTGAGCCGGGACCGGAAGTCAGGCTTTCTGTGGACATTCCTTCGTTGACATCCAGCCACTCCACCATGACGAGGGACAGCTCCTTTGCCACCAACTCTCAATTCAGGCCAGAGAGCTTCCGCGGCGAACAGCAACGGCCCGTTTCCGTTTCGTCAGCTGCGTTCGGCCGTCGACGATCAAGTCTTGCCAGTCTAAGCAGGCTTATCAGTAGCTCCCACGGGGAGAGAAGCAAGCTCTCTATGGAAGTCTCCTACGAGGGAGAATCTGATAGAAAGCATAAATCTAGCAAGTCGAAGCGACTTAGCCGGATGATGCGTTTCTGGAAGCCCAAAGAGGATCACTCGGCGTAGAAGATCCCTTGAGAAGTCACATCTCGCTCGCAAATTATACCGGGGGATTGGTCATCATCTACCCGGACCTCTCACCTCCGATCACAAAGGTGACCTCACGACGCATGTATATGGAATTCTTGTACAACCTTTTTACATCTTCTCTCTCGACGGCCTTGCCCGACGACTTAATGCCTTTTTTTTTTCAGTAGGAAAGGGGAGAAAACTGGTCAATTTGGGCAGACAACACCCAACAGCAACAAACTCCCCAAGCCCCAGGTAAAAAGCATCTCAAGCTCAGTTATCGTCCCCCACAACAAACAGAGCTAGGCATATTCGACGTGGTGAGCGTTTTGGGGCACGGATTCGGCGTTTTTTTGTGATGATAGCATGAGCAGCAAGTAGCATGAGCATAGCAGGTATGCGGCCATATTTCTTTAGTGGCACTATGCAGGGGTGGAAACATTTGGTTCAATGTACTTGTTTCCGCTCTCTGGACATATCCAGGATGAATTGCGGATTTAGGAAGGCGAAAAGAAGGGGAAACAGGCAAATCGAGGCACGATTGCAGTGTCCTCTTAGTTCTTTGGCTGGTCAGCTGCTTTAGCCCTCTAGACGATGGAAGATGGGCACAATTCGCGACGTAGACAAATATTAATGAACATATTTCTGAGAAATGTTCCATTTTCATTCAGTCGAGATGCATTTTTTTCAACCGCCTGCTTCGAGCAGTTGGATACCAGGACTGAAACTAAGAGGAATGGCTGCCACCGTTGCCATCAGCACCAGCCTGCCTTCGCGCTACGTAGCAGTAAACGCAACACCCACAGGTCAGGGGCCAAACACTGGACCCAAACATCAGTCAGGAGCCTCGGTAGAACCCGTGGGGGCCCACATACCCTGTCGCGTCATACCTCTAATTGGTAAGGGCACATTGGGGTAATGTCGCTCGTAGCCCAGCTACAGCTTCTGGCAATCTGCTTGACGTATGGGCTCAGGTGTCCTTCAGAGCACTTATCCGAAGATCTAACATTGACATACTCTAGCCTCAACTCCCTTTGATCGCGACGGCTGCCACGTGAACCCGAGTGACACCGAAAATTCCTCGTTTCCGAACAATCAGGCCCCGCAAGCCAACAAACAGGAGTGAAGCTCTCGCTCGCTTTCCTGTCACTCTCCTTCTACCGAAACATTTTGTCACTTTCCCCGCGTTTTCTCTCGTCCCAAAAAATGTCCTGGAGAATCCAGAATCTGCCCGATTCTACTTCAAATCCGGCCGGCGCAGCGGCGGGTGCGAAAAAGAAGTCCAAATCATCCTCGGACGGGCGCGGTGCGATCAAGAGACTCATCAAGGAGCTGGACGTGTGGCGGGCAGAGCAGAAGGATGAGCGAGGGATTGAGAGGCTCGGGCCCGTCGACGACGAGGATCTGTTGTCGTGGGAAGCCGTAATCAACGGTCGAGGAATTGGAAATGGATATGATGGTACGAGGACACCCTCCTGTTCTCCTTCTCCTCAGTAGCTTCTTGGCGCTCCCCTTTTCCGTCATCGCTACATTGCCCTCTATATGCCTAAATAGCGACCTCTTGCTGACGTTTTTTATTGTCCCGTCAAACAGAAGGCCGCTGGCTTCTTAACATTCAGATCCCATCAGACTACCCCCTCCGACCGCCGACGATACGCTTCGTGACGCCCGTTGTGCACGCCAACATTGCCTTGCAGACAGGCGAGATCTGTCTCGACCTTCTCAAAGACGCCTGGACGCCGGCGTACAGCGTCCTGGAGAGCGTGCGCGCGGTGCGCACCCTTTTGGCATATCCGGAGACGGACTCGCCGCTCAATGTGGACGTTGCGGCGTTGCTGCGAGGCGGGGACGTCCTTGGTACCCGCGCCCTTGTCGAGTTCTGGTGTCGTGATGATGATGGCCGGTACGAAGGCCCGTGACGTGCTTTTGACCGCCTTTATTAGGATGGGGCCATTCTCTACGTAGGGGGGGAAGAAGGGGAGTTTCAACCCGCCCTACCTAGGAATGGAGGCAGGAAGGATGAGCGCCAAGGAAAACACAACAGCAAGGGAGATGGAAGGTGGAAATGGGTCGGCATAATCGGAAGCGGGATGGTTGCGGTTTTGGAAAGGCTTTAATTGTCATTTTTTTTTTCTTTTCTCTCAACAAACATCAACTCTGAATGTACATGGGAAAGGGACGGCGTGCGCGGGTTTTTGGGAGGGGGAAGAATTTGAAAGCTAACATGCTCATCGGTCAGATTGTAATCATAGCAACGAACACTTGAATGGGACACACCCTCATCATTTTTATAAAGGAATAATATGCTTGAATCTGCCTGCATCACACTGAGTGAAGCCTATCGAGGAGGGGAGCAAAACATTAAAGGGACTCCTTTCTAAATGCTGCAAGTTTGTTGTGAACAATCCATGGTCCGTTTCCCCGCCGTTCTCGATCCCTGGCGCTTCGTTTATTCTTACATGTTTCGGACGCATCACACCTTTGCTATCGCTCCCAGGCTATCTCTGCGGCCGCTTATCCCGCTGATCCCCTTACTCCTGGCCAGAACCCGTCATCGCCCCCATCAGATGTTTGTGTATGGTTTGTTGTGTGTGTGATGTGGAAAATATACTACAAAACGCCATCTCTTAATTTTTTCGCCCCTTTCCTCCGAAATTTCGAATGCAATTATGTTGGCAAGATACAGTGGGGTATCTGCACTAAAAGGCATAAGTTTCCAATGGACCAAGGCCCGCGCGTAAATTCGTGATGCCGCCGCCGCCGCCATGTACTTGTCGGCAGCGGCTGAAAAGGAGGAATGAATGTATGTGACTGTCCCACTAGCACCTTAGGAGGAAATAGTGGCGGGCGATTTTTTTTTTTTTTGGGCGTCCCTTCATGGGCGCTTAGTCATTACTCATTGTAATGGTAGACCTGCGAATTGTCAGCGGTCGAGCCAATGCCACGATTGAGGTTCTGAGATGGTTGCTTACTCTGTAGTTCGGGAGTCCGAACGGCTGCCAGCCTAAACGTTTTGCCATTTTGGCAAAACCCTCTGTTTCAATGAGGTGATAGAAGGCAAAGGGAGGGAACATGGCTCCGTCGCGATGCACGTCGGCTTTGACCAGCAGTGCTGTGCCGCCAACGCCGTCAAGCGGTATCTCCATGTTCTTGTTGTTGTCATCGGTACCCAGATAAGCCATCAAGGCACGGTATGTAGGCATGTCTTTGTAGCCTTCGAGGAGAATGTCATCGCGGCCCATGGTCTCCGCCATCTTCTGCGCAATCTCGCTGTCCTGCCAACTATTGAAGTCGTAAGGCCGCTCATCCATCTTCTTGGTCTCTTCGTTATAGAAACGCTGGAAACAATTGGGTACGATGACAGGCTTGTCATGGGATGCAAGGTCCTGAATGAGAGAGGGCGGTGTCTCGACGATATCGGCATCGAGCCATAGCACCCACGAGGTCTGGGGTCCTAGTGTAGTGAAGAGAAGCGAGTTGCGCGCCTTGGACATGACGGCTCGTCTCATCTTCTGATTCTCCATCTTATGACGCTCGCTCTCGTCTTGGGACGAGATAGCAGGCTCAAAGTCCTGACGCATGATGACAATGCTCTTAAAACGATTCTTCTCCTGATCCTGAGTCTTGGTGATCTGCTCCTGCAGCGCGGCCGTTGCGGCGTTGCCTTCCTTCGTCTTGGGTAGAATGAAGCCGAGCGAGATGAGGTCGTGGGGGTAGTTCAGGTTCAATAGGTTGTCCCAGTACTCCTGATAGAAGCGAGCCATGGGAGTCAGGATAAGAACGGCCTCGCGGTTACCGATAGGGTCGGCCGTTATGGTGACATTGTTGAGATTGTAACGGACAACGGGAGGCGGACTCGTGTCAGACTTGGACTTCTTTCGATACGGAGCCGTGGGCGGTGAAAGATGGTGGGAAGCGGTGCCGGCAGGCTCTGGCTTGGTCGACTTTGAGGGCCCGGCAAGGAAGATGATGATGAAAATACACAGGACGGTTCCAAGAAGAAGGGTCACTGGGTTCGCCTTCTTCAAGCGAACTGACCCCATGGGGCGAGCCATGGGTGCTGTGGTGCTCACGCGGAGATGATGGACTGCGCGGAAATCATAAAGCTTGTTCGCAGGTCCAAAGGCTGTCGTCGACGGCGGTTCGCTTCGTTCGGCGCACGCAGCGGGACCTTTGAGGGCGACGGAGTGAGGTGGATTTTAGAATAGTGATCCGGCGCGTGTGGAATGTAAGAGTCTGTAATTCTTATCGAGAAGCCAAAGAAAAGGGAGCCTTGAAATTGGAAAAAATGAGAGAAAAGGCGCTCCTTCTCGTGTCTCTCTGGCGGGAAGGAGCGAGAAATTTGGCCAGATACGAGATTCCCACGTTGGCAGGCAAGCAAGTCGATTAAGGGATGCGCATTGGGGAGGACAGCTCTACACTAAAGTTACAGGACTGTGTTTGCAAAAGAGGCTTAGCGTCGTGTCCTCTCGAGGACTAATTCCGGCCCGAATCATCTACCTCAGCACGCAGGGCGCTGACAGTTGAGGGCCAGACAGCGCTATAAGCTTGCGACCAGCGTGTGACGGGGCGCGCTGACAAGAGGTGCTAAGGCTGTGACTGGCTCAGAAGGGGGAAATGGCCCTGATTAGTTGGGTGGGCACTATGGGGCCCTTAAGCGGACCCCTGAGACCTGCAGTGGAGTCCACTAAGGTTAGACGCTCTATTATGGGGAGGAGCTATTCTCAGGAACTTGTTGGCTCCTCTCAAGCGTGAGGTTCCCGTCACGGAAAGTGCCACATGCTTCAGGTCCAATTGGACCTGTCCTGGTCACCAGCCACACATTCCGAGAATCCTCCCCCACAATGGCGCCACAGTTGTGGGTTGTCGGCTGCTCCGCCCAGAGTCCGCGCTCAGCCGCCCGTGTCAGTACCTAGCTCTGGGGTTTGTCAATCAATTCTGCAACAGAACTTCCCATCCACAAGGCCGAGCATTGAGGCATTGCATTTTCGGCTCGCTTCATCTTACTGTATCCTTTCACTCCTTGAGGCAGTTGTGTTTCTCAAGCTTTCAACATGGCGGACAACATGGACCGCAGCCTAGACGAGATCCTCGCCGAAAAGGTACCGGCACCTGCACCCTCGCGCGACATGCCAATATGGGACTGACTCGATACATCAACAGAAGAAAGACGGCCCTCGCAACCGCCGAGGTGGCCCTCCTCGAAGGCGCGAACGAGAACGCCAGGACTACCCTCGCGATGGCGTCAGAAAGGTACGACGCGACCCCCTCCGACACCCGTGTGGTAGGTCATCAAGCTCATCCACCAGGTTGATTGACCCTCCTCCCTCCTTATCCCGGTCGACTCCGATCTCCCGTAGCTGCCGGCCCGCGTGGAACGCCTTGTTGAAGACCGGGACCGCTTCATGTCAATTGGTAGGACTTAGCTAACAGGTGTCGCCGCCCCGCGATGCAGTCCTTCCGCGACGAGCCTAGAAACCTTGACAGGTAAGTCCGAGACAACCCGGGCGCGCCTGCAGACTGCTAAAGCACTGAAAGTGAATGGGTTCACGATCGATTCGAAGAGCACGGTATGATTTCGCACAAGCTCCGAAGCCATCTCTTCAAGGCTAAAGTCCGACAGATTCCCGCCGCGCACCGGCTCCCCGACGAAGACGCGGTTCTCCAGAACACAGGTAGACTCCGCGTATCCAATACACAAAAATGATACTCACACACTATGGTAGGGATTCTAGTAGCACAAAGCTGCGTGTCGATAACATACATTATGAATTGACGGCGGATGACCTAGAGGTATGGGCAACCTGTGATGCAGCCGCATGGCGGAACTAAATGTCGGTATAGGAGCTGTTTAATAGAATCGGTCCTGTCGTGAAGTTGGACCTCAAATACGACCGCGCCGGACGATCCGAAGGCGTTGCTTTTGTCACGATGCAGTCTCAAAACGACGCTCAGGAAGCGATCAAGGAGTTTGACGGTGCCAATGCCAATGGTAAAGTCGCATGACGTTGCTCTTCAGATGTCCAACAGGCCAACAGGCTAACTTACTTCAGGCCAACCTATCAAGTTGTCCTTTGTCACAGGCGGTCAAGGCGGCCGTTCCCGTAACCCTTTCGACTCAGCAGTCATGCCGGGTCGCCCTCTTTCCGAACGGATCTCAGCCCCTGGAGGCAGGTCGAGGTCTTTGTCACCCGGTCGAAAGTACGACGTCGAGGATGCTGCAAGCAAGGGAATTGACAGATACGTCCCAGGAACCCGCTCCCGGAGTCCCATGCCCCGCCGGCGTGGCGGTGGTGGCGGCGGCGGCCGTAGACCTGGAGCTCGTAGAGAAGGAGGACGAGACCAGGAGGGTGGCCAAGGTGGCCGTGGAGGAGGAAGTGGTAGAAACGGCCGGGCCCGGAAGACTCAGGAAGAGTTGGATGCTGAGATGGCCGACTACTTTGGAGGAGGAAATGCCGATGACAGTGCGCCTCAGGCAAATGGTGGCGCAAGTGCTGCGGCTGCGGCTGCTCCCGCCACTGACGATATCGACATGATTGAGTAATTTTGCTCGTACTGTTATGTGGAACTTGTGCAGAGATAAACAGTTGGGCCTGCTGGATGAATCAGGAGCAAACATCCAAGGTGGAAAAACCCTGTGTGGTGGCAGCCAGCCATCCAGAATGCCCTTTGCTCACGTACACACCATTAGCATCTTGGATCTGATAGAAGCTGACAATAACCACTCTTTTCGAACGACCAAGTTTTGAGATATGGAACATGCAAGTCAAGGTCAGGGCACCAATCAAGAATTTAGACCCTTTCTCGGGGTGCTCTCCGGCAGTCCGGGTTTCCAACTATTCCAAGATTATCATGCCGATATTACTTATTGGGTTTTGTAGATCGGACTCTCCTATCCCGGATAATAACGAGGATGCAGCATTCATGCCTCGAGCTGGCAGCGCATTACAATCATAGTTTCCTGTCTTGAGGTCGTTAAAAACAAGGGACATGCCCCTTTGGGAAGTTCCACGACTAAGCCGCCGCCCCCCAAAAAATCAAGTTTCCGATTTGGAGGACCCTCCGTGCATGTGACATGCAACTTGGCTACTTTCCCCAAAAACCAAGGAAAGTCGCCCCAGGTCCCCCGCCAAGCGCACGTCCGGCCTGCAACGTCAGGGTGCATGCACCACCTGCTGCACTCGCCGTACTTGCGGCAGGTGCTCTTTACCCCCCCGGCCCCAGTCCCGTCGCCCTCCACGACAATGTGCCTCCTTGCCTCTTCCACCTCTGCCGTCATCCCAAACCTTGGAAATCGTTGCAACAAAGATGGGGAGTCGACATTGAACTACAAACAACACGAGAAGAAACGGGGACACCGACGATTTATTCTCTCGCCCGCGACGCTAAACGGACCGACGATGATGACAATGCAACAATATGACAGTCGTTCGAATTAATTCCGACTTATATCTCTCTCCATTGGCAGTCTTAGGGACTGCCTACCCTCTTATCGCCTCTTTGCAGCTGCTCTTGTCGCAACTGAATCGTGAGCACGACGATCAACGCTTAAACTAACTATCCGTCTAAGAGAGCGCGACACGAGGGTTTGTTTCAACTTCCCAAGCTCTAACATCTTACTTTCTGGGATCTGCACAACATACGCAACCGTTGCGTGCTACCTCTAGCATTGTTTGGCCAACCAGTTTTGTCTTGAGGCCGGACAATATCTTTTAACCAACTCTTATTCCGTCGTCTCCTTGTTGTTTGAGTCCCTGGGAAGATTGCCATTACCCAACACGGGATGGAATCAGCCCAGTACACGGAGGGCTCCTCGCCATCGTCAAGTAGCAACAGTAACACCAGGCCTCAACCACGCAACAACTCTACGCACCAACAGCAAGCCAACGCTCATTTGCCTAGGCGCAGGAGACCATCTGCACGCCCTCCGTCTTCAGACTTCGTAGAGACAAGGTCTACATCAGAGGGCTCAGACCGTGAACGCGGAAGCGATGTCGAAGAACTTGGCCGTTTTTCACGATCACTACCCAAGATTAACTCGGGCTCGAGGCAGTCAAGGCTGGGAGCTTCACGGCGACAACAATCATCAAACCCAAGACCGGCGCCGGCACTGACCATGCCATCAGAGGATGAGCAACTAGTTGAGCCGGTGCCTCGTCGGCCAGCGATGCCAGTACGACGATCTGCGCCCAGGAGAATACCGCACCTTGGCGAATCAAATATATCTCATTCGTCGGACACCGATACGACGTCAAGCTCATCATCTTCGGGTCCTCCGCCTATCCGGCGTCGTCCGATCAGGACGCGCACAGAGATGGATTTGTCCTTGAGGGGACCGATCCTTGAGAAGTCTGAAGAAGGCTCTGTTGTGCCTCCCGGTACAGAGTTTGGTCCCGGCTATGACGGCGACAGACCGCTGCCTGTGCGAACTAGAAACCCGCGCGACATTCTCAATGATGGCGAGCGCGGGTTCATCGTGGACTTGAAGATGAACCTAGAGGTGGAGATTGAGCTCAAAGCTGCCATCATGGGGGACTTGACATTATCTGTGTTGTAACACATGTGATATGTCACGATCAATAGCGTATTTCGATTCGTATGGCATGTTTTACTATCGACTTGGAAATGGGTAATGGGGTATATTGTATTAATATGGAGAAAAGATTTAATTACTTCAAGAGCGGGTCGGTCATTAGAGTGATGGTGCAAGGCGTTTCAGGATCATCATACGCAACGGATACGATGCCCAGATATGGTGTTTTCGACGATGGTGTTTTCGACGGGACGTTGGGTGCAGGTCGAGTAGTCGGTTTGCATAAAAATGCATTAAATTTATCTACGATCTCATTTGACTCCCCTTCACACTCGCAACCGTTGTGTGCTGACCGAAAGCACGAAACATATTCGTAACCAGTTGTTGGGCCTCGCATCTCTCATACATCATCAACTATTTCTCTTACCTGTGCCCTTACTGTAACACCCTTGATCTATGATGCTATTGCCAACCACATCTATTACCTACTCTGTCTTCTTCTTCTTCCTTTCAAACCCTTCGATGATAGCAGCCGCAACATCATCGACGGTGGTGCCTCGCTTCCTCTTACCGATCTTCTCTGCTCCCAACGGCGACTCCTCGACAGCTTTGTATACCCCAGCAGCCCCCAGGAACAATTCTGGCCCAAATCCACCTTCCTCGGCATGCGTCTTACTGATCTCCTCCATCTCACGCACCCACCTGTATGCCTTGGGCGGCATTGTCACAACCCCTTTCTCGGCAAACTGGAGATATGCTGGCAGCCTGGTGGATAACTCCTCGCGCAGGTGATCTAACACACCGATACGGGAGGCTGTGGTAAAGGCTTGTGTCGCGATAGCAGTGAAGCCCTTTGACATGGAGGCGAAACACATCTTGAGCCCGCTCGCGGCTCCGATCTCGGGGGAGATGTGCTTCCCGCCCAGCACGGCACTGAGGCGGGCACCTAGGCTCTCTGTTTCTCCAGAAGAGATGGGAAAATCGGCGAGATTGTGAGGGCCAGACATGGGCATACCCGGGACGGACCAGTCGTCATTGTCGTCGGTCTGCGGGGCCGAGGAGGAGAGGTTGGTGCCGGCGTTGGGGGCGGATCTTGGGCGGGGCGGGGCGCCGATGATGCAAGCGTCAATAAATACGGCGGGGACTCGAGAGCGCGAGAACAAATCCGCAATGGATTTGCAGGTCGAGGGCGCGACGGCATTCATGTCTACGAAGTAGAGCGGCACGCTGCGGGAGGTGCCATCAAGGGCGTCGATGATGCGCTGGGCCGTGGCCTCCGCGTCGCGCGGAGGCACGACGGAAAGGATTGCAGCGCATTGAGATGCGAGGTCAAAGTCTGAGTCTATAAGCTCAACTTTTGCATCACGCGCGCGTTGTATGGTGTCTTCGCTGTGAGTATGTTAGGTCTGAAGTGACTCAACCGGCGGGGTGATGAATACCTTCGACCCTTGCAGTTGGTTGCAACCTGGAATCCTTTGGCGATGAGTAACTTGGCGATGCCGACACCCATGTCGCCGATGGAGATGACTCCAATTTTGGAAGGTGAGATGCCGTTGGAAGCCATACTAGATTACTTTGCCAGATTGTTCAAGACTGTGCTGATACTGTGCGTTGATGAGGTATTATGTGTGAGTTGTGTGGAGGTTGAAGGAATTGGGCGAGTGAGCGAGCATCCACATGCAGCCCTCTGAATAGCAAGTTACAGAACTGCGTCAGTTCCCGGGGTGTTATTGCCGCGCACGTCCAGACGTAATTGGCACAACGGACGACAACGAATTGCAAGCAAACGCTCAATCCAACAGCAATTCTTAGAAATCATAAACTTTCGCTCAAATGTTGTGTTGCTGTCCATGTCATTATTGATGGTATTTTGTCATGTTACAAAGTTACAGTACACGAGCTTGGCGCTCAATTATACTCCGTCATGCTTTCTCACTTGGAGTAACCGATCCATGAATCCGGCGCATCAAGCTTAGACTCGGTGGGTTCTCCCGATTTGCTTGCCCCGGAAGCAATAAAAAGTCCATGACTTGTTACGGCGCCAAAGTGGTCGGGAACAATCGTCCAGTTCGATGGGCCCTCAGCCAAAGGCAGGTCTTCTGCGAGGGCGTTCTCTGAGACACCGAAAGAAACACTCGTGAATGAGCCTTTGCCCGACGGCAACTCGGGTTTGGCAGTTGCGGGAGGTGAGACGAAGTACTGGACGTACGAGCCAGGAGCGACGACGCCTCCTTGAATAGCTCCATCGAGCTGGCTGGAGAAGGAGCGGATGAAGCTGTCAAGATCGTCTTCGTCTGATGATGAGTACTTTGTCTCCGGGTCCAAGGAGAGGAGGCCTTGTTTTTTCCCCCATCCCCCGCCGCCGCTCACTGAAGTTGTCATTAGCTTCTCGAATGCGATAGTGGCTCCACGTGAAAGAAAAGAATAAAAAAAAGACTTACGGATTCTGTAGACTCTTGCGCCATGGCCTAAGAATCCCTGCACAAATCTCTTCGTGTCTAGAGTCTGCTTCCATTCGTCCTCGGCAGTGCTGTCCTTGCGTAGCCTGTTTGACCACTCCTGTAGGCGCTCCAGGTCGCTAACCTGGGTGGCAGCAGGAGGTATCACCACCGCCCAAACGCCAACAGGCCCAGGAGGGAACTCATGCCCTTCCTTCATCCGTCTGTCGTAGAGTGCCTGTACAGCAGTCTCGAGCTCCTTTGAGGCAGGTGTGGGCTTGCCGTCAACTTCGATTTGCCGAATGATGTTCCCCAGACCAGCTAGGATCTTCCGAGGGGCTGTGATGGGAACCAATGGCGCTTCTATAGTAGTCTTCGAGGCTGCAAACTCTGGTGAGAAGTTGACCTCTTGTGTCTGTTTTTCAGTGATGTGGTCGAGTTCCAAGTGCGTCCCTGATCGGCGCCAACGGCTTGCAAGAAGCGTAGACTGTAGTCCATTATGGAATATCGTGTTGGCGAGGGGTAATGTGCAAGCTGTGACTGAGGAAGTCTGGTTCAGAGTGTTAAGATTGAAGGTGATGGCTGCTTGCAGCTTTGAGTCGCGCTGAGGCTTCAGAGGGCTCCCTTGCCACAAGTTGGGCAAGGTCACATCCTGGGCACCATGGTAAAAAGAGAAACCGTGAGGGATGTCACCAAAAGGCTGGAGAGGTTGGAGTCCGTCCACCGCCGCGGCAAGGACGTTGAGTTCGCTTGAATCTTGATTGGTCGATGAGAAGGGCTCTAACAGAGCTGACATGAACTGCTTATCCTGCAGCCAGGCAGCATATTTACGAGAGGCCAACACAATGAGTGCATTACCGGTTGAGTGGTTATTACTGCCAAGTTGTTGCGTTCTCTGGTTGACGCTTTGAATGAGGCCGTCCTACACGCGTACTAGTTAGATGGCGAGTTACTCAGTTGCATGACAGGTTTGTCATACCTTGGTGCTTTCTCCCTGGCTATGAATAGAGAACCGAGTTGAATTTGAAGACCACCTCTTCCAAACGGGCCTGCCAGCGGTGTGGCTAAGCCGTGAAAGAGTCCTTGGTGAGTACATCTCTTCACCACTCCTGGATGCCGTCCAGGTTTTCACCCAGGAAATTAGTGTCTGAAAAAGTTCAGCACTCAAGAACGCTGCTGGATCAAACGATTATAATGCCATCCAATTGGAATGCAAGAGACTTGTATAACAGGAAAAACTGAGTGAAGAGAGATCTGCAGACCTGAGGACAACTCTTGACTTGTTGACAATGAGAGAGCCAAAGTTAACAAACGAATAGATTGATGACTTCAATGATTGGACGGTGTGGCTGGAGCTTGAGCTCGTTGGTGCAGATGGCACTCTGGGGAACAAACCGTGCCAGCCCAGCCAGGCCCCTTACCGATGCACTGTGGCTGCAAAGTGGAGACGCAGGCGTCTGGCTCAGGCCCGATTTTAGCTGCATGGCATGACCCCTCCAATGCGCTCCGTAGACATCCAATCCTGTGAGTCAAATTCGAGAAGTACTGCAAGCAGACCGTCGAGTCATATTGTGCCTGCCCCTCATCGGAAGTCCTTAGGAGTTTTTTTGTATTTAGACACAAAGTCGGAAGCCCACCTCTCCGGGCTTCTTCGCCAAAATATCCACCACGTCCAGAACAATATTTCTTCGAGCACTCCGTGTGCGCCCTCCAATACTCAGTCCACGTCCAACAGCTCGTCTTCGTCTTCGACCTTTCCTTCAGACACGTGCCACCATGGCTACCGACAGCGGACGCGGAAACCCCAGTGCGCAACCCCTCCACCCACCCCACATTCTCACGATGCCTCCCGCCAACCCTGATTGTTCTATGAATCGACCTTGTTGTAGCTAACCCTATGTCTTTCTCTCTTTCAGTCGGCGCTACCGAGGGCCTCAAGGAGGAAATGCCTCCTCCCGCCTCGAACGAAACCAAGGCTCAGGCCACAGCGACATCCGCCACTCATGCCGCCGGCCAGGACGCTGGCGCCGCCGCCGGCGCACCTCCAAAGGTGAAGACTGAGAAGGAGTTGGAGAAAGAGCGCAAGAAGGCCGAGAAGGCCGCAAAGTTTGCACAAAAGCAGGCCGCCCAGGCTGCGAAGGCTGCCGCCGCCCCTGCGTCTAAGAACAAGGAGAAGAAGGCCAAGGCTGAGAAGAAGGAGGAGGAGGCTATCCCCGAATACGTCGAAGATACCCCGAAGGGAGAGAAGAAGCGCCTCAAGTCCCTCGAGGACCCTCACTTCAAGGCCTACCACCCCGAGGCCGTTGAGAGCGCCTGGTATGACTGGTGGGAGAAGGAAGGCTTTTTCAGTATGGCACACACCTTCTTACGAGATTTTTCTAGCTGACACATCGACAGAGCCTGAGTTCACCGCCGAGGGCAAGGTCAAGCCCGCTGGCAAATTTGTTGTCGCTCACCCCCCACCGAACGTGACTGGTGCTCTGCATCTTGGTCACGCCCTTGGTGATTCTCTCCAGGATATCATGATTCGGTGGAACCGCATGTTGGGCAAGACAACCTTGTGGATCCCTGGTTGCGATCACGCCGGTATCTCTACGCAGAGCGTTGTCGAGAACATGCTCTGGAGAAGAGAAGGAAAGACCCGCCACGACTTGGGCCGTGAGGACTTTATCAAGAAGGTCTGGGCCTGGAAGGGTGAGTATCACGACAAGATCAACGCTGCTCTCCGAAAGATGGGAGGAAGCTTCGACTGGAGCCGTGAGGCCTTCACCATGGACGCGAACCTGTCCGCTGCCGTTGCCGAGACCTTCGTCAGACTCTTCGAGGAGGGTACCATCTACCGCGCCAACAGACTTGTGAACTGGTCTTCTCGTCTTACCACTGCCTTGTCAAACCTCGAGGTCGTTAACAAGGATTTGACTGGCAGGACACTCCTTGAAGTTCCCGGCTACGACAAGAAGATCGAGTTTGGTGTCATCATTCACTTCAAGTATCCCATTGAGGGCTCCGATGAGACCATTGAGGTTGCCACCACCCGTATCGAGACTATGCTTGGTGACTCTGGTATCGCAGTCCACCCCGAGGATCCCCGATACACCCACCTTGTTGGCAAGAAGGCTAGACACCCCATTATTGAGGGTCGTCTGCTGCCCATTGTTGCCGACACCTACGTCGACAGAGAGTTCGGTACTGGTGCCGTCAAGCTGACCCCCGCTCACGACCCTAACGATTTTAACCTCGGCCAAAAGCACGGCCTGGAGTTCATCAACATCCTCACCGACGATGGAAACATCAACGAGAACGGTGGCAAGTACCAGGGCCAGAAGAGATTCGATGTCCGTTACGCCATCCAGGATGAGCTCAAACAGCTCGGTCTCTACGTTGACAAGAAGGACAACGCCATGACCATTCCCCTGTGCGAACGGTCCAAGGATATTATCGAGCCTCTTCTGAAGCCCCAGTGGTACATGAGCATGCGCAGCATGGCTGATGACGCCGTTGCTGCCGTCAAGGATGGCAGAATCAAGATCCGTCCCGAGTCGTCTGAGCGCAGCTTCTACGCCTGGATGTCGAATATCAATGATTGGTGCATCTCTCGTCAGCTCTGGTGGGGCCACCGCTGCCCCGTCTATCTGGCCAAGGTTGAGGGTGAGAAGACCGATTCCCTGGACAGCAAGCGATGGTTTGCCGGCAAGACCCGCGAGGAAGCCGAGGCCAAGGCCAAGGCTGCCCTCCCCGGCAAGACCTTCACCCTTGAGCAGGACGAAGACGTTCTGGATACCTGGTTCTCCTCCGGTCTCTGGCCTTTCTCCACTCTGGGCTGGCCTACGAAGACTCAAGATCTGGAGGAGCTTTACCCCACCTCCGTTCTTGAGACCGGTTGGGATATTCTTTTCTTCTGGATTGCCAGAATGGTCATGCTTGGTATCAAGCTTACCGGCCAGGTCCCGTTCACCGAGGTGTACTGCCACAGTCTCGTCCGTGACTCTGAAGGTCGCAAAATGAGTAAGAGTTTGGGTAACGTTATCGACCCCTTGGATGCCATTTCGGGTATCTCTCTGCCTGACCTCCACGCCAAGCTCCGCGTCGGCAACCTTCACCCAAGTGAAGTTCAGAAGGCCGAGAAGTACCAGAAGTCGGCCTTCCCTGACGGTCTGCCCCGCAACGGTGCCGACAGTCTGCGTTTCACCATGGCTGCCCTTACGTCTACGAGCGGTGATGTCAACTTTGATGTCAAGGTCATGACTGGCTGGAGAAAGTTCTGCAACAAGATTTGGCAGGCGTCCAAGTACGTTCTCGGAAAGCTCCCCGAGGACTTCGTTCCTCTCAAGGAGCCTGCCGTCGGTAAGACGCTCGCCGAGCGCTGGATCCTCCACAAGCTCAACAGCGCTGCCAAGGACATCAACACCGCCCTCGGCGAGCGTGAGTTCCAGCATGCCACCGGTATTGTCTACCAGTACATCCTGAACCACCTTTGTGACGTCTACATTGAAAACAGCAAGACCATCATCCAGGACGGTACCGAGGAGGAGAGAAACAGCGCTATCCAGACCCTGTACACCGCCATCGAGGGTGCGCTCACCATGATCCACCCCTTCACCCCCTACCTCACTGAGGAGCTGTGGCAGCGCCTGCCCCGCCGCCCCGACGACAAGACCAAGTCTATCATGATCGCCAGCTACCCCGTCTACAACGCCAAGTTCGACGACCCCAAGTCCGAGGCCGCTTACGAGCTTGTTCTGGGATGCTCTCGCGGCTCGAGATCGCTCATGAGCGAGTACGCCCAGAAGGAAGAGTCCAGAAGTAAGTTGTCTCTCAGGTTCTCACCATCAGTTGCTAACACATGGCAGTCATCATCCAGGCTCACGACGCCACGTCGAAGACCACCATTGAGGAGCAGGTCGCTTCCATCAAGTCTCTCAGCGGCAAGGGTGTCACTGGCATTGACATTCTCGGTCCCGACGCCGCCCGCCCTGCCGGCTGCGTCGCCTTCCCCGTTGCGTCGTCCGCCTCTGTCTACCTCCACGTCAAGGGTCGCGTCGACCTCGACGCCGAGATTGAGAAGGCCCAGAAGAAGCTCGACAAGGCCCGCTCCAACATTGAAAAGCAGCGCAAGGTGCTCGAGGACCCCATCTACCAGGAGAAGGTCGCCGAGGCCGTCCAAAAGGTTGATAAGCAGAAGCTCGTTGACCTCGAGTCTGAGGTCAGAGGTTTCGAGGGAACGATCAAGCAGTTTGAGCAGCTCAAGCTGGAGTAGATGTAGACTTTTACACGTATTGAGTTTGTGAGGAAAGAGAAAACATGAGATGAGAAAGTAGACACCGCCTAGGAAGATGGCAATCGGTCGTCATATGGAAGAAGAAGAAGAAGAAGAAGAAGAAGAAGAAAAAGAATTCGTTGCTTGTCGTTAGTATCTTGTCCGAACATGGGTGGGTCAACCCAGAAATACAAAAGACGTTAGACATGATATATTCAATGATGATAATGTGCTACGCCAAGATATTTTCGCCTAACTGATGCGCACACTGATGCGCACAATATCGCATTCATGACAGATAATCGTCACTACATTTCCACGCCCAAGGGGGGGAAAAGCAATTCCGCATCAAAACACCCAGAAATGCGATCCATTCCCTTCTTCTTTTTTTCCCCGCGGGGGTACCTCCCTTCGCTTCCAACTCGAGGCCGTCTGCGCGGCGTACGCACACGGCACAATCGAGAAACCCCCCCCCCCCCCCCCCCCCCCCCTCTTTACTGCTTCTTCTTCGACGCCGTAGAGCTCTTCTTAGACTCCTCCTCGAGCTTGTCAAAGTCCTCGCGGTCCTTGCGCTCAGCATACCATTGTCCCGCTTGCAGCACGAGAACACCGACGAGCACCAGCGCGAGGATGGTGTTGCTGGCCGCCAGGACCTTCAGAGAGTCCTCCTTACCCAGGATGATCTCGCCATTCTCGCCGCCAGCGTTGGTGTTTTCCTGCCAGTTGGGGTCGTCCCAGATGCCGGCGCTTACAGAGCGCAATCCCTTGACGATGTTGGTGATATAGACACCCACGCCGATCAGATACAAAACCAATGAGGCGCCATCGAAGAGGACATTGGCCTCCGAGGGGCGGAAGAGCTTGATGAAGAAGCCAAGGAAACCGGTGAAGACGATGATGTTGAGAAGGCGGCCGATCAGCGGCGGGGACTGGTGCATAAACTTCAGGTGGGTTTCGAGGTGGGAGTAGAAGGACTCGGGAACCGGCGCGGAGGTCCAGAGGAGGGGGAAGTCGTAAGGGAAGCTTGCGAAGAGAATGCCGAGGAAGAAGCAGGTGGCTGTGACGGGGTGTCAGTGTTCGGTCTTGAACGCAAGGAGGGGAAAGGGGAAGTAGAGAACATACGGCCGATGATCATGAACGTCGCAAACGAGTTTGAACCACGATAGTTTTTGGATTGGGTGTTCTTGGACCAATCCACCCAGCCGGCCATCTTGACGGTTTTTGGGAGGCTTGAAGTGTGGATGAAAAGAATGCGATAAGGGCGGAAGAAGTGGCGTCGCAATTAGTATGCGAGCTTTTGAATCGCAAGAAGGGGGAAGCTCCGGGGTCGTGTCTGTGGGAAGGAAGCTCTGTTAATGAGGGCCCATACACTCGTCTGTCGTCAGGGACCAAGACGTATTAGGTAAAGGAGAAGAGAGATCTGCCGCACGCAGACGAGGGGTTGGTTGGTGGCGACGGGACGGAGGGGTAAAAGGAAAAAAAAAAAAAGGGTGCAAAGTTGCGCTTCTACCACAAAGAATCTGCGGAGAGGCTGGTCTGGGGGTGGGAGTTGGTATGTGCGTACCTTGGGATTATGTCGCGGGAGGCCGTTCGCGCGGGATAGTTTGTTTGTGCGTGGCAGATTACCTACATATCTCTGTGTCGTCTCAATGGTTGACAGCAGGCAGAGTTCTGCTTACGTAGGTTCACCCAATTCGACGGGTGCGTTATCTGTTGTGGAGTTGTGGGTACAGGTTGACTCGGTTGTTGTTGCGGGCGCGCTCAGCACTTGATATCCTTATCCGTAGGGTATCCAAGTCACCGTCTCCTGCTGTTGTGCTGCATATGCCATGAGACGGCTTTCGTCGGGCGATTCGGGAAGACGAACAATTAACCAGGCATGGCGGGTCTAGAGGACGCAGATGCTTGAAAACTAGTCCTACTACCTCTACTAGGTTTCCCCGTTCCCCATTCCAGAAGGTAGGCTGACGGTATGGGTGGCTGGGACCGATATTTATTCTCGAAACATTCTGGCTCTTCCCCGAGATGACAACCCGGAGATTAGCACTGGGCAACATCGTCCCTAGTCTTGTTTTTCTGCCCACTAATATTTGGCCTCCAGGATATGATGCTTGCACAACCACTCGATAAACGAAATCAGATTGTTCACCTCATCAATATAACAAAACAACGATTCATATGAGGATAAGAATCTTTCACATGAAAAAACGGAGACAATGATGCCGTTCGCCATTTGGTAACATACATTGTCCCACTTCCATAAACCAGTAAGTAGTAACATATTCATGATATTATACACAGACACACCCTTGGGCAGGTGAGGCTATCTGCCTAGCTATTATGCTTCCTTCATGCCTAAGTTGGTACCGAGACATCGGTGTCCGTAAACCGTCGCAAATTGGCACTCCATCTGACACAATCACTGACGCTCCCGCTACCCCATGAAAACGCGGAAATGACGATACGCACTGCAATGCCTGTTGACAGACTCCGCAAGTTGACAATCACGCAGGATTGCCTGGACAGCCAAAGAAGCAAATTTTGAAACCCAAGAAAAAGAAATCCACGTCATAGGGATGTATCCCATCAAGACAGTCCCAACTACATCGTCAAGAACGGAAATGGGTAGTTATATATAGCAAAGAACAACAATTAAGACCAAAAAAGATGAGAAAAAAATACTTCGCTACCGCAATAATGCTGATTCCGCTGGAAATCCCACGAGGTATCAGTGACGAATCGCCAAGACGAGAGCCAGTTTTCAACTCAACAGCTGCCGAGAAAAGAGCATCGTCATCGTCTCGTGAATGGGAGAGCATCTCGCGGGGTATAATGAGAAACCTCAAAAAGGAAAACGACACATCAGAGAACTGCCACCGACCGAGATAACTTTATACTCTTGTCCTCGACGGCTTCTTCCCTAACGTCATCTGGCTTAAGGACAATGTCCTGGCTGCCTTCTTACGCTGCGGATCCTCGTCCTCCTCCCGCAATTCTTCCCCAAATGCTCCATAGCTGTATGGCTGTTCTTCTTTCGGAGTAGCAAATACCTCTGAGTAAGAATCATCGTCTCCGACACCAGTACCAACCCCCGAATCTTCCGCCAGGTAGCGTCTATCCCTCAACGCGGCGTCGTCATCGTCTGATGAATCGCGGTCAAAGGCCGACACACTACCGAATGATTTGGCTGTCGGGGGCGGCTCCATCTGCAGAGACAGACGGCCGTTACCGGTTGGCCCAGAAATCATGTTAATGCGCCTCGTCAATTTCTTTACTTGAGACTCAAGAGCCTGCCTGGAAGCTCTTTCCGTCTCAAGAAGTGCCAAGAGCATCGTGTAGTGATCTGCTGTGAATAGCTCTGTCGCTCGACCGGTTTCCATTCGGGACAGAGCCGGCAAGCTACTGACGCCCCGGATGGTCGATGTTGAGGTTGGTCGGTGTATTGATGCGGGGAGGTGAAGGGAACCAACGTATGTAGGAGTCTCGCCGAAGGATGTGTGAGACTCTTTAGAATGCGCCGAGTTAGTGTTCCTAGAACCGGGTCCCTCCGGATGGGAAACCTGCTGGAGTACGGTATTCACAGACGTGCTGTTATACGAGGATGCATTGGGACCTGGAACGGGTGGAGCAGTTCGATCTGGCTGGTTGATGCGCACTTGCAACCCCGGCACAGAGTTGCATAGTTGAGCGACAATGTCCTCCATCCTTTGCATCCTACCCTCCAACGTCTCAATGCGCGTCTCGATACTCGCTGCCTGGGTTATCTTCATACCCGCCATGACATTGAGATGAGTCAGACTGCCAAAAGAAAACGGCTGAGGCGGTGTGTGCGTGTGTGCCTGGGCCTGTTCTATTGGCGAAACTGGAGACTCTGGCATGTCCATTGGTGCGACCTCAGTGTATTGATTATCGTGATCTGGAAGATTAGTTAAAGCAGGCGCTGCAATAGTCGCCTGGTTGTAACTCTGTCGCCAGTACCGGATTTCATCACTCCGCCGTCGAAGATCCGCTCGGATTTCAGGGTTGTTGATTCCGCTCAGACTTCTAGATCGCCGTTTGTGTCCAACATCACTCGTGATTGCGCGCCCGATTTCTTCAGGATCGTCGTCATCGGAGTGGAATAGTCGGCTACCGCGTACATGGGTACTTGCGGGACGAGGTGAGAGACCCGCCAATTCGCCCTCGCGATGCCTGAATGGAGCCGAATATATTTGGCTGATTGTTGATGTTGCGGCTCGCTTGCGACTCGACTGTACTGTGTCGACATTGATCGAGTTGCGTGCACTTTCAATTGCAGTGATATCATCGGGTCCGATAGAATGAGACCTCAATGCTCTGTCATATTCTGTGATCGGCAGCGATGCCGATCTCTTTGGTTCGGACTCTTTGGCCCGGTTCAACGCAGAAAGGTCCTGGAGATTTACAGTCAGTTTCTTAGCCGAGATACGAGGGAGAGAAAAAAAAAAAACTCTCGTGGGACGGGAGCAGCCGCAGCCGAAACTTACGCTCTTGTGCTGTTTCTGGTTCTGGTTCGTGGGGTTGTACGTCGATACGCGCTGGGAATCGTGTGAACTCTGGCTGCCATTCTTCTTTTTACGACCGAATAGCTTTCCCAATGCGCCGCGCAAAGTAGACTTTTTGCGTTGAGGCCTATCCTTGCTCGCACCCGTCTGTTCAGACGATGCGCTCACTACAGAGTACCTCAGATTACTAGAAGCGTTCGTCCTTCTCTGCGACTGCGGAGAGTTGGAGTGGGCATGTGTGGCGGACGTTGGTGACGATGTTGAAGTAGAGCCGGATCCGGAGGGGGCTACTACGGAGTCTGTCCTCGGCGGCTGTAAGACTTCGGGTCGGGGGACTGAAACAGTCGACCTCGCCGCGGGATCGACCTGTGGCGGATGCATTTGCTGTTCTCTCATGTCGCCCCCAGTCACAGGCGTAGCGATACCGGTGCCTGGGTTGCGCATTGGAAATTCGTCGTCGACAGGATTTGGGATGGGGATTGGACCTGATATTTTGCCCCGAATGGACTGTCCCGTCATGGAACGGTTGGAGGCGCTAGGGGCAGGGGAGTTGGCCGACTTGAAAAGGCCCATGACTTCTTTGGGAGCTGACCTAGGTGCGATTTTGCGGCTGGTGAGGCTGAGGGCTAGAACGAGTGTGAAAGAGGACGCCGGGGAAGGAGTGGTGTATATGTTTGTCGACCAGACCAGTGTAAGCCATGAGAATGAGGCTTGGGCGGGAAATGATCAGGAGGGGCAGAGACAATGCTAATGAGGACCCAAGAAACGGGTGATGTCCGGTGCCGCGCCGTGACGATTCGTCTGGGTGATCCAGCCCAGTCCAGTCAGTGCTGGGAATCTTGATCGGACGCCCAGAGTCTAGGCCAGAAGATGATCTATGCTGGAACCTGATTCATGGTGCATATGTCCAGCAATGCCGCCCGTCGTGTGGGCTTGTCGGGGATTGGGGAGGAAGCAATGGCCGTGGACAGCCGCGGCGGTGCGAGACGTCAGACAGAGGTTGGTCGGTCGGTGATCAATCAACGCACGAGGGGCGAGGCGAATAAAGGAGTAACCCACGACGGGTCCGAGGATTGGAAGATGAGTTATGCCACCAAGAAGGGGGACCCTAGCAGCATATGCGTCATGTATCAAAGGAGCACCCGGCCAGCTCTGCGACAGGCTGACGAGGCGGCCAGAGGTGCACGTTGATTAGAACGGGCGGTAGCGTGCCGCTAAGGCAAGGTATGGTCGACGTCGAGGTGTGGGAGGGGGAGGATAGGGTGATGTGTGATGGGAGAGAGGTTTGAATTATACAATTAAAGAAATCGAATATTGACGGGAAGGTGCAAGGAACGTGTGAGCGATGGACTATGTATCCGCAGATGTAACTTCAAGCAAGGCGGGGAGGAGAAGAAGAAGTGAAGAGTTGGGGGCGGCGGCGGCGGCGACAAGAAGGACTATTTCTCTTAGTCTCTCCAACGACAGACGACGCGGCATCGAGTGAGAAGAAAAGAAACAAAAAGAGAGGTAGGGCGGGAGAAAAGGGAAAGCCGTGGCATGTAAGGAAAAGCGCGGCATCTGAATCGGCTCAGCGCAAGTAGAGCAAGGTACTCCAGGTACAGCACGACATGGTTGACAAGGGGTCGGGTCCTATGTAAGAGTTGCAAGGAATACTCTGCACAAAAAAGGCGACTGAACGAGACGGACAGCGGGCCTCAGATACGAATGGGGAGGGACAGAATGCAGAGGCAGATGCAGATTGCTAGCGCGATGAAACAAGCATGCATGCACGACTAGGAGGATACGGACCATTGGAGCGGCGTCAATGGTGCATATAACGTGTCTAGGATACAGTGATGATCCCCAGTTGAGGGAAGGCTACGGCCCCTATTAGGATAGTAGTGGATGAAAACATGAAAACTCAATCCAGTTGGCAGGAGCAGAGGATGGGCCAAAATGGTGGGAATTTTGTAAGGAAAAAAGAGGAGGGGAAAAAAAGAACTGGGTCAAGGGCAGCAGCAGTAACAGTAACAGTAACAGCAACAGCAACGGCCACGGTAGCAATGGCAGTGGTAGAGGCAAGTAGCAACGGGCAGTAACAAACACAGAGGCAGGAAAGGTCGGACGGATGTCATCAAGAACAATGAATGGAAAGGACGGACAGAACCATTCCATCTCTCCCAATCTTCTCTCTATTCTCTCTTTCATTGGATAAGTCTCTCCTGGGCTCCTGCCTCGGGGATTGTCCCCTGTTTGAGGCCAGTGCTTGGGGCGCGCCCAGGTGGTGGGGTAAGCCAGGGGTAGGGGTAAAGGGAGGGGGGTCCCTGATTAGAGCAGTGCTGGGGGGGGGGGGGGGGGGGGAAGGCGCAAGGACTGTGGGCTGCTTGGATGCTGTGTTGTCTGTCGTCTCTGAAAAACTTCCATGGGCTGACACCAACTGAGCCGGTGTACCTGCCTCTCCAAGGTAAGCCACCTCTGAACGTGCAGTAGGAAGGCGAGGCAAGGAAGGCACGCAGGGGAAGAACATAGTATGGTCTGCAAGAATCGGGGTGCTGCGGTGAGCAGGTCTGTGGTCAATAATAAGCCAGGATCGGGCGAGGAACGTAGGTGCGTGCTCGCAGTACCAGTAGTCTCTGCTAGATATCCCAACTGCTGCACTAGTACACGTATGTATAGAAGATGTTTGATATGAGGCCAACAATGGCGGTGTTTGAGGTGTTTGTCTGTTGCGAGGGATGACGGGAATGTGTGAGTGCAATATGGATTTGATGCTCTCGTGTGCCAGTCCGTCCCTGTCGACGCTAGGTTTGTCGATCAAGGGAACCGAACGGGGAATGACACTTTGCGAGGAACTGGGATACGCGATGGTTGGCATTGGGGGCCAAGATAGTCATAGTTACATTTTACCTCTCCCAGGTAACAAATTACAAGTGACTGACAAAGTTTGGTTGAATAGGTAGTGAACCTCTTTGTCGGGGAACTCGAGCAGTCTCAGTGGGCAAAATGTCTCTATCAAGCCCGGTCAAGATATTCCACAACGGTTGGCGTCTGAGCCTCAAGACAAAACATTCAACTTACCTAAAATAAGTCACTTATGATCCACGGCCTTCGCCTTTCAGCCAACCCCACCGCACGACTCACCTGCAGTGACAGCTGTAAGATGAGGAGCTTAGGGTGGGGTGACTTGACAGTCAACAAATCCATATGAGTGACAATGGGAGCGGCACGCCAAGCCCTCTGTTCCTCTACCCAGTGGCCGTTCTGCCTTTATTCCCCCTTCTCATTGCCAAATCCACTTGTGTGCCCCCGGTCCTGCCGGATTCAGTCCTATCCGGTCTGCTGGTCCGATTCAGACGCCTTGCCGTATTGGGTGACATTGTTTCAGTCTTCCCTCCTTTCCTTCTGGGTTCTTTTTTCTTCTTTCCATAAGGCCTGTCGAGTGATGAACCTGCCGCTCATCGTCCCGTAATGGCCCGCATCAACGTCATGCTTGCAACAGCGCCGCCATTGTGTGTCCATGATACGACACATTTCCATACAGCAAACACCTTCCGAGTATGTGCGGACTGTGGACTTGAATTTGCTACCGCTGCACCCGTAAATTCGACTTCACGGACACCTTTTGTCAACCTGTATTGATTGTTATTGTCTCGCCTCCTCCAAATCCCAGTTCCAACACTGGCCGGAACCACACTGAGCAACCACCAGTCACACACTGTGACTCGTCTTTAAGATTCAGCTTCGGGGCCCAAGGTCAAAAGCTGTCCTGACCTGATCAGACTATTTGGCATACAATAGAGGGTTGCAGCCATTGATGACCTTGGAGCGGAGAGAAACAGAGCAGCTGGCACAATGACCCTAGTCTCCTGCAAACTGGTAGTTCCGTAAAACGCCTCGCTGCCGAGACCAACGAACGCCCTTCTCGCCCCAAGAGGAAGTCAGCAAAACCTTCCGCAAGCAGGTTGTTAAAGTTCAGGGGTCTCCCAACCGTGGAAATTCATTTCCCACTGATCATTTGCATAATGCCGTTTATGGACGACTTCCCCATCTGTCGCTGCCGCTGCCACCGCCATCAAAACCAGTACTTGCTTCATGCTAAGCCACCGTCGCCTTGATCTGAAGGGCGATTCGACAATCACTCTAAGTCTTGATGGTGGCGCTAGAGTTAGTTACTAGAGCGCGTCGCTCCAGATATGTGATCGCTCATGCCACGGACGAATCGTAAAACGTTTTTCAGCCGCAGGTTGCACCGGAGCATTCCTTTCCTGGACCGCTGCAACCACATGCCACGTCTTCTTGCACTCGCATCTTTTGTTTATTCTTGGAACACAACTGACAGGGCTCTTGCACCTCTGGCGGAACAGAATAGCGTCCACCCTCTCTTACCTATACCTCTTTGAGCGACGGCATGTCTCCCACGACCGCGATCCTAAATTCCCCCGACGTGCAGTCTCGCGAAAGAAAAGGCGTCCACTAGCGTGCAGTTGAACCCCACACCGCAGAAACTAAGAGGCTAAAACACCACATGGCCTGCAGGGCCCATGTCCAATGGCCGTTGCACCCATGGCCTGCACTACTGTTGCCTGCTTGTCTTGACCCAACTCCCTAGGCTAGATTTGGAGGCGGCCTGTCGACCGCCTGGTGGTCCGTATAACGCAGACGACAATTCCTCCGTAAGTCAGTACCTGCTGGCTTACTCAAATCTCAAATGACTCGCGTGGGACTTCCGGTAACTTTTGTCAAAATACCACATGGCAGCGCTGCTGCAAATAGGCGGCTTTTGACATTCAATACCCTGCTGGGAGAGGAGTATAGTAGGTGGCCTACCGCTAGCCACATAGACATACTAACCAACCATCCACAGAACTAGCATGCACGAATGGCATGACTCTACCATTCGACAACCGCCGTGCTGTGCCATTGCAGGCAATATGAGGCATCACTTTCAGTTGCACTTGGCGTGTCACGCATGCGGATCTGCTTGGCCACCACAACATTGAACACAACCTCGCTCAGACGAGATTTACGCTTGTGTAGTCTTTCACGGGTTGGTCGGCTTACCTAGTGGATCGCAGCGGAGCATCATATAGCGAGGCAGCCGACTTATGATCTCCCCTAGCCAGCACTTGACGATGCCAGTGGCATAAGCGATGTAGCATAAAGTGCGCCACAACCAAAATTGATGCAGCGCTTTCCCGATTTCTAACAGTTTCATTATCTACCAATCCTTCTTTAGCCCTTAGAGCACATGGCTGGTTCAGATAACCAATGCCCCGGACGTAACATTTTCTCGACGGGGACGAACCGAGCTGTCGGAAAGCAGGGTGGGGGAAGAGAATACTGAAGAGGCTTCACAACTTGCCTCCGCCTACTCGCTGTGACACGCCGCTTTTGTAGGATCTGCATTAAATCAGCTCTCCATTTCGAAATGCTAGCTGTTGAATAAGGGATTTTGAGGAGAACAAGAAAAAAATGCTTTACGGGCCACCTCTGAGCGCGTCGTCCGCAATTAGTTGGCAGCAAGCAAGCAGGCCTAGGCATCATTTGGCTTCTACTCCGCCTACTACGTAGTATATCGACGTGAGACGTCTTCCTGTCCATGCCACGGTCGTAGGGATCAACATGTGACGTAAGCTATTGAAGACAGGCACGGGAATACACGAGGCACTGCACGACATCAACACACAACGAAGTATGGGAAGGGATTCAACTTCTTGTCCACTGTTTCGACTTTGCCGCAGACCCTGTATCCCGTCCAAGTCAGAGAGAGGCCCTGGCAAACAATGATATCTAGGTCCAACAAATGACGAGACTGCCTCTCGTGAATAGCTTGCGACTGAACCCCCCTTTCGGATAGGAAAATGTCCCTTCAACAGCCCGAACAAAGGTCGTAAAACTGGTGGGACAAAAGTGTTCGAGTCCAGCAACCCCTCCTTGCCTCCTTCTCGGTAGGAGAATTTGGCGGGTCTGGCCACAACGAGCGTGCACGGACGCTGAAAAGTAACCTGAAACATGCAAGGGTACCACTTCTTCGTCTGATCAGTGACGGCTGGCATCAGTGCTTCGTCCATACTTTCTCTGGTCTCCTTTTTCGGCCTTCGCGTCTGGTAGTCCAGGATCACCATACGACCTAAGGAATCCAACCCCTGGTGCCCATCAACTTGCGTCAACGGACGCTCCCTCCCCCGTGAACCCCAGTCAGACATGGACGGGCGTGGTTGGCCGCCGTGTGTGTAAATTCTACGATACGCCAAATGCGCAATGCCACTTGTTCCTTGTCGGGAAGTGTTGGGGGATCCAGGGCGTTGCCGCGCATTAAAAGCTATCCTGGCTCGTTCACGGTCGTTCCAGGCGGTCCACGACGCCGAAGAAGCCGGTTCGTTTGGTATTCCAGATCGTCTGGTCTCTTGCCGCGAATGCTATAGTACCTTTCGTCGCATAAGGTTGACATTAAAGGCGGCCTGCATACAGACGGGTTACCCAGCCACCATCAACCCACGGTCTTCCACCATCCCAAACTGGTATCAAGATCCCTGAAGCGTCGACAAGTCTGGATAGCGCAGATCCGCGTTCTCTTCGAGGAACTCCATCCATCTCTTGAGGAACGCACTGCCTCTGTTTAAGTGACGCAACAGGTTAGCAAAAAGAAGAAACAAGCCCGAGATTTCGGGCGTTGTGTGCCGCACGACAGTGTCTCAGGGGAACATCTGTGCAGTGGCTCCCGCACACTGCATCTCCAACGAAGGGCGACGGAAAAGAAAAGAAAGAAAAAAAAAAGGGCTCAAAAGAACTCACCTTTTGACCGTCTCTGAATCCCCGACCACTGTCAGTGAGCGTTTGGGTCTCGTCATCGCCACTAGACCGCATTAACATTCATTCGCCGCATAATTGGCTATGCTGGGGTATTCCCAGACACGGCTCGGTGAACTCCTGGACTAACCGTTCAATCGACGCTTTTCGCCAAGGAACCCTACTTCTCCTTCAGAGTTGCTCCGTACGAGGCTGACTATGACGGCCTCTTTTTCGCGCCCCTGGAAGCCGTCTACGCTCCCCAGCTCAATTCCTGGGAACAGCTCTTTCATCGGCGCGAGGATAGCAAGCTTCAGTTCATCCGATGTCAGCATCATTGTACAGCTGTTGGTCCCGCATATGCCCTGCTCGGCTAACCATGAAGAGTTGAAAGGTATTGACATGACTTACCTGAGCATTGTACGGGGTGACAACAGCGATATCCTCTGGCTTGACTCCAGCATCAACCAGGCTCTTAGCATGCTGCCGCACTAATTCCGCCTCCATCTCATTGCTCTTGCTCTCACCATGGAGACTGAATTTGGCTTTCTTGACTGCATCCTTGTCATCGTCTTCACTCTTCTCCGGATAGTCACCCCCTTGCGTGTCGATGAAGATCAGAGGCTCATTCGTGTCTTCTGTGTCTTCGACCTCATAGGGCAAGTCCTTCAGAAGACGTTCCTTGACTGCTTCCGCAGCAATAAGTCTCCCGTCGTAGAGCTCATCTGAGGGGAACCTCATGATCTTCTCATGCATTCGGTACTGTGTAGTAAGCATGCGCTTGATGGATGAGCCATGGAGGGCAAGTAGCCTATCAAAGAGTGTCGTTTCCAGTGTCATCCCTTTGATCTGCTTCTCTCCATCTTCGGTCGGGGCCTTCTTCACTTTGGAATTGAGCGACTTGATGGTTGGCGGCAGCTGCAGGTGATCACCTGCGCAGACTGCCTTTTTCGCCGACAATAAGGGGACCCAACACTGTGCCTCAAGGGCCTGACTGGCCTCATCAATAATGACTACATCAAACTGTTGGTCTCGGAGCTGGTGGCCGCCCGCGCCATGCAGTGTCGCCAGGACAACCTTGCTCTCGCGTACAATGTTGCTGACGCAGCGGCGCTCACGCTCACGGAATTCCTTGCGCAGTTCTTTGAGGTCGGCGTAGATCTGACGCCGCTCGCGGCCGTTGCGAGTCTTCTTGATGGAGGCCTGCTTAGCGTCCATCTCGGCGCGAACGTCCTTGACGATCGCTCCCGCCTCTGATGTCTGAGTGAGTACGTCGAGAGAGTGTGCGAGGACACTGGGTAGCAGACGGGCCGGATGGCCCAGGCGAAGAATGGGGATCTTGTGCGGCGCAAGGCGCTCAACTATATTGTCAACTGAGATATTAGATGGTCCGCAAACGAGGATGCGGAGATCGAGCTTGAGCATCTGAAGGATTAATTCGATGAGGGTATGGGTTTTACCAGTCTGTTAACTGTATTAGCCAAAATCCCGACGCTGTCAACCAGGGTAAGGGGAGAGACCGACGCCGGGCGGCCCGTGGATGAGGGCAATCTCCCTGGAAGCAAGAGCAAAGCGAATGGCGTCCTTTTGGGAGTCGTTGAGTGAGGGGTCGATCCATTGGATTTTGGAGAGCTGAGAGTCGGATGCTAGGTCAGCTGGCACAGGTGAGGGACTCGAAAGGCCGAAGAGCACACGCATGAAGGCAGTATACTCTGCCTCTGTCATCTTCTCCAGCCTTTCCATGGTTTGGTTCATCCTGCTATCGTTAGCATCTCCCTTCCTGACAAATTCCCCGTGGTGCAGCCGTTTCGAAAATCCTCCATGAATTCTAGGTTGACCGTCTCATGAGAAGTATCCGTAAGATAGACCTCGCCCGCCAGGTTGTCCTCACCAAGCTCACCACTACCCGAAGCTAGAAATTGGAAAAAAAGAAGAAAAAAAAAAAAAAAAAAAAAAGAGCTTACCTCCGGTACGTGACATCGTCGGCGACCTTGACGATCCAAACCCGTCCGTTGAACTCTCTTTCCTCCCCCTTGCCCTCATCAACAGCGACACCGACACTCTCATTCCGTACCCTCGTGATGACGCCCCGGGCGCCTTTGCTCTCGAGCTCCTTGACCTCCCTCTTCTTGGCATTGCCGGTAGGCTGCTCGGCCACCAGGACGATGTCGCCGGGCCGGAGGCCGTGCTCGGGAAGCTCCGACGACACTGCCGGGTCCGGGTTGAGTTCCAGCACCGTGCGGCCGCCGAGACCCGTCCGGCGGGCGCCGACGACGAGGTTAGAGAGCGCGAGGCCGGCGCGCTGCAGGGCGGTGGGGGAGTGCAGGGAAACCAGCGCGGAAGACTCTGCGATCTCGGCGGCGAGTTCGGCGGAGAGGAGGGAGAGCTGGGTATTTGCAAAGGAGGAGACGGAGAGGGGTTCTGATGATGTTTTTGGCGCCATTTTTTCTTCTTTATTTCCTTCCCTTGCTGGGGGTTTTGCCCTTTTGTCGTCGTCGGATGAGTCAGGTCTATCTTTTTTTTCCTTTTTTTTTTTTTTTCTGGTTCTGTGACCATGTGGTTTTCCACTGTACTTTTTGAAAAAGGTCACCGAATGGGTTTTAATTTGATTTTATGCCGGGCCTGGGTGAGTGATGGAAATGAACGTGTGTGTAAGTAAGTGCCTTGAGGAGGTTTGGCATGTAGTTGAGAGGTTGCAGACTTGTAAGTGGTGAGTAGTAAGTAACTCAGCGGTAAGGCTGGCCCACATGTCGAGGTACTCCGTACCTCGACTTCCCTTGACGTCATCTGATAGGTCGAGGTGCGTCGGTTTGGAGGAGGGGAAGGCTGGGTAGCTATGTATGTGGCCCTCCTTTCTCTCGTGTCTTCATTCAACAGGGTATTATTAGATGGCTCATTTTACCTACGTGACATGACATGCATATAATACATATTAGATGATGATAGATGCAAAGCTCCCTCGCCGCCCCCGGCCTCCCAAGCAAATAGCTAGCTCCAGTTTACAAACACAGAATACAGAATAAAAAACTTGTTAGTTGCGGTAAGATATACGCCGGCCGTCATCCAAAGGGGAATACGTTTAAAGTTCGAGCATGCCATTGTCATGACATAATTCGCAAATACGCCGAAATGCAAGTCATCGCTTTTAGCGCTCCGTACCCGTGGGGCCGACTACGACTACAACCACCAAGCTCACGGCCATGAGGGCAAATGCCACCAGGGACACGACGATGATGGTGCCTCTACTCGCGGGAAACTTGCCCTTCATGACCCATTGCTGGGCGCGGAAGTAGCGTTGGTAGCCGAGGAAGAGGATAAGGATGCTGATGCCGAGGAAGGTTGCGCCGAGCGGTTTGCCGAGCTGGCGCATAGTATGGCTGGTGGAGTCAGGGTTGGAAATGGACGAATTGAGGCGGAAGAGCTGTGTTACGGCGATGCCTATTGAAGCGAAGGCGAGCGAGGTACGGAGCCAGGCGAGGAATGTTCGTTCTGTAGCAGTAGACGGCTCATGTCAGTCGGTGTATACACATGGCAAAGGGCGTTCACGGAGGGTCTGCTGGATCCTTCAGACAAGGGAGAAATATCTTACATACCTAATGCTAGGTGATCTCGAGCTACGCTGCCCTTGTTTTCGAGCTCTATACTCTGGAAACTGGACAGGAAGATCGTGTACCAAGGCTCCTTCGTCAGTGCTGCTCTCTCTCGTTCCTCTCGCTCCTCCCGGGCGACCACCGCATCGTAGTCTTCCTCTTCATGCTCCGCTTGGGGAGACAGGTGGTTTCGTGTCGTGTTGATCGACTTGCGGGAGCGCATGCTTGCAAACTCGGGTGCTGTAGCCGTTGTGGTGGTTGCCGGAGCTGTGGCGGTCATGCTCTGGTAGTTGCGGTCGGGGCCGCGAGAGATGATGCCGACGGTCTCGTCGGGTGTCCCATCTTCCCGAGAGTACTGGCGCGTGGGCGGGGGGCTAGCTGGGGCTGATCGGGTGGCAGAGAGTGCGCCGCCCATTGCTTGTGCGCGGCCTCTTGCGTTCTGTTCAACACCGGGACGTTGTCAGCAAGGAGAGCTCGGTGACGATCAGCAGGCGGAGAGGCTTGGGTAGGAAAGGGACGGTGGCCTCGAGCTTGCGGGGGTTCGGAATGAGGTGACAACAAAAGGGTCTGCAGAGGAATGGAAAACGGCGATTCACAGGGGCCGGGACGGGGAGGCTAGAAGGGTTGGGTATCATGCAGGGTATCGTTGAAGAAGGTTCCACAGTTGCGCATATTCGAGGGTAAGGGGGAGGGTGCCGAATATACCTCTAGAATCTCGTTGATGCGCTCGTTGGTGCTCTGCCTACGAGAGAGCGAGCGTGGAGAGGACGGAGAATGTTGGCCATCGTAGGAAGCGCGCCTACTTAAGCTCCGTGGTGGCTGTGGTGGTACGGTGGACGACTGGGATTGGACTTGCTGGGCATCAGACGAATGAGGCGGAGGAGAGACTGCCGAGGGTAGTGGTGCATCAACACGGGCGGGCGCCATCACGACCAAGACACGATCTCTGCATGTCCCAGACCAAAAGGACGGGTAGAACTAGATCAAAACGCTGGACTGTAGTGCCTCACGCGAGAGCAAGGGTTGTGTGGCGTGATTAGAGAAGAGGACGACGGTATCGACAAAAAGTGACGCTAAGAAATCTTGGAGTCTTGTCTCTTGGGGGGTCTTGGAAAGCTCTGCGATCGGAATGGGAGACGGAGTGTGGGCGATCGCAGTTACGCGGCTGACGGAGGTGCGTTAGGGTGGTTTTCTCATGCAATACACTGCAGTAGAACCTTGCGTGCTAACACGGTAACCGTGAAGCTGTGTGGGGGTTAAAGCCGGCTTCGGCGGACAAGGGAAATTGAGGGAAAAGATTTGCGGCGTTTTCTGTGGTGAAAAACGACCCAAGGAATGGGAGGTGAGAGGGGGGGAAAGGTAAACTTTGCTGGCAAGATGAGGTCTTCCAAGATCGGCGTTTTTGCGAGGAAACAATGAGACGAGCTTCCCCTTCACGTGGATATGCTAATGGTATATTGGAAAGGGTCCCCATGACATAACTGCGACCCTCCCACCATCTTTATCTGGATTGTCACTGAACGGTCAAGGCGCTTTTGGTTGGTCGCCGACCATCCAAAGATCTCGCCCTTGGGGGGCTCATCGACCCCACTTTGACCACGAGGGAGACACCACCGCCAATCAGTATTGGTCAACACGAGTCACGCCTACATCATATCTAACAACTCTGGTGTGTAAGCTAGGACCCTGATCTTCCCCGGATTTCGCCAACATCTGCCCCTGTTGAGCTTCTACCTTAATATCGACCGCTTTGTCGCCGTCGACAGTTGCACCACGAAGGTCCCAGTTCCTCGGGGTGTGCTACTTCTTTGAGAGGCAAGGCCAATGATCTGCCACCGTTCTCGTGATGATTGGTATCGAGTAGCCACCACTAGGGGCACTTTGGGGAAACGCGCTGCAACGGGGCACAGCAGGCGGGCCGCAGTCTCACATGGCCGATCCGGTGCGTTTATTGTGTAACTATGCAGTGTCAGAGGACTTTTCTACCGTCGGCAGGTAGGCTTGCCCTTGTTAGGGAAGTCTCTTTAGGCCCGTCGCGTAGACCGGCGAGGGTGATATCTCAATTGACTCCACTGGACATACAGGCACCCTTTGATAGTAGTCTGTCTGTATGCCTTGGAAATGCCGATCTTTTCCCCTTAGCGTGTGCGGCTCCCAGAATAATATCTAGTCTCTCAAACTCATTGTTAGTTTTGACGTCTTGGCCATTCATCAGCCCTGGTAGATGAATTTATGACTTTGTGGGGTCATGATATACGTATCCATCAAGTCAACGACGGACAACGCAGAGCGGTTCGTAGGGGACGCCGCCAGTTTTGATCTGAGGGTGTACCGAGCCTTGCGACGCGGTATCCTTGGGATTTCCGACAAATAGCACTGCTTGAAAATCGTTGGCCATCTGTGGCCGATTAGCATCGAAACAGTCGATCTTACTCACGAAGCCTACCTCGGCTCTTGTCCGTTCTGCTGTTTCTGTGCCACGCTAGGGCATACGATATTAACATCCCTGTTAAGGCATATTACAGCATCAGTCGCCGAGGTATATAGCTTGCATCACAGATCGTGAAGGTATATCCAGCTCCCGTATCATCAACTAACACAACACAACAATATCTCACGAGATGCATGCGACTTGCACCCTGTGATATCATGGCAGAACCGCATCGTTCTCTCCGTTACCCCCCTTGCACAGTCATCAGGTAATCCAAGCCCAAAGTTTCAGCAGAGCATCGTGCCATCTTCATAGACAGAAACCACGCTTCCGTTGATCTACGGTGGAATTTAACGTTTGAGCATCAATCATTTTTTGCTGGCAATGTTCTTCGTATGTCATCGTAGATATTTCGGGATCCTTCAGACAGATAACCCTGAACTCATGCAGAGAAGGCCCCGAAGGATGGTGATGAGATGGTTCAAGCTCAGCGCCATGGGAAAACTCCAAAAAGGCACACTCTCGATACCCCCTGCGAAGCGGGATTCGCATGTATCAGCGATAAGGTGAAAGCCGTTGGCGCAGCCAAGATATCCAGAGTATCGGCTGTCACAGCTTCAGCTGATATTCCCTCCACAGTGCCATCTCAAGCAATGTTAAAGCTGTCGACTTTCAGCCACATCTAACATCGAAATGTCAGGACATCTTGTAGGGCATCTAATAGCCGAGACGGCCCATTCCTCACCATAACTCTCAACCCACAACCAGGGAAAGTAAAGCAGACTCACAGACGGCACGGACAAAGCGCACTCTTTGGACACTTGTATTGGGGGACCTACTTGAACAACCCAACAGCAAGGACCTCTTCTCCATCTCCGCCCCAAATCGACCTCGCGTACACGAAAGCCGTCGTTTTATCCTTGCTGTGCCCGTAGCCTGCCGCCATACCGGGGACTTTCACCCTCGCGTTGCTGACGTACATTAGGTACGGGAAGCCGGCCGTCGCAGCAGATTCGTCGCTCCCGGTGGCCTTCAAGTATGCGCGCCTCATCCACTCATCCACATCAGATGACGACGCTGGTGGCCGCGTCTTGTGGTCCTCGATAGCAAGCCAGGAGATGGTGCTGTGCACGAGTCCACCGTTGACGACGACGTGGCAGATGCGTCGGTAGAACGGGACATCGGACGACGGCTCGAGGTCAAAAGTCTGATATTCCACCGATGACGATGGGAGGCGGGAGAGTCCGAGGTGCGCATGCCATTCGACGCCAGCCTGGCGAGGCAGCTCTTCGACCTCGACAGCGAAGAAAGGCGGCATCGGCTTGTCCACCTCGTCATCGTCGTTGGCGGTTGCACTCTTGATGACGGACCAATCCGGCAGCTTCTGCTCGGCGTTGGTGTCCTCGCCGCCACCGAGGGACATGTACTGCGGGTTGTACTTGCGATCCCACAGATCCGGGCCTCCTTCGTTGTCCTCGTCGTCGTCGCCGTCCGGGGCATGTGCGCCTTTCCAAGCTACAGCGGCAAGTTGGGCCTGACGCCGCTTGTCTGCCTCGTTTGGCGTGTTGGGGAAATATGCCACTGCGCTGGTCCATAGCTGCACTTTCATGTCAATGGCTATGCGCCAGAGGTGCTGGAGAGACAGGATGATCTGCATTTCCAGGTTGCCCGTGGTCTCTGTAGGCAGAATCATGCTCGCTGGCACGAGTGGGATTTGGCCTGCGATTGTTACGGCTCTGACGCCATTGGCTTGCACTTCTCCCTGAGGAGGGCCGCTCAGGGGCACGTCGATAGCCTGGCTATAAGGGCCGATGTTGGCGGGTGCCCAGTAGGAGCGTGATTGTACATGAAGTCCATTCCGCTCATGCTGCTCCAGCTTTGGCTTCACCGTCAAGTGGATATTGATAGACTTGCCTTGAGGGAGGTTGCCGCACGAGATTGTGACTCGCGACGGGGGGTTAGGATGCTGGAATAGCCTGCCATAAATCTTGTTAATCGTGGGGAAATCTGACATGCGTCTCAGGACGATGACGGTGTTGGTAATGGCAGCACGAGGCAACGGCGGAGAGCAGCCGGCCAGAAGCCCCTGGATCTGTTGAACAATATCCTCCGTTTCTTCCTCGACGGAGAATTGCCGGTCCCGAGGCACATCCGCTTCAATCGTCCAGTTGATATCGCCCGTAGCTGCCACGGATGCCGACACCTTGCCGTCACCGCTAACAAAATCACTCTCGGACAGTTTCTCCTGAGGCAGATCCCGAGGCAGAGAATCCAGGAGACCCTGGAACCTGGGATCGAGAACGTCAGGTACACGGGCCGGGGAGCAGCTTTCTCCCGCCGTCTCAGGGGCCGGCTTCTCGCGGACACTCGCCCCCGAGAAGCTCAACCACGACGTCCCGCCGCCTTCTCTAACAATCCGTCTCCCGGACTCCGGCACATCAATCGCTTTCCGGAAAAGGCCCGGCGGCCCATCGAGCACAATTGTCTCAAATTCGCCGCCCTCACCCAAAACGGAACCCTCGGCCGCCCCGAATCTCCGGAGCGCCCGCTTCACTCGTCCCGCACCCGCAAGGCTACTCACCCTCTCCCACAGAAACTCGTCATCAAGACCCGCGCTCGCGACCTTGATGATCCTCGCGTCCAGTCCAGCGGCCGCCATGTCGTGTAGCAGCTGCGCGTCCTCTACAGCCCCGGGCACCACAGGAGGGAGAACAGGATACTTCCACAGATAGGCTAGAGGCGTAAGGCCGAGACGTAGAGCGACGGACTCCACGCGTGTCCGCTGGTACGTGGACAATATCGCCCCCGCGCAGAGCGCGTTGGCTTCGGGGTGATGTGCCATAATGGTGCGGAGAAGGGGAACCATACTCTCCGTTTCATCCGCGTCCGCCGCCACCGCATCGCCACCGACGGCGTGGGAGGAGTCATAGTCTCTGCCTTCGTACTTGGCGCCTCCGTAGATGGGTTGGCGGTACAGCGGTAATCCGGTGGCTTCGGCATATAGGGGAATGACCTGATGTCCGACAGTCTGGTACATGAAGCTGTTCAGGTCGGCGTCTTCATCGGACGCCACTCCTTTCCCGGTGTCCGCCTCCCCCTTCTCTAGCTGGAGATGGCTGACATCTTTCACGTGATTATCATCACCATCACCACCTTGAGGCTTGAAAATGAGTGTGGTCCCCTGGGCCGAGCGTGTGGCGTCGGGTCCGGCGCTGACGGGGGCGGCGGGGAACAGGTTAGCGAGAGCCACGAGTCGGTGTCCGTTCCTCTGGCAGTGCAGGGCGGAGAAGAAACTGTCCTTGCCGCCCGAGACCAGTGCGATGACATTCAGCTGTTCGGATGACATGACGGGCAGGGTCCAAGCTACAGGCTATTGACAGTAATGCTGAGGCGGACCTACTAGAGGACCTCGGACTCCTGCAGGCCTGGCGGATTTGTGCGAGATGCCGTGTGAAGGCCGTGCTGATGTGCAGGCCCTCGCTTTCGCTATGTCGTTCCCCGAGGATGCGAGACTTTGTGTGAAGGGACTGGGCAATGAATGTCAGTCAGTCTTGACGGCGCTTGTCTCTGGCAGCGGGCCACGGAGGGAAAGCCGGGATGTGGGAACAGACTGGCTCGTGCAAGAGACTTCTCCGTTATCCAAGGGATCCTTGAATGACTCGGAGCTCCGTTCGTCGGGGTCCTTGGGGCCGTGGATGAGGCCGGGGGGTGCTAATTAGTGTTGATTGATGGCTAGATGTGGTACGAGGGAACGGAATGAGTGAAGAATCCGGCTCTAGACGAGGATCAAGGCAAGGGCCCATTAGGAGGGCCAAAAGCGAAAAAAAAAAAAAAAAAAAAACGAAAAAAAAGAGGACGTCGCTGATGGAGTGAGTGCGTCGTTCCGCTCGGACAATTATCTCAGTGGGGCTAAAAAGTAAGTTGACGAGTCGGTACTTTGCGCCCGCTTTCACTTGGTAGCTCTCACTTATTAGTGTACTAGTAGTCGAGTGTAAAGTGGCAGTCAATAGGCAACTCCGCAAGCCCCAGGTGGTACCTCGTCTGTGTTCCATTACAGGGGATGTTGACCTTCCTCGAAGAGTTCTATTGGAATTACAAGGTACACTGCAGGACTAGGACCTGCACCAACGGCAATGAAGATGCAATGGAAGCAATGGATGGGGGGCCTTGGAACTTTGGAAGGAACGACCCTTGAGGGTTCATCGAGATTTAGACCAGCTTCATCTTTCAATAGTGGAACAGCACGGCATGGGAGGGGGCGTTGGGCTCCCTGGAAAGACTGGGTGAGAGAGAAAGAGAGAGAAAGAACCCTGGACGACATTAAAACAATAGCTATGCCGCTGTTACGACCGGGGTGGTAGTATCCTCGCCTCGGTTTCCCTGAGGGTCCTCATCTTTTCCCATGGGAAGGGGGCCAATTTCGAGGGAGACCCTCGCCAGGGCCTGTTGAGCTCCAGAACTGCAGAACTGCAGAACCGGGGTGGGAGGACAAAATGGAGAGTGGGAGATTCGGAATCACCAGACGACGGACGGCCTGGTAGGATCCGTATGAATACTTCCGTGAAGGGGGACCCCGTCTATGGGTAAACTGAACGGGATTATTAGGGAAACCCTTCAGGGCCCTGAGAGGACGGGCGGACGACACGGGCCTGTAGATTAGCGGGGGCCAGCCGTCCCCCTTCCTGGAGGTGTGAACATCGTCCGAGCGGGCCGCGCCAAAATTGCGCTGGAGTTCTGCTGGAGTTCGCTTCATGCCTCATGGGCTGATGCCAGAATGGTCTGGTTTCCTTGGTTTTGTTTTTGCGGTGTAAGGTGGCCTTGCAAGTTTTGAGCCTTGCTGTGTGGACTATGTCCGGGGGGGCGGTTCGGACAGTATTCATAGTACGTGCAGAAAATAACCTGGAACTGGAGATCCGACTTTGCCCCCAGAGGGTCAAACACGTTCACCTCATCCTCAGGCCAAAGGATCATCAAGAGTGAACCAGGCACTAAGGATACGGATACCTACCCGTCCACCGTCTCGTCTCGCCCTGCTTTCCTCCTCCTCTCCACCGTGGGTGGTGCGTGGATGAAAATTGCCCATTCATGTTCACTAGTTGTTCAGATGACAGATGACCGGCCTAGTCCTGACATACGACGCTGGAACCAAGGACGGACACCGTGCTCTCCGTCAGTCGAACCCGCCAGCAGCAAAAAAAAAAAAAAAAAAAAAAAAAAAAAAAAAAAAAAAAGGTCCGAGACACCATCTTTCACAGCAGCAAGCCAGCAGGCACTAACGAGTGAAGCACATGCTGCCAAACTCAGGCAAATGAATTAGCACACCACTCAGACCATGCTCTAGATGAAAAAAGCTTCAATACCCAACATGGAGGGAGGGAAAAGCACGGTTGAAATCAGCACCGCCCCCAGCCATCCGTATGTTCTCGACCATCTGAAGCATGGGGTGTTAAGGTTTGGATGTGCATACATGCTCATCTCATCTCGCCTCTCATTAAAAGGGCACCTTCCTGCCTGCAACGCACGGAAGCAATATTATGGGAGATAATATGTACATAGTAGGATCGTATAGTAGGCAAGGCATGAACAAGGCATGACATTTTTGACGTGGACTGAGAGAGAGAGAGAGCCCTGAGCTTGGAACCAAGCCTGTACCAAGCATCAGGACGAGCGGTGAGTGCTGCTGGGTTTAGGATTAGACATCCAGCCTTCCCTCTTTCTCCTCATATTTTTATTCCTTTTTTTCATTCATTCATTTGTCGGGGCTTCATTTACGAGGCTCGTGGCCCCCCGAAAGTTGTGCGCTGGGGTTTACATCCAATAGTTCATCTAAACCCAGCCCGCTCTTTCTCTCTCACTCTCTCACACTCACACTGGCATGGGCTTTTTGGTCAGGTACTCAAGACTTTACAATGACCTCCCACTTACAATGTACACTCACCCAAAGAGTACATGATCAGATTTCCCGTGCGAAGATGGCTGGTTGGTAGGGTTGGCGGTACCTTGCATTTCACCATGAGCTAGTTTTGCATGGCCCCCAGCACGGCACCTTATTAAGTCGTCTTTTTTTTTTTGTCATTTTGCTCCCCCCCCCCCCCCTGGTATCCAAAGTCAACGACACCCACTGCCTAGCGAATAAGCCAGTGAGTGCATGCATCGTATGCATGCTATATCTGTAATTCTTTTTTTTTTTTCCCTTTCTTTTTTCCCCTTCTTCTGTGCCTCTGTATCCCGCATCATGGCACCATGAACGGCACAGCCATGCATTGAACCTGATTTACTGGTCAAATAAACTCCACCTCGTTATTACCGTAACATCTCGTATCAACAAACAGACAGGACACGCGCTGGTTGGTTCATTCATTATTTATCTATTAGTATTATTATTAGTATCTATTCCTTGGTTGCGCTGGCAAGTGCTGATTTGACGACCAACGTATTCTTCTGTCGCCATCACTCATGCCCTTGCATTACACTGAGCCACACACAAGACGATACCCATGGAAAAGTCCGATCCGGCCGGTTTTGCATGATCGCGGTGAATGTACATAAAGCGGATGCATCGTATCATGCCTCGTCTTCGCGCGTGTGGGTACGTTTTTTAACGCGTCAATGAGTAAGGCCGCTCGCTTCCAAGGGGGGGGGGGAGGGTGGGTTGTTGCTGAGAGTGGGAAGGAAAACAAGAATTCCCCATGTCGGGACGGGAATGCCGAACCGTTGGAATTCCCTTCCCCCCCAACTTCTAGGTACCGCGTGTGATCTGTCTTGCCTTGTCTTGCCTTGCCTTGCCTCGTCCGGCAGAGGTCAAAACTTTGAATAACACCGTTGCAGCCGGATCTCAGTCCGCAAAGGCATGGGTATGGGAGGGGGAGGGGGGCTGCCGAGAGCGCGCGACTTGAATGCCCGCTGCCTCTTCCGCTTCCCTTAAACAGTTCCCCCCCTAACCAGCGGAAAGAGGAGTGTGAAAAAAATAGCAGAAGAAAACGACGAGAAACTCAAGGGGAAGCGGTTGAAAGGGGGGGAGTCCTTTCCAGCCACTGATTTGGCGAGAAAAAGGTCAGCTAACCAGCCATCGGATTGTAGGTGACTCACCATCCTACAGTGCCGTTGTGAGACCTGACCAACGTCACTTGGATGCTCGGCCGCCGTTGGAGGCATGAGAATTGTGTCGGATAAGGCTGGCCCAGGACCGTCCCGATGGCTTGGAGAAGAAAAATAAACGCTCGGGAAAAAAAAGAAACAATGCCCACGCCCATCCTCAAAGGGGGAGAAAAACAAAAAATAAAAATAAAACACACACCTTGCGGCGCTGGGAAACATCCAATGACGAAATCTGCGTCTCCCACTGGTCTTGTCTTACACACTCTCGCACATGAACCCATGTTTTACTACCCTCCCCAAGTCCAGGCCATCGGCCGATGAGCTAGAACATTGTTCACCGAGTCATGGAAGGGAAGCCACTTTGACATGGAGTCACATGGAATTTCAACACGGAGCAATCGAGGTTTTGGCAGCGCAAAAAAGTATTCTCTTTTGTTCAAAAATGTGTTTGTGTACATGTACAAGCGGTGCTGATTCTGCGGCGACAAGAATAGCATCCTTCTTGTTTGCCTTCCCACAGCCAAAGCCTCTGATGATCGTGGCCTGCACTCACACCTTGCATCTTTGGTCCGTGGTCAAACAAGAAAAAGAAGCTAAGAAAAAGACGAGGGAGAAAACCAACTCGAATCTCTGAAAATGTAGAAAAAGTAAACACATGATGGCGGCGGCCCGAAACGGCCCCGGAGACCCGAACTCGGGCGCCGCACAGAAGAAAGTTCCCTTGTTCCAAAGCGATGACGGCTGACCGGCCTCCGAACACGCTGGAGAGATTACAACGAGTGTAGAGAAAAGTACGCTTTGGCCGCTGCCAAAAATAATGAGTCTGATCGTGTCTCTCTCTCCCCTACTGCTTTCAGCTGTTTCCCTCCCTTGCCTTTGCCGTAGCATATCTCTCAAAAAATAAAAATAAAAAGCCAAACGAAAAACAATCATGCTGTCTGTTTGTGAAACAAAGTCCGCCGTACACGCCGTTTGTCCTGAGTCCAAAGTTGCTCTTGCCTTTGCCCTTGCGTTCTTGAACTTTTTTGGTGATCATCATGCAGCCCTTTGAAAAAACGCATCCCTTCGACGCCAAATCCATCCCAGGGCCATGGGAAAGGCCCAGGAGATGTTAGTGTCGGAAATATTGATACAGAGAAGGCAAGATGGTGTTGATGTCAGAATGCCAATCCCGCTTGCGCTTATCGCATGTGGCCCTTCCCAAGGCGGTCTATCTTTTGATGGTTCATGATAGGCCCTCTGGTGGAAGGTTACCCTGTGAGACCCTAGTGACCGATCCGCATAAACGATAGCGGGGTAGGTCTGGAAAGAAGAAGTTGTCATCAAAGTCGTATCGGGCATAATCGAAGCGATTGCTGGCCGCCGTCGATTGTGAAATTGCTTGAATGTGAAAAAAAAACCAATCTCAGACTCTTCAGTCGGAGCGCTTCCGCTTCTTCTTGCCGTTCTCCTCTTCCGATGACAGCTCGCTGGCGCTGCCAGGGATCTCGGCGGCAACCTGGAAGAGAACCTTGCCTAGATGCTGATAGTCCTCAGGGTGTCCCATCATGCTGTGGTCGAAAGAGTGAACGCCAGAGTCGTCGAGCTCCATGACGATAGCACCGCTGCCGTGAGTTCTCGCGTGCTGAGACAGGTTGTCGCTACGAGAGAACTTCTTGCCGCACTCGTTACACTCAAAGGGTTTCTCTTGAGTGTGAAGAGAGCGGTAGTGACGCTTAAGGTGCTCCTGGCGGCGGAAGCGGCGGTTGCAAAGTTCGCAGACAAAGGTCTTGGAAGGGTCCTCAGTGAGAGACTGCTTACGGCCGCGGCGGTTAACAGGGGCAGGAAGGGGCGCGCTCGGTGACTCAGAGTCAGAAGAGCTGCTGACGTCGGAAGCAGCAGCCTGGCTGTTGGACTGCTTGTCGCTGTTGGCAGCCTGCGAAGATCCGGCGGCGGAAGTCATAGCAGGGGTAGACTCCTTCTTGACAACCCTGCGGCGCTTGTCCTGGTGGCAGTCGCTATCAGAGCAGGAGGCGGTAGGGCTGGGGAAGCAGGCAGCAGACGCCTCAGCCTCGCCAAAGATGAAGTCCTCCTCACCACCAATGAAGCTGGCGTGACCGAGTGAGACGACGCTTGAGCCAGTGCAGGCGCGAGGGCGACGGACTTCAATGGCGGTGGCGTCACCAAGGTTGACCAAGCCGTTCACAAAGTCGTCCTCAGATTCCAAGTCAGACAGGTCCTCGAAGGCAGGAAGACCGTGTGGAATGGCAGGGTTGAAATCAAAGGTTTGGTGAGAAGGGGCAGTGACAGGGGTCTTGGCAGAAACTTCACCCCTGAGCTCGTCACTAAGAACGAATGCCGAGTACTCGGGGGCCAAAGTCGGGTTGGAGGTGTTGGGGGCAGCAGCAGCAACAGTCAAGTTGCGCGGGTCGCAAAAGTCGAGATCCTGTTCAGATGCGACCGATCTGGCATACGGTGAGGGTGAGGGAGAAAGTGAAGGGCAAGATGCTGTGGAAAGGAGGTCGCTAGTGTTGGTGCTAAGCGAGGGGACCTGGCCAACTTGGTTTTGCAGGTAGACTGCCAAATCGAGGTTAGTCTACAAAAAAACGGCCTGAGTTGCTCCCACGAAGTCAAGTGCCCCGCTGCACCTACTCCAACAACCACCATCCGAGCCACTGGGACTCGGAGTGCCTTTTTCCTGCTCAGTGCAATACAGGCATGGATTTGGAATGGCGAATTGTGAGAGCGATGCAACGCAGCCGACACGAACAGGAAAATGGATAAAAGACAGGTTAAAACTTACCAGGCGTCATCGGAGGAGACCCGCAGCTGGACCAATCCACGGCAAGGTTCTCAGGCACCTCCAGGGTCTCCTTGAAGCTGTCCAGACCGTCGAAGCCTTCCAGTCCGGAGAACATGGGGTTCATCGGGGTCTGCAGGAGCTCACAGCTGTTGTTGGGGCTGCTGATGGCACTGCCGGAAGTAGACAGCGGCGGCGTTGACGGGTAGTAGATACCATCCGCGTCGCAAATCTCAGTCTCAAGCATGATTGCTGGCTTGTTGCTCATGGGTTGAGGAGAAGCTACGGGGGTCATGGTCGTGGGCCCATTGCTGTACAGCGTGGGACCCATGGGCTGTGAGCAAGAAGAGTTTGGTCTCGAGTAGATGGGTGTTGAAGGCAGAGTCGGAACCATGGGGTACATGGCCATGTGCTGGGGCATGTTGGGCTGTTGAGAGAAGTGGCCACGGTGCCTTGACGTGTCGGGCTTGGGCTCGGGTCTGTAGTAGAGGAAGGGAGCTTGTCCCATTGCCTGAGCCGTCATCATGGTTGCGTCCATTGTGATGCGTCTGGCCGTGATAATCAGTCTTTCCTGCTCTACAGAGGCGTAGTTGCTTCTCCAAAAACGCACCAGACAGGATTGTCTTGTTATTCGCCGGGTTCCGTTTTTACTAATTAGTCGTTTGGGAGGTTTTGCCGGTGTGTTTGTGTGTGTGTGTGTGTGTGTGTGTGTGTGTGTGTGTGTGTGTGTGTGTGTGTGTGTGTGTGTGTGTGTGTGTGTTTGCGTGTGCTCTGTTGTTGTACAATGAGGTTCTTGTGGGCAGTTGGCCTAATGACGGATGGATTTCGGTTTCCTGTTTCTTAAAGATAGGACGACGGGTCGTTGATGGGTGATGACCGTCTGGGTGTTGGTGACTCGATGAGTGAAAGTGGTTGGTTGTCTTAGTAGTACATGGAACTCGTCCTGAGTGTTTCTATCTGTCGTCTCGAAAGCGTCTGAGAGTCGTGATAGAGTGACTGGCTTGAGGTGAATTATGGGCTCGAGGACGGTTGTAGGATACTGGGGGGGATTGTCTTAAAGGAAGGACGGGATGGTTCGAACAGGTCGAAGTGTTTCCCAAATATCGAGTCACAAAAGAAGGAAGAACCGAGAGGTCATAAGAAGAAAATATCACAGCGCACCGTAGCCGACGGGAGTGTCGATCATGGAATGGCGAGAGTAAAATGAGCGTGGGTGGTGAAGGGGGATAAGTAGGAAACTGTCCAAGATCAACCGACAGGCGCAAGATAAAAGTCGTCGATAGGCCGATGGTACGGGACGCCGAGTACCAGCAGACCAGCCAGACCAGACCAGACCAGACCTAGCGTACCATGTCCATATCCTAGTGTCTAGCGCCTGGTAGAGTCGACGGACCCTCGTCTCGTCCCTGTCCCTCGTCCACGTCCACGTCCCTAGTCTCCCCTCTCCTCCACACAGGCCTGTCTCACCCACAAGCTGACCAGGATGGATACGTATCTGTGGGTCTGAGTACGTACATGTGCAGCCAGGGTGTATTTAGAAGTACGTACCGGATCCCTCGCTCGAGTACGTACCCCTCGGTCGCTGGATGGGTTTCCGAACCTAGTGAGTGGGTATGGAGGGGAGAACAGGGGGTAGGGGATGTGCCACCCACACACACCTCACGACGGGGGGAACGCTTTGAACTAAACTGCTCTGGTTGACTGGACGTTCTGTTTGCTGGCTGGATACTGACTGGGTGGGAAGAAGACGACTGATGGGTTGGATGGGCGGCGTCGGCGACAACGTTGGCGGCGATGGAGGCCAACCAGAAACACAGCGTCTCCAGAGACTTGGAAAGTGTAATAGAGTGAGAGAAATGAGGCGCAGAGATTTCAGTCCCTTGCCGTACCTCTCTCAGGTTCAGGTCCAGTCTGCATTCTGGTTCTGGGGCCAAGCGGAAACATCAGATAGGTGGGCTCTGGCACTACATAGTATGGCTCTCCTGTCTGGTAAGATATGTGGTAAGTGGCAAGTGGTGTGTGTGCGTGTGTGCGTGTTGCGTCCCAGGTACGAGGTACACGCAGACCTGCGTACGAGTGTGTGGGTGGACTGGGAAGAGGAGGATGGCGCAGCCACCAACCGATTCTAAATCTGGACGGGCAACTTTTGGGAAAGAGGGACAAGATGAGACGAGCGGGACTGGATGGCTGAGTGAGGGAGGTAACTGGCCCGGATGTACCGCAGTCCAAAGGGTACCTGCCAGCTTGCTGGTCCCTCTGCATGCCAAGGTACTCTCCCCCATCCACACTCTGTGCCTGACGTCCATGGCCATCAATTTCTCAATGCTGGCCGCTGCGGGCTGGAGGCCCTACCACGCCGCCAATAACCTTGTCTGGAAGGATTGCCGTATCGTACTGTAAGGGCAACGAAGACTGCCTATCTAGCTGACTAGGCATGCAAAAATGCATACATACGACACCTTGCAGGAAGTGCGCCGCTTTTGACACCAGTAGGCCATTGCGTTTGAGATGAAAAGCCATGTTTTCTGCAGAAAGAAATCCCAACTTCTAGTCCCGTGTCGTGACACATGTCCCTCGGCCAGCCATCGCCTATTTCTTCGGAGCTGACCTGGAAATCCCTACCGGCCGCACATCGATGCTAAACAGCTACAGCAACGGAGCCAACGTCAGTAGATGGCGTTGACGGCCGTCATGAGCGGGCGTTGCGTACTTGCCCCGAGCTTCGGCGCGGTGCAACGCTATATATTACTATTGCACATCATAACTCTGGTTTCTTTATTTATTTATTTTGTACACAAGAGACCATCCTACCCAGTGTCGGCAATATTTTTTCATAGTGGATAGATCCATGCTTGTGTGGTGGCATCCTCTGCTTGACGACCGTTGCGCGTGTGAGTAGTTAATAGGTACGTAGTTCAAGTACTGGTTAGACGTAGGTACAATTCCATTTTCGGGCTTCAAGAGAATAGACGGGCTTGAAAGTGGGATTTTTTTTTAAAGGAACCATGGCTAAGTAACCCGTTCAATGTGCCGTACGAAATGAGACAAACCCGGCAGGCTTGCTGATCATCAATTGAGACGAGGTAACTCAACAGAGCTGCATAAACCCGAAGGCTGTGTGCTTCATTGATAGGACATGCAAATCGAAGCACAAAGTGGGTAGTGTGTGTCGATGGGGTAGCCGACGTCCACATAACTCGCACAAATGGTTTCTTGAATTTGTACTAGTCATCCGGTCCAGTCCGGCGTCTGTCTGACCGCCGGCTCCAGCACGGCCATTCGCTGAACCAGCTCTGTCAAAAGTCGCACATGCAGATACGCCATCATGGCGCGCACCAGTCGCGTCGCTTGTTGTATCAGCACAACCTACATAAAGACCAAGACGGAGGCGCGAATGCAAGGTACCAAACCAACGAGTGCTCGACGGCGTTGCGCCGCTGTTTGCTGATCACTTGAGTTCAGCTTAAGTGGTAGTAGCGGCAATAGTGATAGCAACGCGCAGCATCAGCGGCAATGAGCAGGGTTTGCCTGGCATTCATCGTCAGTAAGCCGCCATCTGCCGCTCGTCTCCATGGTCACAGTGACTCTATGGAGCCAGTGAGTTTCGAGGTCATGGGTGCATTCGTAACCCATTTTCATGCTTCGGAGCGGCTGAGTTGAGCTGTGTGTTTGATTCTCCAGGCAGCTGAGCAGAACCGCCGCTCGGGGCCCAAAATGCAGAATTCCAACGCGGCAGATCATGGACTGCCCGAGCAGCATTGATAATGATGGCCAGGATGACCGGCGGGTCGGATTCATGCCGGAGCCGCAGCGTACAACGTAGAGACGAACAAGACTTGTCAGTTGTCATCAAGGTGAGAAAACAGTGGGCTCGAGAGCCCCCAACACTGGAGAAGCCGTGTGTGGCTCGTCCATCCGATGTCGTCAGGTACATGCCATAGTAATTAGTGAAGACCCGGCTTCTAAGAATAAAAAGCCGCAGCAGTCGACAGTTAATTCGTGCAAGTGTTGGATAAATTGTGAAAATGGTCCTGGCGGAGGCCGTACACCCATCCCACTTATCCCCGTTGGGTGCCATGCTGTCTTTCCCCCAATAAACCATCTGGACCAGTTGTTTGAGCCCTAGGATTCCGCGAGTGGTAAGTAGTGCTGAGGTTGAGGCATGCGAGGGGGCCACAAGTCGCCGCCCCAGTGCTCCAGTGCTCCAGTGCTCCAGTGCTCCAGTGCTCCAGTGCCAGGGCACAAACAATTCCTTGGAAGGTACGAGCATGTGAGCATGCTCGAATAATGTAGATGCATGCATACCGGCGTCGCATCCAATGCGCTAACACCAACAGAGGCCTTCGCGCGTGGTAATGCAGATGGATGCTCAACTCGCTCGTCTGGTGGGTGATTGTACAGAAACTCAAAACGCACAAAGGATGTGTGATGGGGTTGAGCTGGGCCATTCAGAGCTACCAGCGGCAGCGCGGGCGTCTGCGGCCCCCCATGCACACACACACTTTAGGGTCATCGGAAAGTCTGCGACAAGGTAGTCATCCCACCACTGGACGTCCATCACAGGCCTCTTGGCATCTCAATGGTCACTTCCACCGTCTCTGTCACACAATGGCAGACACCAGTTAGCAACCTTGCGTCGCGCTTTGGACTCTGCTTTGTGGCTTTCTGGCATCGCGTTGGCTGGGCATGACGCAGCCGCCACTAATATGGCTCCCTCAGTCTGGTTATCACTTTCTCCCCGCGCGCCGCGTTCGCGCCTGGACCCCCATATCACGCCGTTTAGGTTGACGTCGGACGAGCTGACTGGGCCTTTACTCGTTTAGACTCCATCTCCATTCTTTGACGGGCGTGCTGAGTCGGCAGGAGGGGCGTTGGATGCTGACTGCGTCACCCAACCATGACCCCGCCATACCCGTATCGAGTTCAGTTGGGGGGGTGTCCTAATTTTTATTTTTTTTTAAATTCCGTAAAGATGAACGTATAATGTAGCAAGTTGAGAGAAGCGAGTCTGGATTGGCTGTCCGGTTGGTCCAGAGCATAACGACAAGTAAGCGTCGACCCCGGCATCCCTGGAGCAGGATAGGGATTGGCAGCAGTCCCCCTCTTACTCGTCGGTGCATTGACAGCGAGGGGCGAAATGGCAGTCGTGGATGGCTAGTCTTGGTAGGTAGAGTTAATCAAGCCTTTCAAGTGGCCAGTGGCCCGCGGCCCGCGGCTGATGATCATGGCGGGAACAGGGCAGGGCCCGAATTGATGGTGAAGCATGCCATCAAAGGCAGTCAATCAGTTGGCACTGGCACGGGCAGTGGGCAGAATGTGACATCCGATCTTTTTTCAGGTCCGAGTTACGTTAAATTGGAAGACTTTATTGCCACCGCGTCGCGAGGAGGCCCATGCAGCAAGCATTTTAATCGAGGCAGTGCCTAGCTTTCCGTCCAAGCCGTCAGGGACGCGGCCAGGTACATTGTGTTCGTGGTAAAGCCAGTCACGGGTACTCGCAGCATCTATGTGCCGTAATGATGAGGCCAGCTGATGTAT